ACCATTCAACTCAGAGGCAGCACCTCCAACCTCCACAAACAGCCCCCACAACTCAGCAAGGACTGACCTTCACCCTCACAAAGCCAACCCTCACCCCAACCAAGTGTTTAGATAAAGAGAAATGAGAAGAAAAGTTCAAACTTGGGAGATTTTCAAGCAAGGAATGATCAAGAATGAAGGTGGCAACATGAGCACCCAAAAACTCTACGTAGCACTCAGCCAAAAATGACCTAAAAATCTGTGCCACTTAGTATATATAGGCGGATTACACTTAATCACACTGTGTTAGCACTAATAGCTACACTTAGCATTTTAATTCCAAACTTTGAAATCTGAACCTACTCATTTTTTTAAGATTTTTCATATTTTTATTTTATTTTTCGCAGCACCTTTCTGGTATGCGCTTTTCCATAGCCAGTATCAGTTCTGGCACCAGTTCTCATTATTTTAACTTGAAATTTGTTTTACAAGTCCTATATAATATTCTAGGAATATTCATGCACTTATTATAATTTTCCGGGATACTTCATCGGTAGCATTTATACCGAGTAGCAGAACTGGTATCTGCACTTTTCGTCAGAAAAGCGACTTTTAGCATTATTACTCACTTACTATAATTATTAAAGCCACATAATAATTATTAGGGTCAATTATGGAATTATTTCCTAATTTCTCTTAATTAATTAATTAACTTCCTTAATTAACGGTGCGGGTTCTTATAGAGACTGGTGGGTCTGCCCATAATGGAGAAATGTTCAAGCGGACCGTGAACAACTTCACATACTAGAGACTGATGATGGAAGACCACCTGTACTACAAAGACTTGTATGAGCCCATCCTCAATGAGACGAGACCAGAAGGAAAGAATGAAAATGAATGGGACGTCCTGAATAGAAGGCAGTGACCATGATCAGAAAATACATTGACAAAAGCCTCTTTGAGCACGTGTCTAAGTTCACAAATGAGTATGAGTTATGGACGAAGTTGGAGCCCATGGTTCAGAAGAAGACTCCTAAGAACAAAGCACGCCTAGTACGCCGTCTTGTGAAGCTGGAGTACAAGGAAGACATGAGTATAATTGAGTACCTTAACATCTTCAAAGGTATTTTTAAAAAAAACCTGTCTAAGGCCGAGATGAAGTTCGATGATGAGATGCAGGCTTTGCTGCTGTTGAGAACGAGATGCAACCAGCACGTCCGAGGCCAACATTATTGAGAACAGAGGAGGGTCTAATGCCCAGGGTCAAAGCAAGAGACGGGGCCGTGACGAACGAGATAAGTCCAGAGGTCGGTCTAGGCTGAAATATGAGTTGAAATGCTTCTATTGTGGGAAGCCCAGACATAAGAAGACAGACTGCAGGACTCTGCAAAAAGATGAGAAGAACGGCACGGTGAAGTCAGATTAGATTGTGCTAAAGAAGAAAGAAGACAAGAGCACCATTGTGGTGGTTGCCAATGATGATGCCGAGATTTTCCTTCTCGGTGAAGATAATTTTTTGAATGTTGCTTATGACGACTGCACCTGGATTGTTGTCTACAGTACCTCTTTTTATGTCACTCCACACAAAGGTTTTTCTCCTCTTACAAAGGCGGTGATGTTGGAGTCGTGAAGATGAAAAATTAGGTGACCAACAAGATTGTTGGTGTGGGTGATGTGACCCTGACCACAAATGTCGGATGTCGACTTGTACTGAAAGATGTAAGTGACATGCGACTGAACCTAATCTCGGTAGGCAATGTTGATGATCTCAGGTTAGTGAATTACATCGGAAGTGGTAGATGAAAATTGGTCAAGGGAAATTTGGTGGTAGCCCAAGGTAATACAAATCACTAGCTATATCAAAATAAAACCATACAAAATTACAAACCACTGCAAAATTCAAGTTTCAAACTAAAACAAGTCTAAAAATTCTTGAAGAGTTAAAACAAATCAATAGACAATAAAAAATTAAAACAATAGCAATAACATCCAATATTCCAATTTTACAAAACAAAAAGATTTCAAGTCATCATCTTTAAAAAATAATAAATATATAATACATTGGATCGGTTTGGATTGGATTGGTTTTCACCACCCAAACTGAAAACCGATCCAATGCAATTAAAATATGTGATTTTTTTTTGGTTTTTGAATAATTTGATTATCGATTTTTTGATTTGATTATCGCAGTTTGAATTGATTTGAATCAATTGATGAACACTTTACTCTCTAGTGCTAGGCATTCACGTATTTCACAGAAAAGTGAAAATATAAATGTCATTACTCTGGTACTTCAATAATAGATATTTGATTTTTTAAGAAATAAAAAATTGAAAAATGAAGGAGTGATTTGATATGAAAATTTATCTTGCAAGGATCGTTTTAGTGTATTTTTGGCTCCCTAGTTTGAGATATTACTCCTACATTGTTTTGCCTTCAATTTTCCGTGGACTGTCTTTAACATTATTTTGTAGTTAAATATTTTCTTTTAGAACAAGATGATTAAGAAAATCTCGTTTTATTTTATTGTAATTATTTTTGTTACTTAAATTACTAGAAATTTTAGCAATTAAATTAGAATTTACTGGGGGCGTTTGGTAGAGGAGTAATTTTTTTTAACCAGGTCAATACAATTATTGGGGAAATAATGGGAAAATAAATTTGCTGATAAAGTTGATAAAAAGTTATTTGGTAGGATGAAATATTACCGGAAAAATTAAGTAAGTTTTCAAAGACTATATTTGGTAGAACGTAAAATATTGATGGGATAATTGGTGTAAATTACAAAAGTGGGCCTTGTAAATTTTGAAACTGAAAAAACAAAATTGCTGCATTGTAAATATTACCGAGTCATTTTGGACAATATTTTCGCACTAGTTTTTTTCTTTCTCGGGCAACCACGAATTACCACCGACGATGTGGGTATCTAGCACAGTACAATCGCTGCAATTTTTCACATGATTTACGTTATCTGGGTATTCAATTTTGCTGGCATATTTTTTTTTTATTCTTCTACCAAACGTTGTCATCTTCAAATCCTATCTAATTTGCCTATCAATTTCTCGCAAAGACCGCTACCAAACGCCCCTTAATCTGTAATATAGTTGGCTGTTTAAACAATATGTTTCTCTATGTACAAAAATTTGTGGGCATCTCGACGTCATTAATCATTATTACTAGCTCTTTAAAGTTTCAAGTTTCAAATACAAACCACCATAATTTGCACATATAATAGTATTAGTATTAATAGTGATGGAAGTTTCTATGCACTCATTATCTTATATTTATACAATTTTAACGTTTGATTACCACTAGGCTTATCATATTTTTTTTTACATATTTACATTTTAACTTCATCATATATTTTATGAGGTGTGAGACATGGAAATATAGATACAGCATTTTTCTTATTTGAGTGAATTGGATTGATCCTGTCTTCTTGGTTCGAGCAGTGATGGGTGCTCATTTAGTTTAACAGTAAGAACTCAACCTTTCTGGACATTTGGATCATAGGAAGTCCACCCCTGGGAAAAATAAAAAGAAAGAGAGCATGCAAAAAATCAACTGTAATTTTTTTTTAAGAACTAACTTTATTTCAAAATTGGTTTCATAATAATCGATTTTTAAAAATTTGAATAGATACTAAACATCTTGTGTTAAAAAAATGGCCCGTTATACTCAAATGCTTTTTCATTGCAGTCTGATAGATATAGTCAATCTCAAATTGTTCTTTCTTCTGATTTTTTTTAAGAATTTCGTTTACTTGTATTTCGAAGGCATGCATTAACAAACCATTTTATAAAATCCTCATTTTACTACTACTTGTTCGAGAGTTTCGTTTCATGTAATGCTTACATTTACCGAATGATACAGTGCTCTGGTATGGGGTTCAAGTGTGAAAAAACAAGCCATAGGGCTCAGAGTCAGCATGGTCAAATACTATACACCCAATTTACTCTATTTCCCCCCTACATTCTCCTTCCTCATTCTGAGTTTATGGTCCCCCCAGTGATGCATAGAATTTAGTGCAGCTTGATGCATAATGGACCCAGTGATATTAAAACATTGTGGTTTGCCATGGTAGTTTTTGAATATGTGCATTGAGGTAAATTTGCAGCAATAGTAGGTTAGCCAGAGATATTAATTGTATAAATCAGGTACTACATAAGTGGATCCTCCTAAGCTAGGTATTCTGAACAAAATGATGACACCGAGTTTGGTAGAGAATTTACAAATTTTTTTTTTATTAATGCTTAAATTTTGTTATTTGAAATTACTGGCAGACGAAAATTCAGTTAGAAGTAAGTTGGTAGTCCTATTCCCACTTGGTAGCCTGGACAGCCCATGTGCTACATGACTCGCATAATGGTCCAAAGCAATCTTAGGAATCAAAGCACTTGCAATTTGGGTTTAAGTTGTAAAGTCCCCAACCCAACATTTATTCGGTTGCCTCTTTAAAAAAGGAACTGTATAGGCTGGCAGGAGTGGTAATTAACGCATGGTTAATGTACTGAGACTAAATCCCAGTAACAGGCTAACAGCAGCCACGATGATCGTGGAGCTGAGATGTGTTCGGTTCAATGACCAGTGGAAGCCTTCTAATCCTGAGCAAATTGTAGGTTGTTAAGCGATAAAGGTCGGAAAATTGAAACCTAAGTGGGAGAATGACTAAACTCAGTTCATCATTGTGTGATTGGTGGTTACTCTTCGAAAAAACTGGAAATGAATAATTACCTATAAATTTGCAAAGGAACGAAACCAGCGAATGATAATCATTTATATCTCCAACCTAATTTGTAACTACTCAGCTCCAGAATGAGTAATTACTCGAACAAAAATAAATGAACATTTTAAGGTCAAGAACATGATGAGTTTATTCATGATATTTTGGAGCTGGAGTACAGATTCATTTGACATGAGTGCCTTTTACATGATTACCATCTTTACCTGTAATTAGATTAACCAAATCTCAAGCTACCATAGCAAGCACACAGAGAGCATCAACAATAGAAGAGTTGGGATGAAAAGGAAATATTCATTTTTTAAATCAAGGACAAAGGCCAAGTAAGTATCACCAAATGAGAAGAAGCATAACTGTCCCTATCCAGAACTTCAGAAAATAATAGAAAGGTTGTACGTGCCCATAAATATTAAGCCTTCACACAGCAGTTGAAATAGCTGAGGAAGCTCTTCCTTGTCTGTCCGGGACAAAAATAAATAAAAATGATGTAAAAGATGCCATGCCATACGTAAATACTACATAATTAAACCATACTTCAGAAACAACAAAAATACGTGAGACCAATCTTTAACATATCTAGAGAATGAATCTGATATGCAGTAAACTTGTATTTAAAATTTCCACTACTAAAGACATTTTTATTGGGTTTCTTTAAACTAGGCCTCTCATAAACACTATAGGGTCATTTCCCAAGCAACACATGAGCAACCGAGCACCAATTATTTTATAATTTATGGCCCTCTTATCAATGAATTGAATGTGATTGCCCCCAAACATCCATTGCATGTGCAGCAACTAGTATTGCGTGTTGCCTAGGTATCTACATGATAAAGAACAATTTACATCCTTCACCTTACATCACTATCAAATCATTTGTTAGACATATATAAAACCACTAACGTAGCCTGAACAAGCTTAAGTTTTTGAGTGAATTGGTTCTTTACATAATATTAGAGTCTCGGTGTCATGGGTTCGATTTACACTGTCCCCGTCTTAAACTTTTGAATAAATTGGTTCTTTACACCAGTTAATCTGGTTCGCAGAATAATACTCCTGTATTGTATACTTTAGCACGCCCTCTTCTTTCTTTGGGTGAAAAAATATTTGTAAAAGGTTCAACATTATTGACTACTTCCTATCCATATTGCGTACATTAATATATGGTACTGCTGATAGAAAAGTCAAAAACCACGGATTTCTGTGCTTTACTAGTTTAACATATCCCTAGATTCATTCGATTTTCTTTACTGTTTTCCAGAATCTCAAATCTTTTTCGGTAATGTAGTAGGCAGAAGATTGTACATATATGTCTAAGATTCGTTTATTCTTTAGTAGTGTTTAGTCCATGACGATGAAGATTTGTAAAGCTAGGTTCAGCATAAGTCCTAATGCTAGAAATCAGAGGAGAATATAAACTTATAATTGAAGAGCAAAAAAAGAAAGAGAGAAAGACATTGATATAAATTATATTTCTTAACCGGAATTCTGGCAAGAAGCCCTCAATGTCAACTCACATAGCAACTCAGACTTTTCTATATCAGAATATGAATAATCAGTGCCTTTTCTAGGTGGAGAAAGACAGGTATAATTAATGTTGTTTGAAAATGTCCATTGTTGCAAAAATACTCGAGAAGATGAGAGATTGTAAAAAAGTCATAGAGTAAGAAGACCTCATCCCATACATTAACTGCACCTAGTCAAAGATGTTTCGACATACCCATCTTTAACTTTTTTCTACATTTTGGTGACTATCTTCAATTCCATTACAAGGGCACACATTTTTATAATTTTAATTCAGGGGATTTCATTCTAAAAGTTAGGATTAGGACATACCATTTTCGCGTGGAGTCCGTGTATTAGAAATATGTCTAACACAACAAATTAAGATATAATTTGGACACGTTCATTTAAAATTTTTAAGAAAAAAAAAAAACAGAAGTCGAGTTTATTTTAATTTTTAAAATATTTTTATTAAAAAAGAATAAGATAAAAAAAGATTTTGTCTCGTTCAATTTTATTTTCCTTAACTCTTTATTTTCATTTTTAAATATTTTTATTAAAAAAGAATAAGATAAAAAAAGATTACTAGGGAAAATGGTATTTTCAATATTTTTAAATATTTTCAATTTTATTTTCCTGAAATTTTTTTTTACCAGGAAAATGTGATTACTAGGGATCTGCAGAAAAAGTGAGTTAGATAAGAAAGTTAAAAAAAAGGTATTTATTTGGACAAAATATTACTGAAAAAATTGAGTGAAATTCATGAATCTATGTTTGGTTGAAGATAAAATATTGATGGAAAATCAGGCTGAAATTACAAAATAACCCTAATGAGAACTAATGTTGAAGTCATCAAAGGCAGTTTTGACATCTTCCATGTTCACCTTTTTCACTTAGCTAGCTATCACTCAAATACCACCCTCCAAGTAGGATTTGAGCACCATATTTTTGGTCCAATTTTGCATACAAAGTTCAATTGCTAGGCAAATGGGTTAGCTAGACAAAATTTTAAATAACCTGTACCAAACATGGACATACTACTTATCCACTTTCAAATGCCTAGCAATATTTCAAGATGACATCTACCAAACACACTCTCAGGGGATGTTTGGTACAGGAGAAATTCTTTTTTGTCCGGAAATTTCGATTTTTAAAAATATGATTTTTACATTCAGTTTACGATAATATCTGAAAATTTAAAAAAATTCAATTTTCTGAAAATCCGAAAAAAATCCGTGTACCAAACAGCCCCTCAACTCTTTATTTTCATTTTGACACTATTCACATATTAAAATTTATAAATTTTGAATAAAAATAGGGGAAAAAACTATTCAGCAATATAGTAAATAACATAACAGAACCCACCCACCGTACCATTGACAGAAAATATATTTTTAAGCATCCATCCCCCTATATGATATTATAGATATTTTGGATTTTTGTTTACTTTTTATAATATCATCCTGGTGCTAATTTCCTCGTTACTTATAGTTCCGTTATTTCTGTGTGGATAAACTATAATTGTGTTCAAGAACTACCCAGAATAATAGCTAACAAAATAAGAATAACAAAACTGGCCAAGAATCTTACAGTTGGAGAATGGGTTTGCTGGTAGGGGGGCTCACTGTGGCCAGTGTTTACGCTGCTAGTGCTTGAATCCATGAACTCTTCTTCGTTACCAAGACTTGCCCTGGAAATATTTGTCTTGTTCTGCTTCCTAGTTTCCCGGATTTTTGAGAAATCCAGCGAGTAGTCCGGTACTTCGCCCTTCTGATCCCAGTCTCCAAACTGCGGCACTGATAACCAAGGAGCATTTTTCTATATTGACAATATTTACAACTTAGTCAAATCACCATAAGAAATTCATCAATCGTAATAAATTTTACATTAATAATAATGTACTGTACCCAAAAATTAAAATAATGTAAATGAAAGATTTAGATAAGAAAGAACGTTCTTTCCGGATATGAAAATAATACAAGTTATTAGACTGCAAAGCAAATAAAAAAAATAGAATAGACAAGTAGCCACGGACCCTGTATGATCATGAATCATATGATAAAGGAAATGCAGGCAAAGAACGAATCATAGTGACGAATTTGACTATTTCTTTGCTTTAGAAAGGATTTTATGATTGCTTGTACGACTGCAACACTGTTATCATCATTTCAAAGTTTGAAAACAAAACATAATAATTAATTAAGCTGAGTTGGGAAGGAAAACAGAGTAGGAATCATCGTTCTCGGGTCTATGTTTGACAGATTAATGTGGTCAAAAAGAAGATGCGAAAGAATCGTGGAAAAAGAGCGAACAAATACAATGATACCGATGGATGCATGGTCAATAATAATTACTTTATGACCGAAGTTAAATATCAAATAACCGGAGAAACAACACATGGATTTTCAATCAGTAATTAATCTTCTTAAATCCTATTTCATTCTTCTACCTATCAAAAACTAACAGTGTTCTCTCACAAACTTTCAGAAACAAAACAATTAATTAATCGGTTTCAAAATAAAAACCAAGAAGACTCCGCTCTCTCTCTCTCTCTCTCTCTCTGTGTGTGTTTTTTTTTCTCGTTATTGAGCTTTTAGGAATCAACTAGTAGCAGCAATAGAAACATGCAATTGTATCCAGATTCATGATTTGAGCCAGAAACAAACTCCTGATCTGTGAATTTCTCTCATACGCACAACGCATCCATTCCATGCAAGCAAACAACTATATTCATGCTCATGCAAATACAATCGCGCGATTTACTTTTCCTCGCTTTTCTTATCAACCAAACGCAGAATCTCATATGATTAGAGGGAGGGAGAGAGAGAGAAACTAACCTCTTTACGACGGTCCATGAGAGAGTGATTTCAGATCTAGCGAGATATGGAGCTAACAGTAACACAGCGTGTATTTATAGAGAAAGTGAATAACGAAGAAGCCAAAGCAACAGCGAGGCGAGTGTGAGAGAAGAAAATGAGAGGTCACGGTTTATTTATTTATGATGAATGTTGATTGGCTATGTGATGCAGCAGCGAAAGCGAGCTCCTATGAAACTTACTGCACAATCAGATGATATATACAACAGAAGAAAGGGTGGTCCGTTTCTTATTATTATTATTTTTTAAAATTAAGACTTTTTATTATTTGTCTGTTCAATTACGAAAATACCACTTGTGGACACGCTATGCCTACGAAGCACACGCGACTTCTTTGATACTCCCATTTATTATCTTCTTGTCTATCAATCAAATGCATGATTTTACGGCAGTGTGTGTGCAGTGCGCGTGTTTTCTTTGCTTTAATCGAATTCCCTTTTTGCCCCTCATCATACCCGCCACCTGCTTTCGGCTTTTCTACCTGGCTTCCCACCTCTAAATATTCTCTCCATTTTTGTTCTTCAGCTTTATGGATCCTCTCCCAGAGTCCCAACCCAACCACCCTTAATAATTATTAAAGATATTTCTTGTTATTAATTATTATCTTTCGGCATGGACATTTTTTACTGAAGAATGAATTTCAACAGAATATATATATAATAATTAATTATAAGCAATCTATTGCTCAATGAATTTTATTCAAATCGTCATATTTGACTATTAAATCGGGACCCAGTTGATATAGGATTTATTCTTGTGTTTGAAATTTTAATAAACTGAAAAGTCACGCCTAGATATAGACAAATTAAAAATAGAGTAAATATCTTTTTCGGTCCGGATACCTGCTTTAGTCCCTAGCAAATAAAAAAAAAGTTATTCGTGGTCTTTAAAAAATTTAAAGTAGACTCATTTTAGTTCTTTTGAAAAATTAATATAGGTCTTTTTTGAATTTATGAGGGAACACGATTTCAACTAAATGGATCCATTTTGAATTTTTTAGGACCACGAATAGCCTTTTTATTTCCTAGGGACTAAAGTAGGCATCGTAAAATTTGATGAAGACCAAAAAAAGTATTTACTCTTAAAAATAAAAAGGACAATCTTTCTATCGATCGAGCTACTAACCCAAATCTAAATCTTTGAAAATGGTGTTGATATCTAAACTTAAAATTCTTAACGAATATTAATGATTTAGATAATTACATGTGTTTTTAATCAAATGAAAATTTAAGCTAAATTTTTAGAACATTGCACTATTAATCAATTGTTTAATTCATTTGGATATAATTTTTAAATTCAACAAGGTTTGAGAATTTCTTTCTCGTGTCAATTAGCGGTAATAATTTTTAACGTGATCCATTGATACACATAAACACAACATGAAAAATTGGAGTTACTGTTGACTTATTTTTAAATTCTTACTGTTATATGTTGACAAAAACTGATAAAAAAATGGCAGGATATTTTACAAACTTTTTTTTGTTTATAAACTCTTACAAACTACATTAAGTAGGATCGGTTCTACATTAATCATACAGTGTACGACCGGTCTTATTTAGTGTAATTGCAAAAAAAGTTTGTAAACGGATCATATCCCAAAAAAAAATCTTGTCGTATTGTGAGTCAACCTACTAGCACAAAATTGATCTGTGTTAATATTTTTATATATTATTTGTATAATGTTATGTTGTGTCATATCAATGTGACATTGATGAAAGCAATATTTAATATATAAATTATTAATATCTTATTGTATCATGTTAACCCGCATAATATATAAACAACATATTTTGAGATTAATAAGTTATTCGTATTGTAACATGTAAATAAATTGATTTGTGTTCATTTCGAAAATTTTAACCAATTTTTAAATCCGTGTCGTGTCAACAATTGTGATCCCATTACATTAAAAACACGCACACAAAGGTTCACTACAGCAATCGACCTTAAGTTAATGTCCATGACAACAATGGATTGAGTAGTCTGTCTTAATACGTTGAGTTAATAAATAAATGAAAAAACTTCTATATTGGAATCCCTTTTGTGAGGCAAAACTTGTGAATGTTAACTCGGGTTCATATAATTCTCCCATACAAAGAAAAATGTTGCAGAACAGTAGAAGTTAATAACATCAGGAAAAACTCATGGTGAGAAGCCGAAGATATCACAAATACTGAAATTATATGGATGAGGTAAGACCGACAACCACATCAATATACGAGAGATTCATTAGAGATTCCCTTACCCCACGTTAATGAATTGAGCTAAAGTACAAATCAGATTTTTTTTTTTTTAGAGCGGTTGAACATTTTCACTCCTCAAATAAGGGTAAATAACAAATGTATTTAAGAAATTAATATTTCTCATGTCCTAATAAATAATTATATGGAGTTATATTTTTTTTTTATTTCTTCTCTTCAGATGATCTTGTATGGATCCCACATGAGTTTTATAAATTTTTATGTATATATAAAATATAAAATTTATTACTCGCTAATGATATTATTATTTCTTGAAGAAATATTAGTGGCCAGCGCTAGCCTTTTTAAGCTTATTGACCAAATGTGGGTTCTCCAGTTGAATTTCTTATGTATGTTTATGGGGCTTAATTTGTGACTCCGGGCTTCTGGACGACTTTAAACTTGTATGTTAGGTAAACTGCTCCTGCACCTTTTAGAGCTTGGCAAAGAGCCAAGTTTGCTTACTTGGTCAGTTGGACTTCAAAGACAAAAAAAAAAAAAAAAAAAAAAAAAAAAAAAAAAAAATGAAAATTGGTCCCAAATAAAGTTTTCTTTGCGGGTATTCATTCAGACCAAAAATAATTGATGTAATTTCTCGGTCGCATGTGGAAATCAGATGTGGATACAAAAAAACAAAATTTTGGTGCGTCATATATATCTTTATTTTAAAAGGAAAAAAAAAATTAACATGAGGGATTTTTTTTTTCTTCAAAAGTTGTGAATTTTTTTTCAAACATAAAAAAACAGTTGTACTCATTTAAATACATCTGCACCAAAGTTTAGTTTCTTGAGAAGGAGCTCATCTTTAATACAGCATTAGTATATACTACTGTTAGTGAAAATTAAACACTTGTCTTTAATAAATTATTTTTTCTTTTTCATGTCATCAATCAATATATGTGTTTAATTTTTATTGAAAAGATGTATCGAAAAGTGGGTAAGACAATAGTATTGTAGAAATTTCCCTTGAGAAGGGAAATATTTAATATGGTTCAGGACCACTGAATCTTTTGGTACTCCCTCTCACATTATTAATTTTTTCTTTCTTTTTTTATCCCTGTTATTTTTCCTCTTTTTCGATTTTACCCTCTTATTTACACTAAGGGGGCGTTTGGTTGAGGAGAAATTTTTTGAATACTAGGAAAATGTAATTGATAGAAAAATGGTTGGAAAGTGAGTTTGGTAGGAAGATGTAGTAAAAAAAGTTGTTTGGTTGGAATTTTTTTGATAAATATCATAAAATCTATGTGTTGTTTGAGTTAAAATATTGATGGGAAAATGGTATAAAATTACATTTGTAACCCCAAGTAACTTAAACTCATATAAAACAAATTGGATTTTGCATTGTTAAAGGATATTATTTCCAACAACTTCAAGCTCCGATTTTTATGCACCCATTTCAGCCGCACGAAAGCCAAATCATCAAAAATTAAAACACCCACCCACCCACCCACAGTGACACAGCCAAGTCTGTGTCCCTTGTCCATGTTTTATCACCGTCGGAGACTGTGCCTGTGGTTCCACAATTGATGGTGAAACGATCCTCTGGTTCGTAAGCTTTGATTTGTGTGGTGAGGTGAAAGAGCAAGATGAAAAGAGAAAGGTAGAGGATGGTGGTGGTACTATTGAAGCTCATTTTTTTTGAGACTCAAGTGTTTCAATGAATGTGGTGAATGATTGAAAAGTTTTGATGAAGTGGTCATGGTTTGATTGGTTGTAGTTTGCAGGACCTTTTGGAGTCTTCATTTTTGATGCTTGACGGAGAACTCAGCAAGGAGAAGAAGCAGAGATTGTACGCCATTTTTTGTTGCAGAAGACACAATCAAATTCATCTCTATCATGCTCTATTGTGTGCCATTTGCGTATGACATCTCTCTCTGTGTCTGAGGTTAAGATAAAAGGATATTTTTGTCACTTACTTATTTTCTTTTATCCATTTAGCTGGTTTTCTCCACAATACCACATGGAGAATGGCATTTCTTCTATGGGTTTTTGATAAGTTTTTTCAAAGAACTGACAAAAGATGGGAAACTCAGTTTGCTCGGTAAATTTTTAAAAAGTCTAAACCAAACATTGTTTTCTTATAATGCCACTCACTGACGCATAGGTATCTGATCAGAAATCTTGAACCAAACGCGTCCTAAGGGACCACCTGAAAAATGGTGGTCCCGCCTCACTCTAAATAATCTCCTTGAGAAGGTGATCTAAAACTGACACGTGGTTAAAAAGAGAGGACCTATCGGTCTCACTTGCATTCGGTAATCTTGCCAGCAAGCGTACACCTCAAAACCATAATCTCCCCTAATCCTATCTTTATTCGGATTTTTTTAAAATTATTATTGTCATATTTATTATGCAATTTGTGGTCACAATTAATTCGTGGGAAAATAAATCTTATAAATTTTAAAATTATGTCATTTTTTATTACTTTTATGATTATATAAATTTGATAAGAAAATCCATCTTCAAATAAATAATATAAATTATAATCTGTTTTAATTTTTGTATCATTTCTAATTATGTCTCATTTCTAATTATGTCTCATTTCATTGATGAGCTTAAAAGTTATTTTGACAGGTGATGCATATAATTGGAATTAGCCCCATTCTTATATTATTACTCAGTAAATCTTAATCGGTTGTGCATATAATGAATGCAGCATAATCAAGTATTGCTTGGCTTATTACTGGTTTCTAAACTTCGAATCTAAAAAATTGTAGTATTATTTAGAGAAGAATCTTGATGCTAGAGATAGAGAGCTTAAACGTGAGGCAGATCTTGAGGAGAAAGCTCCAAAAGTGAAAGCAAAATCTAAGATGTCCTAGGTAAACTCTCTGTTAGTTAAACAAGTCCATTTGTAATGGTGACACGATTGCCGTTTATTCTTTTGGAGAACTTAAAGGATAGCTTATAAATCCTAGTTCATTTTTGGATAACAGGCTGAGAAAGAAGCACGGAAGAAACAAAAGATGAAGGCCTTTCAGGCAGCAAATCAAAAGGCTAAAGGTGTGAAAAATGCAAAGAGATTGAAATGAGTAAAAAGGTCCACAACATCATAGGAGCTCTTTCATTAGACTAATTTACCATGTAGAGAGGGATAGAAGGAGAACTAGCAAATTGAGTGAGCTTCTCAGTATTTGTATATATTGTTTATCATCAGACTAACTATTTGGATCATTTGATGTTTATAATAGTTCCAAGTTAAGAGACTAGTTTTCCGTTGAAAGCAGAGGATGAAAAAAGAGCATTACAATTCATATCAACCTTGCTGCCCGAAATGACTATGTTAAATGAGATTATAAATTCAGACAAACACCGAATGAAAGAATTGTGTAAATTTGGTCAAACCATTGTCACCACCGAATGGGCCCTTGCCTTCTTATGCTACACTGAGTTTTTTTACCTCACATAAATTATAATGCAAATAGTGGAAGGAATTTTGCTTCATGAAATACCTATCCTTAACTTTGTATCTTTTTCTTAAAGCAATTAAATATTTGTTGATTATCTAGGGAAAACTGTAATAATACGCCTAAGATTTGCTTTAAAATAAAAAATACCCATAAGTTTTTTTAATCAACAATTTCCATATGATAAAAAAACATTCATACCCTTCCTTAATACCATAAATTTCTCTTTCTTCAATGCTTAGCGCCGTTAATATCTTTTTCTTCCAATCTCCATGGTTCATAAAGCAATGAACTTCAATGCAATGAACTTTCCCTTTACAATTTCACGATAAAATTTCAACATCTATATTATGAAGTTTATAATTTATTAAATTATGATATATATCTTTGTGTTTTCATATAATGATTTTAATAAACATATTTAAATACCATTGATGAAAATGAAATAAATTTCAGTATTTGAAATGCTTTGCATTTTTGCCTAACTTTTTTCCATTCTTCCAAGCATTTAGCTGAAATTGGAACAATAAAAGATAGGAGAAGTTTCCCATAAATAAATTGTTTCATGCAGAGATTGCTATCTCCTCCACCAACAAAAGCATTACAATTTTGATTAAAATTACCCAAAAGAAGAAGAAGAAAAAGATTTTGATCAAAGCTCTGCTTCAGACTCTTTCTCAGTGTCAGTACTGTCCTTCATCTTTTCTGTTGTCTTATGAAAGGCTTCTCCGACCACTTTTGCGGCTGATTTAGCAGATTCCTCAACTGTCTCTTTGCTTCTGTGGAAACTCTCCCCAACTGCTTCTTTCATTGTTCCTTTGGCACCATCATGTCCTGCCTCTCCCCCACCCCTGAAACTGAGAAAAAAACACATAGCGTTTACCTACATTACTATTCATGTGGAAACATAAAAGATAGAAAAATCAAATAAAACTTACTCCAAATTTGGTGGGGAGAATTGCATCTGCAGATCATGAATGACAGTTTTGATTTTCTCCCAGGAACTTTTGTGGGACTTTCTGAGTAGAGAAACGGTATCCATCAGTAGCTTGGAAAGAAGTGGTTTTTCTGGGTGTTCTTGAGCAACATTTTGGCCACCTTCGTCAAGTGTTGCAGGCTGGAATTGAAGAATGATAAGGACACAGAAAAGAAGAAACAAAAGGGTGGTTCTGCTGAATTTATCCATGCTAATAACTAACAAATTCTTCGAGGTTACGCAAGAGGAATGCCAATGTATTTGGCATCCAAGGTAGTTTGTAGTTTTTGGATTCTCTACTTTGAACACGTTCAGCCTACGTGGGGCTCGTATCTTGCATGTAGTGGTCCATACTTGAATATTTCAAACTATATAATTTTTTGTCCGAAAATAAAGAAAAATAATAAAAGAGAAAAAGATGCAAGTAATCAACAAAATAAAAAATTTAGATGATTTTTTCAGAGTAGACCACCCCCAAAAATAAAATAAAAGTAAAAATTAAAAAAATTAGACCGGAATATCAAAAACAAAACATGGCTTTTAAAACTAACTTTATTCAATGTGCATTACATTTTTAAAAAACAAAAACAACCCAGTTCTGCATTTTTAAGTAATACTACTCTCATTTTACATGAGAAAGTTATCTCATATTCTCTCACTTCGAAAATTGCACCATTTTTTTTTTTTTTACTTTTTAATGATGAGTCTCACTTGAATTCTCTCTATAACATGAGAGAACTACTCTCATGTAACATTGAGAGTAATATTTCCCTCTTAAGTTTTACTGCTGAAAAAAAGGAGTACGAGTGTTGGGGTTTCTCAACTAACCATTTTTAACATAACGTTGTGAGTATAATCATGCAATAATATGTGCTTATACAATTGGTTTTGGTTGATATTCAAACAATTTTTTTTGTACTGTAAAGTCGTAGGTCAGTGTAAACATTCTTTGTTAATCCTTCATAATGAAATTATCTTTCTGTAGGGCGAAAAAATAATTCATATATTCTAATTCCAAAATGCTTCTTGAACATCTTCCTCATAAGATTTAAGTTACCTCACATTTTATTTTTCCCTGGAAACGAACAATCCAATGGCATTATTCATGATTCCTTTATTTTGGGTATAAGCATCTGTCAACTAAAGCTGTTTCTAAGGCCAGTTTAAAACTTGGAAAAATCCATCTTATTCAGAGTGTGTTACGTACAGCACTGTTGACTTTTACAATAGCAGGAAAAGAAAGGTATGATATAAAAGAATGGACCACGTATCATTTAAATTCTTCCCAAACTTTGAACAAGTAGCTCCTCCTTACACTGAGAAAGCCTCTAACAAATGAATGAATCAATGGAGACAAGTTACAAGCGGAACAAAGAATTTTAAACAAACATATAACTTTGTTCCATGCAAGAATACATCAGAGTATTAACCTAGCAATGACTAATTACCCAATACAAAGATCTTCAGACATTAATATCTGAGCGCTTTGTTCTCGATGCAGTACTGATTTCTGAGGAGCCAGACAGAGAAAATCTAGGGAAGCTATAGCTTTGAGAGACTGAAACTGGCTGTTGAGGATAAAGTGTGGGCGGTGGAGTTAGATTGCGTTGAGCTGGAAGAGGAGGAAGCGTGTTATACTTGTAAGGATCACTGCTTAGACTGCAATCAATAACAAACTTTGTAAGGAGTGGCACAAAACAAGCTTAAAAAAGAAAGAAAGAAAACACATTATGATGAATTGATAATGAATAAGCGTGCACTCTATGTTAAAAGTTAATACTAATACTAATTTATAATTATTCCATCACCAAGATACCTAGGATTTGGAGCATAGTTCTACAACTACGATTTTATACAATGATCTGGGATTTTTCCAATCTCCATCTATATAACAAGACACAGCCAAATCCAATATTGCATCTATGCATGAGTCTTTCCAAAGCTGAAAAATAAGATCAAGAAAGCATATCCCAGCCAAGGACATTCTTGATGGTAAGTACGGTGGTGATGATTAAAGCACTGCAACATGCCAGCACCAAAATGATTTAAAAGACAAGCAGAAAATACCTCGTGTTATAAGACTGTTCATCTTCAATAAAATTTTCATCTATACGCTGAGCAGGTCTTTGAACTGAAGGAATGGACCATGGGCTTGGTGCAGGTATTTCATCTGAGAAATATCTTCTCCTGATCAACTAAAAGGAGAGGTACCAGAAAACTAAGATGATGACCCCATACATTAATAAAAGATAAAGAGATTGAAGACCATACTGACCATGCGGAAAAATTTCATCACAGCCTCCTTGTCATATCTTGCTTCTTTTGCGGCCTGCAGATATCCAACATAAAAATCGCAACTAATATAAGAAGAATGAATTGGATAGCAACTATTTAACAGAATGCAAAAACAGGCAGATCTCTGCATCAGATATGATCTGTTACTTCATAGGCACATATGTTATTTTAGATTTTGAATGATTAAAAGGGAAATCAAGACTCCCAGACAGTGTAGCATCTACAATTAAATATTTTCTAAAGCTAAGCACAGCGGGCAATGGCTGAGCTAAATACATTATTCATAATATGTGGCTCAAAAAAATATGCATTGACAAGAAATACACAAGTCATCCATAATATTCAAAACTTTAAAGAAATACACAAGGTGACAGGGAAAATTAGAAATTTACAATATTAACTTGTTTTCAATTTTGGAAAGACGCAAGGAGGAGAAGCTTTTCTGTATGGTTCTCATTAGATTCCACCCCATTCCATCAGCTAAAATACCATTTCATATACAGTTGTATGGTCATAAAAATAAAATAGGTGGAAATTATTTTTGTGAAACATGTTTAATATGTATTTCTCAAGCATTAAAAAACAAGCACAACAAAAATTTCAAATTGCCAGTATACTGGCTAGCAGTTGAAATTCCCTAGTAATTAGCACTAACATCTAATTTATTCAAATCTACCTGAATACAACATACTAATTTTCATGGGGGTAGCATACAATCCCAAGCATAACAAAGGGGAACAAAGCAAACTATTAAGTAAAACGGACACAAAAGATTTTAGTCAAGACACATACTGCAGTAAGGCCTCCACTGCTAGGAAAACTCTCAGTCAGCGGAAGCTCCTCACTGGATGGAAGCAAACCCTGCTTCTCGACCCACTGGCGTGCAACATCAACAAGATTCCCACTGCTTCCTCTTGTACCCTCTTTTGCAGCAATATCTGCTTTGTTACCGATAACAATATATGGAACAGGAAGGCCACCAGGGCCACCAGATCCCAAAGGAGCTGAAAATGTCCCAGTTGCAGCAATCTCAGCTGCCCACTTCTGCAAGCTAGACTTCGTTCTTCTCTGTGAAAGATCATGAACAAAAACTACACCTGCAAACGAAGTTCAAACAAGAAATCAAAGTTTACAAATCAGACAGCTAACTTTAAAAATTGCACTTACTGTTAAGGCATCATTAATTAGAAAACTAATTTTAATTGTAAAAAGTTTCAGAATACCCAAATGCTATTAAGAGATTAACGCAATTATATAAGATGGCAGTGATTAGGGTATTATGCAAATAAATGATATTTAGACAGCCAATTTCAAATCAATTATTATTGCAGATTAAAAAGATCAAGGCTGAAGGTTCAATAACAAAGTTAATTTATTTTCAGTATGCAAGACTTGAAAAAGAGAAACCAAGGATATACATAGAGACCTTAAACATTAGAAACCATCTTCTATCTCTTTTCCTTGGTCACAAATCTTGATTCTTTGTTTTGTAGACTTCCTAATTATTAGATCGAATATACACAACTACTTCTTACAAATGTAAAAAGAGTGAGCCTGGAATAGTGATAAAGCTGCTCCTTTGTGACTACAAGTTCGAATCCTGAAACAGTCTCTTTCAAATATGCAAGGTTAGGCTATGTACAAGGATTTCTTTCATCCCTAACCTTGCTAGTTGGGGTTTAATTTGGGAGCAGTTTTGATTCTTGCAAATGTAAACAATTATACATTTTACAAAACTAATACAATAGGAGCTTTGTTACTCACCATTAATCTGTGAGTAAAAGAGAGACCGACAATCTTTGTATCGTTCATGTCCTGAGACATCCCACAGTTCGACAAAGAAATCTCTCTCAGAATCACCTTTAAGGCTACTTGAAGAGCTTCCAGAATTTCCATAAGTAGTGTGCTGGAAAAAGAAAGAGAGGACATTCGGTGAAGACTTTGAACTACAGAAACCATGTACATTTTCTTGTGTAACCATCAAATGTGGAGTATTTACCTTCACATCTACGGTACATCCAATTGTCTGAGAAGGGCGAGCCACACAAGAACCTTTAACAATCAGGTGAACTAAAGAAGTCTTCCCAACACCTGCAATAATGAGAAAATTTGACATATCTGAACCTAAGATATCTCTGAAAAATGGTTACATAGGGAATCATAAAGAAGGGGGCCGGGGGCAATTAATCACATGCTCAGAAAAATCAAATTATTTTCTTCATCATATACCTAAAGTTAACTGATGTACATCCAAGGGTATGAAGTTTATAGACTCGGGAAGTAGCACCAATTATGCCTAAAGACTAACAAAAGAGATTTGATGTACTTGATGCAGTAATAACAATAAATACAAATCATAATTTTTCCTAAGAGCTTCAGAAAGACACCATATGCGAGATCATTTTCCAATGCATATTCCCCCCATGAAAATAATATATGGCAACTTAACCCTACTGTAAAAGTGGAATTATAAGTAAGAACTATTTCCAACCTCAGCACTGCAGTACTAAGCTAAGCAACACTAGATTTTGATTTTTTTTTCCCCCACTGTTGATTTATATAAATAGTCATTACTTAAGGCTCACTGCAGGTATAGCCTGTAAAAAATAAGGTAGCTCATCATTTACACCAAATGTTGTCCATTCATGCCACCCATGTTGCTCAGTTCCTGAGCTTCACTATTTCAGTCAAATAGTATTTCATTTCATCCCAGGATTTGATTTCACATAAAACCATCCAGTCATTTGCTGCACTCAATCACTAGAACTGAGTATGTCCTTGGGATGATAGTAAAAAAAATACTAATTTTGAACTATAAAATTCAAACCAATTCAGAGTAGAAATTTTCAATCTTAATAAATCCAAACTTTTGTGGAGTCAAAGATCATCCATTTTTTGAAGTTGGCCTATTATCCTGTAACACTTGGTTCATAATAACTTAGAAAGGTCAAACACATAGGTTCAAAAGTATGCCCAAAGAAATTATCACATTACTTCAAGACTTACTTTCATCAGCTGAATGTCAAAGCACATAGGGTTTCTCTGCAACTTCCATCATCTTCCAAGTTGTTACTCTCATTATAAGATGTTGATCCTTTTAAAACAAATAGATTCCCTAGAATCTATTTATGCATCTAAAGATTCTAAACCCTTCCAAATTGAATTTCTATAACCTTGTGCATATCACACCATATTGCAGCTAATGTTAGTAAAATAACTCATGTGGGCCCCATTACTTTTCTCAGTCCCCTGATCTAAGGTTTTCAGCAGCACTGTTACAAAATTTCAATCAACTTGACTTTTGTCCACAACAACAAAGAACAATCAGAGAATTTCCTATTGCCACTGGCAAATCATAATAAAAAAAATTAAAACACATCAATTGGGAAAGGTTAACACTAAGTCACTAAGAACAACAACAGTAAAGGGGGCCCTAAGAATCATGCACCTGAGTCACCAACAACGAGTACTCTGACCTGGCCGCATAGCACCCCACCGTTCTGCTCTTTGTTATCTCTCTCACGGTCCCTCCAGAACATCATTTCCTCTTAACGAAGAAACCAAACTCCAAATGCAAACTCAATTGCAGTGATCAAGTTCCTTCAAATGGATTCAAGCACCAATTTTTCAAAATGGGTAATCCGAATTTTGTTCCGGAATCCATGTCATGTGAGAATTAAGCCAATATCAGAGGAAGAAATTGACATCCCATTGTTACACATCTTTGAAAGAAAGAAAAAAAACACCCAGAAAATCAAACCAACCACTTCGCCTACGGATCTGAAATTGGTAGACCCAGATGAGGGTCTTCCCTGCTTAGAGTTTAAGAAAGTTGACAAGTAACTAAATAAAAAAACGATTCAGATGAAGATTGATTGGGATTTGGCTTTCAAAAGGGTAAGAAAGAGTTGAACAGAACAATATGCAAAATGGTTCGGAGTTTGGATTTGGATCAGAGCGAAGGTACCTGGAAAGATGCTACCACAAACTTGAGGGAATGATGAGATCTCGCTACTCATTCGTGTAAACCACGCGATCAAAGAGCACGTGAAATGAATGTATCAAAAATCAAATAAAACTTCATTTCATCTCTTGTTTATTTAATTTTTGATAAAGCCCTTCTCAATTATTAATCTTATCTCACATAATATATAAATACTTTATGTAGGTAAAATAAAGTTATGAAACTCATAATTTTTTAAAAAATAAAAAATTGGTACAAGAATTTATGAGTGTATGATATAAAATAATTATGTGACATAAGTTATATTTTATTCTTATTAAATAAATAAATAAATAAAATTTGCACACGCACTTAGAATCCAACCATTAAAGAATAAAAGAATAGTCCTGATTTTTCTTTTAAAAAAAGAAAGTCAAGCAGATTACTTTACCTCATCAATTAAAAAAATTACAGGAAATAATGACATCTGTCACTTTATGATGTGACATTTGGCATGTAAAATTTAGAATTAATATTTAAATTCAGATAGTCAGTAATTTTTTTATGATATAAAGATAAGCATTAATTTTGAAATTAAATCGATGCTCCAAAATATATTAAGAGATTAAATTAAATTTATAGGAACATATAAATATTTAAACTAAATGAAAAAAGATTAACTTGATGTTTCATATACAATGAAACGTAAGTATTTAACCACACAAAAAAAGAAAAAGCCTAAGTAACTGATTAATTTAGTCGTGTCCCATCAAACCCATATGTAATGAGGCTAAGGTAAGGCCCAAAATAAATATTTAAGGTACGGCCCTCTCGAGCACAACTTTAGACCCAAATTATGTAGATGTTAGTTTTTTTTTTTTTTTTTTTTTAAATAGATGTTGGTTCTTTCGTCTATTGTGAATGTGGACAATGATAGCAGCTTGAACTTTGAATGAGTTTCATATGCTGTGGGGGCCAAATGGGGAATGCTAGAACAAATCAGCGGCGTTTGGTAGATGAAAAAAAAATTTATCAGAAAAATATAATTATTAGAGATCTATAGAGAAAGTGAGTTAAGTTGAAAAGTTAAAAAAAAGTTATTTGATTGAGCCAAATATTACCAGACAAATTGATTAAAATTTTTGAAATCTATGTTTTGTTGAGGATAAAATATTGATGGGTAAATGATATAAAATTACAAAAGTAATCCCATAATAATTTTTTAATATTAATACAAGTGGCCATTGCTCTTTAGATGAAGGTATTTTGGTTTGACTTTTGGTTACCCTTCTTGCTATTTAGCCGGCTAACTACACAATACCACCTCCAAGTTGTCTTTTAAAACAATGACTTGTGCTTGCATTTTACGACCATTTCTCAAATGCTATGCAAATAAAACAGCTGAATTTTTTTTTCAAAACTGTCTACCAAACATGGACATCATACTTTTCTAAAGTCATATGCATAGAAAATTATTTGAAAATCTTGAAACAAAAACCCCACACCTAAAGTGATTCTCGAATATAGATAAACAATGGTTTGATAAATGTAAAAAAAATTCGATTTAGTGATGTGCTTAAATGTTATTTAATATCTATTCATATTATCTAAATTTTTTCTTAACTTTAACTCATTTATATCCCTATTTATTTGCAGCACCCAAAAAAGACGAATATCAACGAATTGTCATCATTAATAAGCTAGACGAGCAAGCAACATACGCAATACTACGAAGCACCGACACTTCAAAAATCCTGATGTGTCGTGTTCGACACTCCGACACTCCCCGACACTCCAACATGCGTTATAGAAATTCAAAAAAGGTTCAAAGGTTGTGTTGTGTTGAGTTTTTAGTTCTAACTATTAGATTCATTGAATTACGATTACTACTTTATTGAGTTTAATATAAATATTTTGGATATCTTATGTTTCTTTGCAAAACTGATGAATATTATAAGTTTAGTTTTATTTTTTTGTTAAATTATTGAATATTAAATATAATATACTCTACATAAATTAAAAATATTATTTAATATCAAAACGTGTCCTAACGTGTCGAAATCTAACATTTTTTAGAATTAACGTGTCGGAGTATCGTATCGTGTCGTGTCAGTGTCGGTGCTACATAGACGTAATATATGCGTGTCTAAAAGTAAGAATGAGAACAAATAAAATAAAATATTTAATTTAACAAAAAATATATATAATTTTTTTGTTTGTATTTATTTAATAAAAATATAAATAAGTGAAGAATTCTGCCCAAGTTTTATTGGGAAAAATTAATTTTAAAGACCACTAACCGGAAATATTTATTTTTGAGGGATTAAAAAAGTTAAAAATTAGGCACAAAGTCTATTTTAACTTTCTTAGTTCTGTAAGATTAAATCATCCTTCTTAACTGTCCTTATTATTAATTTTTTAATTTTATAACCAGAAAAATCAAAGGTAAATTTTGATTATAAACTATCTTCAACCTAGCTTGGAGTTAGTCTCGCTTCATGTATTAAAAACAAAAATTTGACATACATTGGTAATTGACAAGTAGTGAAAGAAGACAAATTAAGTAACCACGAGTTGAGCCAACAAAGATGGATACAGTTGGCTAATGATTTGATCCATAAACCATATTCTTTCCACAAGGACGTGGATTCAAACTCCTCTAACTGATATAAGGATTTTGTTAATGAATGACATATAATTCCTCTTGAAAATCTTCAAAGAGATTTGAAGTCTTCTCTGATCCTGGTAGATTATCGATCTCTAACCCACGATGAGTTTTCAGAAGCCGAAAATGCCTAAACATTAGAATCAACATAGGAGATTTGGTTGTAATAAGAGGTAAATGGGCTTTCGTGATTGTGCACACCTTCATAAGTTGTTATCACATAGCTCGAGTCATCCCTATCCCTTTCAACCCTTTTCTTCACATTGCATCCTCCACTTGAACATTTGTAGTAGTTCCTGTCATCATTCAACGATTCTCCTAGCTATTAGTTACTTGGAAAACTGAATGTATTGATTATTAACTGATCAAACTCAATCAAGTAATTAAAGAAAGTAATTCAACTGTAAGTATTAAATTGATGAATAAGGACAAACTCTCACAAATGCATAAATGCTTCACTTAGTTCAGACTTTGTGCACTATAAACTTAACAAGAATATCTGCTTAATCAAATTATCAATTTCTTATTTTGTTAACCAGCATGAATCGAATCAAATTTTTTTGAATCAATACAGTTTAATTTTACCAAGTGAGCCAATTTTTATTGACAATAGAACTTAACTGTCTTAAACAACTATAAATGAAACACCACATATGATAATTCAAATTTAGTCTTATTTTCCTTCTTTAATCATATCTTAAAAATATTTTGACCAAAAGAAAAATACTAAGAATAAAACAACTACACATCTCTCTCAATTAGTAGTTTTTTTTAATTGAATTAACAATATTTTATTAAAAATAATATTAATTTTTTCCAAAGAGAACAAACTTATTTGTGCCTCGCCTCAATTACTATCAACTTCAAGCACAAATAAATAAAAGACCACCAACGCTTGTTGGTATGAATTAAAAGAAAAAATTAATTCATTTAAAATTAGGTTTTGAATTCGAGTTTTATAAATAGAGAAAATAAAGGTTAAGACAATTTGTCTTAATATGTGAGTCTACCTAATTGAATTCAAATTAATCAGAGACTTGAATAATTTTCAAATACACATAATCTTAAATTAGGAAGAAAAAAAAAACTAAAGGAGCACCAAAAAGAGAGAGGGAGAGGAAGAAGTCACAAACCAAACTAATATCATGTACATGTTATATGGCCATAATAAATAAACCTCAAATCATATATATCTCAACTAAAAAATCTTAAATAAGTTTATGAAATATTTTATTTATATAATTTTTACTTAATAAGGAGAAAATACATTCCTTTAAGCCTTTAATTGGTGTCCATGAATAACTCACAACCACACAAGAGTCCTTATCCCCAAGCCATTAATATATGACCGGCCGCCACAACATTAATCTAGCCCAGACGCACTACCCCTGCTATATCACACTAAAAAAAAAAAAAATTTGATTTCGTATGACTTAATTAAAAAGAAAAGATTTCGTATGAGTTAACCAGCCACACGTTAATTTAACTCACATGCCTCCTAACTCACCACCAGCCTAGATCTAAACATATGTTCTTTTAAGAAAGGAAAAACATGTAATTTGTAAACATCGATCCTATTTAAACCACAAAAGTAAAATTAAATAATAAATTAACTCTATTATACTTTTATCTGATTTACTATTCAAAAATATTATTCTTACACTTAAGCTTGTATATTTTTCTTTTACATTTACTTGTTGAGAGAAAAAAAAATGAAATTGAAAAAAAAATTCTCTTTTTTTTTTTTTACATAAAATGAAGGTGTAAATTGTAAAAAAATTGAGTGTAGAAATAACATTTCCCTTTATTATTATTAGTATGGGAAAAAAATATTTTATGTTTTGCTACCGAAAATATTCCTTTCATACACTCATAAAAGTTAGTGTGTTTCACTGACTTATATTCTTTCTTCTTTTCGTAATAAAATTTATTTACTTTTATATGAATACTACATAAACATATTTTGTAATAAAAGTAGAAATATTAAACCCTATCAATAGTAATTTGAGATAATTTTATCTCCTCTAATATAATTTCTTTTTTTATAAACGCAATTTTATTCGAATAAAGAATATTTATATTTTGGTGAAGCTAATTCTCCCAATAAAAAAAAAAATTACATGCACAAACCCAACAATAACATTGAGAAATTTAAACCCTTAGAATATACCTTAGATTGGGGTTGTTCTTCACGGACTTCTTTCCATACTTCCTCCATTTGTATCCATCATCCATAATCTCAAGCTCTGATCTTGTTCTAAACGCGATCCTTGGATTCACTTCTGCCTTATTTCGCTTGATCCCATTTTTGGATTTTCTGCATAACATTATTCAACATAATCCAAAATACACGTTATATTAAAAAAAACAAAAAAAAAAAACATGCTTAATTCTACATAGACACACGCACGTATATATATGGAAAAAATAAATCTCATGTTGTAAAAGAATTCTAATCTCATGTAATAGATACATCAAGTATGGGACTCACCTATTTAAAAAAAACAAAAAACAAAAAAATGAGTAGCACACCTCTTTATGATGTGTGTAGGAAAGATTTGTTTTATCACGTAACATGAGAAAAACAAACCCACATATATATATATATATATATATAGTACTATATGCCATTTTATTGTTTAACGAAGGAAAGCAACCAAAAGAGAAAAAGAAAAGCACTTACATGTTATTGTTGTTGGAGGTTGCACCATTGAATCCGTGACTGGCATCGCTGAAGGTTACCTTCTCTGACGAATCAGTACTTTGTGATCGAGAGTACTCTTGATGTTGATCAGCACAATCATCGAGAATGAGATAATCAGAAAGTAGAAACTCAGAGGAGGATGGAGCTATGTCAGCAGAGCGAGCATAGTTTGGGTTAGAATGTGGGTTTACAAAATAGTAGTCCATTGCATATGGTAAGTGCAAAGACTAGGGAGTGAAGAGCATTTGGCCTTTTTATGACTTAGCCAATGGTTTTATATTGAAAATTTTAATATCTAGTAGGATAAAAATATAGTTTTCCCTATTATGCTTTTTCTTTGAATGATCCTTCCAAACACCTTCCTAGACGGATACAATGAAGGTTCCTCTCGCTGATCCACGTGTTAACATCAATCACGCTAAGTGACGTCATATCATGACGTGATGGTAATTGATGCCACTGTTCCACTAAGGTAATACCATTTTTTTATTTTTTTTATTTTTCTTTTTCAATAGACGATGCATATTTTAATATTTTGATAGACATCATATGGAATCTACCCTAATTCATTAGCACTTGGGGTTTCATTATCTCATCAATTTCAAATTAAATATTGAGTAAACACCTTTTTTAGTCTCTGTTAATATTTATGAAGTCCTTTTTAGTCCCTGGCAATAAAAAAAGACCAAATTGGTCCCTAAAATTACAAAAAAAGGGTCATGTTAGTCCTTATGTCAACTCTCAAATATGTAGAGTGGCCTTTTTCTTGTACTTTCAGGGACTAATTTGGTCCTTTTTTATTGTCAGGGACTGAAAAGGACTTCGTAGATATTGCCAGGGACTAAAAATGGTATTTACTCTTAAATATTATAGCTAGTTACCCATGACAGCATCAACAGTACTTGTGGATTGTGGCGGCTTGAGATATATCATGTGACAAAATTGTCTTTTACTGAAAAAAAATAAAAAAAAATTACGCTCCTTCTCTTCTAATTTTTAGTAGTTATATACAAATTTGCCAAAGTTATGACATATAAATCGAGTAGCTTCTTGTTGTATCCTAGACTCTTACACTTCAATTTTCTGCTTATTTTGTGGGAATTATTATTTAACATACACAATAAATAAAAATAATAATTTTAATCGTTCATTATTTGACAAATGCCATAACTCTAGATTTAAAATATACATATTTTACGATTAAAAATTATAAATAAGTTTTGAAGTCATTATGGTACCTTCAATTCAAGTTCTATAAATTTATTGAAATCCATGCATATTTAAAGTATATTAGATCAACTTGTGATTATAATATTGGTGACATGTAACCAAAGAAATATTATTTCAAAAAATCTCTAATCACAACTTGCATCCATTTAGTGTTGTTATGAAAATCTTAAAACATTTATATATAACTTTTAGGGCTCGTTTGGTGGACAGGGTAGGATATGATATGGGTTGATAAAGATAGGATACAGCCTATATCATGTCATGTATTTGATGAACACCTGATTAGCAATCTGATAAGATTATGTAGAAGGAGAAAGGAAAAATAAAAAATAAAATATAATGCAATAAATACAAATATATTGGATAACGTGTGAATATATTGGATTAACGTGGGGCTATATTAGGTATCCAATATTGGTATTCTATCATGTTGGATCCTAACCCAGCTCTCCCATAGGATAAGAAATCATGTATTGGATAGGATAAAATGAGACAATAGGATAAGCTAATCATATCCTATTGACCCACCAAACAATAGATAAAAGTAAGATATAATAAGTTATCATATCTTATCTTCTTTATCAGGTGCTCCAAACAGGGTCTTAAAGCACGTGAACCAAATAACAAAATAAGCTATTAGTAAATATAAATAATTGGAACTTGTAAGTTGTAACTATCAATTGCTCATAAAATAGGATTATTAAAGATAAATATACATAACTAGTTTTAGATTATTTATTTTTATTGTTATTTTCTCTGCAACACTTATTTCCTTGACTTGTTCCAATTAGATTAGATTATGTATTTGGAGCAACGAAATCAGACAAATCAAGCAAAGGTGACATCGTGCCCATTTTAAGTAAAGATGACTAGATGCTAAGAGATTTAGCTCCACATCCGACTTTTGCTCTCATTTTGTCCCAAGTTGATCTCACCTCTCTCTCTCTCTCTCTCTCTCTCTCTATATATATATATATATATATATATATATATATATATATATATATATATATATATATATAATAATAATATCATCAATATTTTATTCGAATGAAAGAAAAATAAAGATCACTTTGTTTGGAATATCGCTTAAACAGAATTAAATAATTTATTGTATAGAAGTGATGAGTTTGAAATCATATAAACAAGATAAGTTTTATAAATTATCATATCATCTTATATTCTTAAAAAATATAATTTAAAAATAAATTATTTGTATTGAAATAATTTTTTATAATAATTTTTTAAAATAATCTCATGCATTATTTTATTACAATTTTTTATAATAAATTACATTTATTTTTTATTATAATAACAAAAAATATACTTACAAACATAAAAACATTAATAATTGAAGGAGCTCATTACAATAGCTATTAAAAAAGTGTTATATTTATACCAAAAAAAAAAAAAAAACTGCTGTACTGAAAGATTATGGACAATATCGACGAAGAGGTTTAATTATTTAATTGATATTTAAAGAAAAAATCTTAAAAATTTTCAATAACTAACAAGCATCATGTGCATTACATGAATATTCTAAATTTAGAAAAAATAAAAAATATAAATCAAAAGAAAATATTTATATTTTTAAAAATTATAAAAAGTTATGTATAATTAATTTGGGTAGAATTTAAAAATATACATTAAAAAATAAAAAAATTAAATTAAAAAGGAGATATGCATACTTAATTTAAAAGAATTTGAATTTGAAAGAAAAAATTAAGAAAGATATATATAATTCGTTAAAGGAGTATAGACTCGATCAAAAGATTAAGTCACTTTTAAAATAATATATTTTGATTTAATATATATGAATGGGCCAATGGGGTATCTGAATTTGGAATGAGAAATGTATAATTATTTTTTGTTTGAATTTTTTTACTATTAGTTATCTGATTAATCTAATTTGAATCAGGTAAGATAAGACTATAAGAAGAGTAAAGCTCTCTCTTAGTATGTTGGAACAACTCCTTACATCTACATGCTTAGTGTATAATTTAAAGGTTTTTAAAAACATAAAAAATATGCTAAACAAAGTTAAAAGCAATGTGACTCAAGAAAAATATAAAAGGAGGTTATGTCACTTTATTCACTCATGATAAATATTCAATTATTAAAATTTGTATTTTTTTTTAGAAATATTTTTGTTGTTGTAATTTGAAGGTTAAAATTATATTATTATATTATTAAATATAAAAAAAATTCTAGCAATAAAAGATAAATTTATTTCTAAAAAATAAAATTATCTCCTGAATTTGAATGTAAAAAATATTTCTAAAAAATTCTAGCAGTAAAAAATAAAATTATTTCTAAAAAATAAGGTTAGAAATATTTTTGTTGTTGTAATTTGAATGTAATCATGGTACCGTTCAGTGCATCCTGACCATCTGTCAAATAATGACAAGTCTACCGTGGGTATGTGGACAACATTCCTCTAGGCTTTTGCCTTTGGGAGATACAATATAATATAATATATGTGAAAGTACAAGGAAATAGCTCATATGATAAGAACAATACTTCACTTATGTAGCGTTTGGTTCCGGAGAAATTGTTTTTTATTAGCGAAATGTAATTGATAGGGAAATGATTGGAAAGTGAGCTTGGTAGGAAAATGTAAAAAAAGTTGTTTGGTTGATCCAAATATTACTAGGGAAATTTATTTAAATATGCAAAATCTATGTTCGAGAGAAACTTTGCACCTGTTTTTTCACTTTCCCAGTTATCTCAAAATACCACATCTCAAGTGGTATTCTGTAACAGTGAATTTCATCCAAAAATCAACGCAAAAGTCATTTTCCTATCTATCCTATTTGCCTGGTATTTTTTTAAAAACCCTGAACCAAACGTGATATTTTCCAATATCCACTTACATTTTCCCATCAATCCCAAAATAAACCTTCAACCAAACACTACCTTACACAACAATCATTTTGTCAATCTCACCAGCACACCAAGCATGCCGTGATCATTTTTTGTTGGTCACATACAAGAATGAGTCATCTTGTTTACTTTCTTTTTCACAAAAATTAATATTCATGAGCACAAAAATCAAAATTCTAAATTCTAATAATGTATCAGATTAATGATAAGAGCAACTGATTTGTTATTCTAGCACCAAAGTACAATTCTTGAAGGAAAAAATAAAGAACATACAAGTATTATTTCATTAAAAATGTGAGGATTTAAAAGAGAGAATAGAGACTTGACCGAAGAGATGAAATTGCCCCGAATGGCAAGAGATGAAAAAAAAGAATAAAGAAAAGAAAAGCAAGCTGGTGTACAATAACAAATTATTTTTGAGAAATGATTACTTAATATTCGACAAATGTTGAGCACTTCGCTGAAGTCTCACTGACTTGTGTGGTTGGCTGGTTGGCGCTTGTAGTTGAAAGAACACGTGATTAAATATACATGAGAGAGTCATAATTTTTTTTATGACATCTCGTATAGGAATGTCAATAGATCGAATTCAACTAAATTTTTTAAAAAATTAAATTGAATTGGTTTAAATAATTTTGTTCGGTTCGATTTGAAAACGGTTCGGGTCAAACTTATTCTGAAAAGAAAATTAAAGAAATAAAGAGATAAACCGATTTGGTTTGAAAACGGTTTGGTTCGGTTCTTGAATTAGTTTTTAAAAATCGGTTCGATTCTTGAACTGATTCTTAAAAAATCAGTTCTATTTATGAACTGATTTTCAAAAATCAGTTATTTTAACAGCACTTCGGTTCAGTTCATAGTTCAGTTCAATTTTTTTGGTTCTTTTGCACATCTTTAGGTCATAAATTTTTTAATTCTATAATATGCAATTCATTAATTTATGTATCATAACTATCTCTTATAATAACTGTATTTTAATGTTATAACTAAAATAGTACATATTTAATAATACAATATACAATAAATTTCTTATTTCGAAATCACTTAAAAAGTTTTCAATACAATTGGTAAGGTGGTGCCTAAACTAGTTACATGGCACGCCATCTTAATCGTCACTTTTAACGGCTCTTTAATTTAATTGATTTGATCTTAATCCCTTTCTTTTTTTTAATGTCAAATTTAGATCAAACTTATTTAATGATAAAAAAATTAATATATTAAAATGAGAATACATCACGACTAGGTAGGGGTGTAAATAGGCTAGGCTTTAGCTTAATAGGCCAGACCTGTGCAAAAAACATTGGGTATGGTCTGGCCTATTAGTTTGTGTAGGCTCCAAATTTTAAGTCTAGTCTCACCTGTATTTAAAAAATAAAAACCTTGACCTAGGCCTGTTAGCCTGTATAAGCCTATTAAACATTCAACAATTAAAATAATATTATTTTATTATTCAAAAATATTAAAATAATAATTTTATTTATTATATTTTAAATAAATAATATGATATAGACCGATATGTAGGCTTATAGGTCCGATATGTACAAAAAAACCTATGACCTGTTTTCTAAATAGATTTTTTTAAAAGCCTAGACATGTTCTATTTTACTATTTATAATAGGCCAAACATCGCCTAATATAGACTAGGCCGTAGGCTCCTATAAACCGGCCTAACCCATTTAAACCTCTACTACTAGGAGTCTAGAGTCTGAGTTGCCCTGATCCGTTTTAAAAGTAATACAAATTTGAGCTAGCCTATTTAAAAATTAGGTTAGTGATCTATTTTAAAAGGCATGACCTTTAAGCCTTTAGATTTGACTTCTATTTTTAATAAAATCATACAAATATAAATGAAAATACTACAATATAAATGATTAACCTTTTTTTTTTTTGGTAGACAAATGATTAACCTTTTTAATATATAAATATAATTTTTTAAAATATATTAAATTTAACTTTAAATTAATTTATTAAAATATAATAAATAAGAATCTAATGATTAAAGTATGACCGGTCATACTTAGTGTAGTTTGTAAGAGTTTGTAAATAAAAAAGTTTATAAATATAACCTGCCCCTATATATATATATGGAGCAGGATCCTTTGACACCGGTGTCAAATTTTGAAATTTGACACCAAATCCCAATCATTGATTTTCGCTAATCAACGGTTATCATTTATTGGAATTAATAATTAATTAATAAGTTTAATTCCCAATAAATAATAACTGTTGATTGGCAAAAATCAACGGTTGAAATTTGGTGTCAAATTTCAAAATTTGACACCGGTGTCAAAGAATCTTATCTATATCTATATATATATATATGAGGTAGGATCCTTTGACACCGGTGTCAAATTTAAAGTTTGACACCTCATCTAAGATCCGTTAGATCAAAAAAGATCAACGACTTTGATTTGTAAGCATGTGACACCATTGATCTTTTTTTATCTAACGGCTCTTAGATGAGGTGTCAAACTTTAAATTTGGCACCGGTGTCAAAAGATCCTACCTATATATATATATATATATATAGGTTAAACGTTGGTCCTGTGATAGGAAAACCAAAAGTGTTAAACGTTGGTCCTGTGATAGGAAAACCAAAAGTTTTTCATACATGGATCTTCGTGCATTCTTTTTCCTTTTTTTTTTAATAAAAATCATGTGGGTCCATTAATTTTATGTGTCAACAGGAAATATTTATATTTTCCTTGTAACATAATCCTTGTTTTACCCTATATATATATAAATAAAGAGTGAAAATGAAGTTTAATTTTTTGAGTATAATAAAAATTTAAAATAATTGTTAATATTTTGGGTTGTTGTTTGAACTATTATACAAAAAAATCATAACCTATAATTAAAAGAGTACAATATGTTATTTTTGAAGGCTTTGTAAATTTGACATGACAGACCAAACCTTATATTTTTTAAAAACAAGTCAAATCAAACTTTTAATATAACTAGTATTAGGCTAATTATTCAATCCAGGTTTAAAATATTTTATATTGGCTTAATTTATTTAAGTTAAATCCTAATTTGCTCTTACTTGTTTACACCTCTACTCAATATAAATTGTATGATTGGATTTGAATTGGGCTACCTCAAAAACAGCTTGAGAAACCAGAAACACGAATTTGCAAAAAATGGAAATTATGTTTAGTTGTTTTCAACTAAAATTAAATTTGTTCCCAAACGAATGTTTAACAAAAAGTAAAATTTTATTTTTGTGATAGATTGAGAATTTCACATTAAATCTGACTATAAACTTATTTTAAGGATAACAATTTTTTTTAGCATAAATCCTTTTATTTCAAAAATTTTGACCAAAAATAGTTTTATAAACTCAAAACAATGTTTAGTACTTTGACATATGAAAATAATATGGAATACAATTCAAATTAATAATGTAAACAACAAAAGTAATCCAATGAGACAAATGTAAATATTTTTAATTATTTTCCTTCCTTATTGTATATACATAATAGAAATGTGCATTGATTTTTAGAAACATAATTCAAGATTTTTCAACAATTTGATAATAGAATTTTAAAGAGATGACAGATGCTGCTAGAACAACTATAGATAGGAATGTGAAAAATATTTAAAACAACCGAATCAAATCGTAATCAATTTAAGAATTAGATTATTTTGTTCAAACAGATTTTTTTTATATTCTATATTCTATTGTCTACCTTAAAATCACTTCATAATTAATTAAGAATCGAAACTGATTTGGAGAAAAAATTAAAATCAAACCAATTTATCAAAGTAAAAAATCAAAACCAATATAATTTTTTGAACCAAATTATTAAAACTGATTTGATTTGGCATAAAAATTGAATAGTAACATATCAATAGATGTGATTTATCCTACATTAAATTATATCATATGTGACATGTGTGTCTCACTATTTAAGATAAATAAAAATAAAAACCACAATACAATCTTGCGAAAAAATATAAAGGAGCAAACCACACCCAATGACAAAGCGTGAATGGTTGTAGCGCATGAGATTGAAGTAAATGCGAGTCAAATTACATTGGTAAAAGTTACCCTTAATTAATCTCCAAGGTAGCTGAGTTAATAACTAAGTTTCCAAAGGTTTGTTGGATAAAAGATTCAAATTCTGACTTAAGTAAATATTTAGAAAATTTGTGTCTCTCTCTCCAAATATTTGTTTAGAAGTTAAAATTTTTAGCTTTCAAAAAATAGACTTTTAACTTTTTTTTATGATTTTTTTTTAAAACAGGCATTCAAATAGATTTTTTATTTAAAAAAAAAAAAACTCTTTTTGAAAAGAAGAAAACCCTTCCATAGATACTCTACAGATTTTATAAAAAGTATAACTGAAGAGCGTTTCATAACTGTCCAACTGTCAAGTAGCTTAACCTATTATTTGACAACCCTACAGATTTGGATCGAACAACCGAGAGGTAAGCACGTATGTCCAATGTTCAATTTAGATTTGGATTATAAAGGTTCAAGTCAACCAAAAATACTTGGTTGCACCCTTTTTTATAGGTTAAAAATAATTATGCTCCGCTGTCACTTGAACGTTGGTTTTGGTTGGCAAAACTCACATGACTCTCACCTGCATCATTCAAATACAGAATAGGGTCACAGGGTCACACAAAAAAGAAAAAAAAGCAATTCCCCAAGTAGGAGGATATCATCATCAAAGAAGAAGAATCAAGAACTATATACCTTGGAAAAAATGTGCACCCCTTTTCTCTCATAACCATTTTTTTTTTTGCCAGTGCTGCCACCATTTGCTGATTCTGCTTCTGCTACTTACAATTTTTTCAAGTCTCAACATGGACGTTTCCCATAGAAAGAGAACTTTGCTTAAGGTCATTGTTCTTGGTGATAGTGGGTATGACATTTAGTTTTCTTTCTATCATTTTAACATTCCAAATTTTACTTCCTATTTTATTCTTCTTTCCGTGTTTCTTTGTCATTTCAATTCCTTTTTCTTCATCTTATTTTCAGGGTGGGGAAGACGTCTTTGATGAATCAGTATCCATTTGGCTTTTTCAGCAAAAAAAAGAAAAAAAAAGTGGAAGTTTGTTATTTTTCTGTAGTCAGTGATTCATTATTAATTCCAAATCATGAATGCTTTTGAGTTTTTCACTTTTTTCCATTTTGTTTTTGTTCCGTTTTTCCAAATTAGTCAATGTAAAGTCATGACCAATATTGGTATATGAGTTGGCAATCGTTGCTTGTGAGAAACATGGTTCAGGCCACAGCTGGCGAGTAATGATCGGGTGTTTAATGCCGCAAATTAGCACCGTAAATGAAAAAATGTTGCACATTCATAATAATTTTCTGTAGCAATTAGTATACCTATGGGAATAGACATAAATCTATAGCTCAAAATGGTTATTGTGTTTGACATGAGGCATGGAACTAGAAAGTCATTTTTTATATATTATTGTGGAACATTAACTTTCAGCTCAGATACGTTTATAAAAAATTCAGCCCGCAGTATAAAGCCACGATCGGTGCTGATTTTGTTACAAAGGAGATACAACTTGATGACAAACTCGTAACTTTGCAGGTGAGCATTTCAAATTTTCCTCGATTTTTTTTTTCTTTATATTTTATTTTACTTTCTTTTTGAGTAAACTGTGCGGTTATCAATTTTAGTATTTTTTTTTTTTGGTAAAACAATGAATACAAATATACAATCTTGTGGCAGATTTGGGATACGGCAGGACAGGAAAGGTTCCATAGTCTTGGTGCTGCATTTTACAGAGGAGCAGATTGCTGTGTTCTGGTATATGATGTAAATATACACAAGACATTTGATACACTAAACAATTGGCATGATGATTTTCTTAAGCAGGTGTGTTTGTGTACTGTATTCCAAGCCTCTTCTTTTTGTTTTTGCACATGTTGCAAGTGGTTTCTGTCTTTTTGTTTGGATGCATTGTTCTTAGTTGAAGCCAACATGGAGAGGTTATATGATTGTTGTTGCTAAATATTTTTGAAAAATCAATTTTTCATTCTGTAGGAATGACACTGTTTCTTCCTGTAATAAGGATTCGGTTCCATATACTGATTTTATTTTATTTTTAAGCATGATACCTACACTTGATTTGTGTTTGCAGGTAAAATACTTTTGTCATGTGACATGACAAAAAACGAACCCAATTTTTTTTACTTTAACTGATATAATGGCTTTCGCTTAATACCTTAAGCAATTCAACGAGAGTCACTTTAATGGTTTTATATTAAATTTCTTTAACACATTTTCTCACACATAAGAGTTCATTGGAATTAAAGGATGAATAATTCACAAATCCACCTACTTATACTAAGAAATTTCATTCTTAAATATTCATTAGAAAAATAGGAAGTTGAAGATCGAATTCGTGATCACTTGATTTTAGGCTTTGATACCATATTAAACAACCATGTTAACTACAAGCTCAAACTGTTATATGAATGCCGTATTAGTGATAATTTAGATAGTAGAGGGAACTAATTTGAGTAATTGGTTCAAATTCAAATTGCTGTTTAATCATGTGAAACTGACCTTCATCTAATCTACATTTTGGTATTTGACCTCAGACAGATGTGAATGATCGTGAAGCATTCCCCTTTGTATTACTTGGGAACAAGGTTGACGTAGCCGGTGGAAAGAGTAGAAGGGTATGGAAATAGCCCATGTTTTTATACAACGATTATATACAGATATTTGAACCACTTCATGCAAGGTATTTAAAGCGCTCACTATTAGCCCTGCTAGTTGTTGCAGGTTACTGAAAAGAAAGCAAGGGAATGGTGTGATTCTCGGGGAAACATACCATACTTTGAAACCTCTGCAAAAGAAGGCTACAATGTTGAGGAGGCTTTTTTATGTGTTGCTAAAATTGCACTACAAAATGAACATGAATTAGACATGTAAGAATCAACTTTGCATACTAGTATCTTTTATTTTTCTTTTTAGACCACTTAATTATCTTTAAATTCAATATGCATGCTTCTTCTACTCTGTTGTGGTAATTATTATCCAAATCCAATTCCTGTTAGGCGCTAATATTGTTCTGTTCGTTGCAGTTATTTTCGAGGAATCTCTGAAACTGTTTCAGAAGCAGAACAACGAAGTGGTTGTGCATGCTGAAGTTTGATGTTTAGAGGATGAATGTGTATGATTTTGTGCTCTGGTACAGTGTCATTTGGTTGAATAATTGGTCTTTATTTTAATCCCGAAATCGTTGCACGTTTCTAAATCTCAATATGCATGGAAAACCTTTCTCTTTTCTGTCGACACGAAATTTTAGTTTAATGCTCGAACCAAATAGTTATGTAAATCTTTTTTGAATATTTTATGGGAAAAATGCTTGTAGTTAGTTTACAGTTATGAATTTTTATAAAACTATATGTAGGTAAATGATAATTTATGACTTTTATAAAACATTATTTTGATTTTGCTATCAATTATACTATTTTTTTTAAAAGTCCATACCAAATTTATTTTCAAATATATTCAATACTGTAAAATTATTTATTTAATTTCTCCTCAGAAATTTAGAGGAGGCAAATCAAAACGTTCGCAGCAATTCTTTTCTTCTTAAAAGATGTATTTACACGTCATGCTCACAGGCATATTTAACTCTGAAATTTTCAATCACACTAGTATTTTAATGCACGTAGAAAAAAAAAATTGGTTTGTTTGTTTCATAAAAATCAACGTAAATTTAAATAAATTTTATAAATCAAATTTTTTAGGACACAAGTGAGTCCAAAAATCTGCAATAATAAATCTCTTGGAAGGTTTATAAAAAAAAAATCCCTTGGAAGAGATTTCAGGGGCATCTGTCTCTGTTTTTCAATCGCTCCCTGCTTTGCAGAATATGAAGAATCAACCATTGAAAGAAGGTGCAGGCAAAAAAAAAGAATACAGAAGATTTCAGAAAATAATCCGGATTAAGAGACTAATATGTAATTTACAAAAAAAATAAAATAAATAAACTCACTGATACATGTAAATTAAAAGAAATCGGTTGAAGCGTAAACACATGAATAATAAAAACATTTAATGACAAACATAATTTTACAATGCAGAATGTGTCTCTTCGTTTGTTTTAGTTGAAGATAGTTTATCATAAAGACATTTTATTAAACTTTTTTTTTCGTAATCAAACAAAGGAATAAATATTTCAAAATTTCAAGTAATAAGCTAATTATTATATATTAAATATTAGATATAGCAGAAGATTAACTTCAGAAGACAAAGAAGAAAAACAAACACAAATATTTAGATTATATTAAATATCATAACGTCAAATAATTAATATTTAACCTCATGTTAAACATTAGACAATCATCCACAATTGTACAATCAAACGTCAAATAAATATTAAGACATTGTATATTTCCTAATTGTCTAATAATTCTCAAATATATAGTTCAACAACACCCAGGAGAATATTGCTGCTACATAACTTCTTCTCTAGCAGCTCTGTCTTTCTCCAGCAAGGTGTCTCCAATTTCAGCAATAGAACTAATTAAAAAAAAATTGTTGGGGCACTATATTGTATTAATGATATAGAATATAGAAATAATATGTAGTAGAAAATTATAAACACATAAATAATGTGTAAGTACTTAACTCTTTCTCTATCTTAGTTTTTTTGTTAGGACGGTTAATTGAACAATTAAAATCTTCTTCCTTGACGGCATCAGATTTTAAAATCAATGGTGACAACAAAGTGGGGTAAACATCAGCAACATCGACACTAGCATATGTTTGAATCTCATCATCATGATAAGACATTAAAATTGTATAAAATTATGAAACGTTATATAAAAAATGCAAAAAAGATTTAATTGATAAAATTTGATTTTAATTTAAAGATACTGCAGCTCTTTCTGGATCTGTTGATACAACATCAGTGTCGCAAGCATTATCGAATGTCGCTTGATCTTGAAAATTAAAAATATTTTTAAAAATAATACAAAGTACTAATATAATCAAATAACGTTTGAAAATGAAAATAACATACATTCGGGTCAACAACAGACTTAAGGTATGATGCGATAATAGCTTCGCTGCAGCAAACTTTAGAAACTTGATATTTTGACTCCGTGTATGATTCCAAATTCTTCTTTTTCACGTTGACTTTGTATAACATGGATTTGTCATTAAGAACATTAAGCTCTTCCGGATAATGATCCAAATCACCACCTTGCATCAAAATGTTATACAAAGTTAATTTAATTGTGAAAAAAAGTAGCCAATGTTACTTTAGATAATTTTTTCTAATGTTCACCAAAACGACGTTATTTTGGATTGAAAAATTAAAAATTAGAATGATAAAGACTATCATATCCCTAAAATAAATTAAAATTATAAACACACCATGATTTTTGTCCTAAAACGACATTGTTTCGGTAAATATTAGACAAAATTTTCTAAAGTAACTTTAGAAAAAATGAACCCTTTAATTAAATAATTTTTCTTAAAGGAACCTTAGTGAACAAAAAATGCGGAGGAATTAGAATCAAACCCATTTGAAATGTTGCTCGCGTGAATCAGCAGCCTTCATTCCCAACAAAACAACACAGTCTCTATTGAACAGAAGGAAAAATGCAAAATTTGTGTTATCCACAACCCACACTTGAATAATGAATCTACAGACATTAACACTGCTTGTTTGGTTACGCATCACAAAGGAATAAGTGAAATGTGCAGTACTTTGTCATTGAAATGTTAAGATTCAAAACACGTTGAGGGCAATAACTTACTTTGGATGATAATCATCCCAATATTTTTGACAACTCTTACAATACCCTTTTTTTAAAATTAGAATAAACAAAATACTGACATTTCTTACAGGACTTGTACCACCAGTTGTATTTCAATTCAATCGACTTTATGGCTCCAAAAGTAATGCACGTCATAACCTAGCATATGAATAATAAGAACATAAGAACATAAAAAACACAATCCAATAAAGATATGGGAAATCACTCATCAGTTGTGAAAATATACATCATTACAATTCTTAATATTACTTATACACTTCCTTTCGGTATTCTTCAAAAACTCATTTTCAAAAGAATATGAAGATTGAGGGGACAACTGAGTCAACCCCATACTATTTTCCATCGAATCAGATGAAAGCTTAAAACCTAATTACATAACATAGAATAGAATCAAGGCATAAACGAAAATGAATGCTTTTGGAAAGACACATCCGACTATATTAAATTACATGTTCTTCAAAGTATATATGACACTTTTCTTTGAAGTTCATAGTCTCTGATACATTGGACTAAAAAAGAATCCTTGTGGTATATTTTATATTTGTTATTCCCATTTTACCTATACATTCAAAAAAACAAATACAATAAGACACAGAAAAAATAGTATAACACAGAAATTGAACAATACACACTCAAACAAAAACATAAAATGAGAAAGAACTATCAGTAAAAATATTCCTAAAACCCTTTATCCTTGCAAGTTGTATCATGATCATATTCTGAGGAGATTTATTATCTGCAAAAAAGTTTGTACTTGATCTACATACTGCTCCCACAAAGTACACTCAAGCTTGTATCCCCTATTTCGCAGTTGTTGTAAGAGATTATGTTATATATTTAAACACATTTAACAAAGAAGAGATCTATATAAATGTACGATAAACATAAACACCTTAGGTTGTTAAGCTCTAACACAACCATTTTCATTTTCCTACCGGAGATAACATGCTCACGAACTTTTCCAATTTCTGACAGTAAACCAATAACGTCTACAAAACAAAAAAAGTTGGACATACGATAATATCATTAGAAATACCCCTAAAACCTTTTATCCTTGCAAGCCGGACTATGATCACATTATGAGGAGATTCATTATCTTCCAAAAAAGTTTGTACTTGATCTACATACTGCTCCCACAAAGTACACTCGAGCTTGTGTTCCCTATTTCGCAGTGGTTGTAAGAAATCATGTTATATATTTAAACACATTTAACCAAGAAGAAATCTATATAAACATACGATAAACATAAATACCTTAGGTTGTCAAGCTCTAACACAACCATTTTCATTTTTCTACCGGAGACAATATGCTCACGAACTTCCCCAATTTCTGACAGTAAACTAATGAGGTATACAAAACAAAGAAGTTGGACATATGACAATCTTAAAAATAAAACAAATAAGTGAATAATATCAAAGACAAAATATATTACCCACTAAATAATGATAGTCAGGTGCTTCTTTCTCAATTATGTCAAATCAAGAAAATCGAATCCATTGGCAAGAAAAGTAACATCAACAATCGATTTAACATTCGTCCTCAAGTTGGAAGACAGACGATAATCATGCCTAGTTGGCCTGAAATTATCATTGTTTAAACTAACTCCAAAATTTCTGATAAAATAGATATCTCCTTCGCGAATTTTATTCCAGAATCGTAAAGAACCTTTCGTAGTAGCATGGATCCTTCTACCCTACAAAACACACGCAATAATAAAATAATGAAAACCAAATTATATCATTTCACAACATTTATGCCAAATAGAAACCAAAAGTATTACTTGTTCATCCAATAGAACCATCTCCACATTGTCATCAAAATCTTTCCGATACAAATTATGAACCTTCCAAGTCCTAATCACCCTAACCTTAATCTTCCACTTTTTTTTTGGTAGGATTAAGATCCTTATAAAATCGTATTTGGAATACATAAGCAGAAGAATAGTGTGAGAAAAAGAAGAAGAAAAACATACATAGAACAAAAGAAATATGTACACAAAAGCCAACTTTTCAAAGAATGGAGTAATTTTTTGCTAGGGTTTTGGATGGAGCAAAATAAGATAAATGTCTCGTTTAAGTAAGGAAAAAAAGGAAACCAAATATGATGGCTAATTAATCCTTTGATTAGCGCACCATCACTTCCCAATCATATTGGATAATTTCATTTTTTTATCAAATCAATCTAATTAATTGACTTCCTTAATTTTCTTCATTGTCACAAATTCTAATTTCATGACTATATTTAAATTCAATTTTCAAATTCGAAATTCAAAATTAGAATTCAAATTAATTTTATGAATTTATTATTTAAATTAATTAGGTTGCACCATGGATCAAGTCTCACTTGACTCATGACGCATATAATTTAAATTTTTTTAAAAACTTGCTTAAGATGAAAAGTTTACACTTTTCAAACGAATCCAAATTATTGTATGAATTACACGTGGCAAAACTTTTCACATAATGACTCTGAAATATAATATAGTACATATTAGCAGATAGAAAAATAGGCAATGGCCAAATGAGCTTTGCAAAGTTAGAAAAAAAAAATTATTTAAAGGGAATAATATTTGTCTTTTTAAAGGATTTAAAATTGTGTTATTTTAGTTAAAATTATTGTGCGTTATGATAAAAGAAATAATTACATAATAGAAATTATGGTGAGAGATTTTTTCTTAATTTAAATATTAAATAAAATGCAGTAATTTTAACTGTCTATTAAAATATATTTTTAAGATTATTTTTTTTTAATTTGAAATTAATTTAATAATAAGAAAACATTTGAAAAAATGAAAGAATATTTTAAGGGATTAATGTTTGTCCTTTTTAAGAATATAAAATTGTGTCATTTTAGTCAAAACTACTCTGTTTCATAGTGAGAGAAACAAAAATCATTGTAGGAGAAAGTGAGAGATTTTTTATCTAATTTAAATAAAAAATAACAATTTTAACTAAAATAACTATCCTTTGAAATGATAAATATTTTTTTCTATATTTTAAGGGCTTAATGTTTTTACATTGAACGCAGATAATTATCTCCATTCACTCCTAAAATGACTTCGTTTTGGGATTGAATGATTAAAAAGTTATAATGATAAAGACAATTGTAATCTTGAAATAAATTAAAGGTACAAAACGCCTTGTATTCACTGCACAAAAAATGAACTCATATTTTAATAGTATTTCTTTTTTGTTGAAATGCAAGAATATTTTTATTTTATTTTTTGGATACAAAAATGATGGCAAAGTGAGCAACCACTCCGAGTCGGGCAGTCGCTAAAGCTCTCCCCAAGTAGGCGAGTCCAATATTCAAATCTTTCTCACTTCATTGGCAGGAATTTGTCCTGAGATCTATTGACCACTAGACCAACCTACTTTGGGTGAAATGCAAGAATTCTAGCATCTCAGCCCAACCCCTTTCAACCAATGTTATTATTTCATTTACTTTTTTAAATAAATGAAATAATATTTTTTATTATATCCTAAAAAATTTAAGGGTTTGATGTTTCTCCTTTTAAATGATATAGAATTGTATCATTTTAAGTGAGGAAAAGATACAAACAATATCAATCATAAGAGAAGAAAGTTGGTGATTTTTTTTATTTAAATTTTAAATAAAAATATTAATTTGTGTCTTTATTTCACTTAAAATGATACAACTCTATGTCATTTAAAAGGACAAATATTTTTAAAAAATATATTTTTCATGTTACATGAGATAATTTATTTCATGTAACACACAAAAAAGTGAGTGGGCCGTGGGACACATTTTTTTTAGTGAATCTTAGCTATTTTTTTGTAAGTTGCGTATTTGCATGTAGGGGTGTTAACGGGCCGAGCCGAGTCGAGCCGAACTTTGGTCTTAAAAAGCTAAGCCTGTGTTTATATATGTCAGCCTGACCAAGTTTGTTACATGTTATGAATATAATTATCGGTCTGTGGCATGACTTGTTTACAAAAAATAAAAGCCTGATTTAGCATGTTAGTCTGTCTTAAAAAAATAAGACAACAAAAATTTATCCAAATAAAATATACAATTAATAAGACTAGTAATTCTATAAATATTCATAAATTCAATGTATATCGAAACAACATAATATAGAACAAAATCATTCGAAAAATCTGTTTAACCAATAAAATAGGATAAAATGGATTGAGGAGAGAGAGTTATTACAAATAGTATAAAAAATAAAAATTAATATACCAGGCCAACTTAAGAGGCTCTAAGACCGAACTTTTGAATTAGAGCCTGAAGTCTTTTTATTAAACGAGCTTTTATACAAGTCCAAGCTTGGTTCCAACAATCAATTTTAGGCATATAAGCTCACACCTTCACGAGTTAAGTCAAAAGCCTTCATTTATCACTTTTACTTACATGAGATAATTTGTTTCGTGTAGAAAAATCAAACCCAACATTTTGCCCAAAATTTAAACAATAATATAATAATCTTGTTTCATTCTATTTTATCAGGTGAGTGATTCAGGTCCTCACATAATCAGATGTAATACGGAAGTTATTTTCTTTCTCAATTTATTTATTTATTTATTCTGGTATAATGAAGTTTAAAAAAAATTTGAGGGCCCCAAAATTGCGTAGAAATATCAAAATCAGAAATGCGAGACACAATGACTGAAATTTGAAGGTTAAGGAAGGAATTCAATTATTACTGCTTGGCGTTCTCTCCAATGGCTTTCTCCGCAATTTCTATGCACTGTTCCCAGTTTATTCGCTTTCCCATCTCCGTTCCTCAAACTCAAACTCAAACTCAAACTTCACTCTCTTTTCAATTTTCACCATCAAATCTCAATCGCCCGAAAAAGCCACTCTCAATTCGATCAGTTTCAGTTCCCGGTACGCCTTTTTCCCCCTTCTTATCATTTATTTCGTGTTTTGCACCATTTTCTACTCGTATAGGGTTCCTAATCATTTTGTTTACTCCTTTACGAAGATGCTGTTAATTTATATGTTAATTAACAACATCAGTAACAATATCAATATCAAAATTATTGGCTTCTTAAGTGATTAAATAATTTCATCGAAAATAACATGATGGCGGAAATTATTTTCGTTGAATACGATAAATCTTCATATAATTAGTGCTGGAACTCTTTCTTTTTAACTTTTGTTTCATTATCTGCCATATTGACCTAGAATGGAGATTTGTTACCCTTTCATTTAAGTACTTTTTTGCTTCCTTAATAATTATTTTATACTGCAAAGAAAGGAAATATTAAGAGTTTAAATTAGTATATTTACACTTTCATATAATGATGAATTAGCACGTCGTTAGAGGAGTTTGACTTCCTAGGTAGTTGTTGTGAATTGTGATAGTTGAAGTCCTTTAATGATTTAGCATTCCGTGATTAGACAATGGTGTAAAGAAGTTTTATATTGACAGTCGTTCATAATTAGACATTATATTTCATATATTAGGTTTTTGATAATGATGGATAATAGGCATTTTGAATTTCCTGACCCTAAGGACTATCTCAGCAAGTTCTTTGGAGTGCTCTAAGTATATCCAAGAAAATGCAGAAATTTTCTGTTATCGTCATTCACTCTGGTTTTAATATCATTAGTACAACAGAATACTTTGGATTTTGTTGTATACTAGTTGTGTGCTTTGTGAAATAGGTTTTTTTCCCCTTACTCTGCACTTATTCAATTTTTACTTTTGTTCCTCCTTTCAATATTTTTCAGCTGCACCAACATCTGGGGCACTGGCACCTGCAATTTTGCTTACGGATAATGCACTGAAGCACTTGAATAAGATGAGGTCTGAACGAAATGAAGATTTGTGTTTAAGAATGGGTGTCAAACAGGGTGGTTGCTCTGGTATGTCATACACAATGGATTTTGAGGACAGGGCAAAAGCAAGGCCTGATGACTCCGTCATTGAATACAAAGGCTTTGTAATTGGTATGGATTCATATTCTGTTTCTTATTGTTTACAGTTATAATCCATAAGGTAGGATGAATTTAATTTTTGGTTTGGGGGGTTTTGGGGGTGGGGGGATATGGTTAAAATATATGGCATGCTTTAGCTATATCCGTTATCTGCTATTTTTCAGGTTGGTTTGTCAAGCTTGCCATTGCACTTCACCTCACAAATTGTAACACCATAACTTCTGGTGTAAAATTATTCTCATTTTGCTATTTGACCAAGATAAAACGTGTATGTGCACCAGTTGCAAATTTATAGTTGGAGGATATTAAACGGGTTGTAGTAGTGATGAAAATCCTATTATATGTTTTTACGCACTCGGAGTTTTTGGTTCAAAGTGGGTATACATAACTGTTTTTAGGCTTTTAGGTTTTAGCATGCAAAAATATCTTACTTTATTCTTTTCTTGGGGACAGGGAGGGATTCTACAGAGTTACAAGCAGTTTCAAACTTAAAATGGAAGTACTGTTTAATGGCCAGAGACTTAGTGATTTTATTTAAATTGAACATTTTCTCTTACAGGAATTCCTGGATCCAACTTCCAACTATCACAACAGTTTTTGGCCATTCTTTTTGCTTCATGTGTCAACTAAGTGTAATTTGTGATAGTATTATTTTCAAGAAATGCAGGCCAACCACTTACTAGCTCTATGTTGATTCAGCAGTAAAAGATTTAATTCTTGGAGTAAATTGAAAACTTGGTCCCCTCAACATGATTTTCTTTACTTCCTTTTAAGCTTCGTTTTCTAGAGTTTTTGTAGCTCTGAGGATTGAACAGCATTCAAAACTTGTTTTTAAATCTGCATTTGCATTGCTTCCAGTAATTAAGCTTGCTGTATTAGGTATGTAAAAGAAGGAAGAATGATCAAACTGTGTCCCACTTTATGCAAAAGCAAAAATGATGTATGGATATGGTGACTATGATATAGGAGACTTTTCTCTGTATAATTCTATTATTAATGTGCCAACTACAGCGCTGCTCGATGTTTCAATATTTGTCAAGTCTCAACTCTTCATAAGCCACTGAAAGATTTCTCCATTTGTTTTCGCAGTTTGTGATCCTAAGAGTCTACTCTTTCTATTCGGCATGCAATTAGATTACAGCGATGCTCTGATTGGGGGAGGCTTCTCTTTCAAGAATCCTAATGCGTCACAAACCTGTGGATGTGGTAAATCCTTTGCTGCAGAAATGTAAAATCATGTTTGTATAGACAGTAGTTATAATAAGGTGATTTTACTCTAGCAATACTTTGGATTAATATAGACTTTTATAACTAACAAAATTACATTTACATGAAATGTCATGAACAAATTACTGAATTTGTTATATATTCCTATTTCTGTATACGTTTGTTGCCCTGCATTGGCTGATTGATTAGGTCTATATACTCATTCATAGTATCTTTTCTGTTTGTCATCTTATAATGTATAAGTACGGGATAAGCAGAACTACCAATTACCGTACCACTTTCTCTTGATGCATCAATGTAGGACATGAAGGGAGCACTCGAAACTACCTGCGTAAAGTGTTGTATTTTATGCAACTCGTTACTGGTGATTCTTAACTTGAGATGTTTTCTTATCGATAACTCTTTTTTTTGGGTGTATCATAGTATCATATGAAGAGGAGAGATATTTTATCACGTTTGAAATGCAAATGCATGAGGTAAGACTTTTTTACTGTGTCATCGGTGCTTTCACAAGTAAGTGAAAGTTGAGCTAATCGTAGGACATTGAAGTTTCTATGTTTATTTACTGGTATGAACTTTTTATTTTTCTCCCAATCACTGAAGTGAATTGAAAAGTGTTTATTCTTGATTTCTTATTGAAGGATTTTTTACTTTCCTTTTAATGATATTACTAGAAAAATTGACTCGTTTACATAATATAATAGATAACGATTTTAATCAATCGACTGCGGAATTTTATGCTGATCATGTAATATCAATTTTATAAAACTTAAACAATCATAATTATGTAATTTAATTGATAATATTATATGTTAATTTGATTTGTTGGTTTAGTATTTTTCATATTGTAGGAGATAAATTTATCTTTTAAAACATATAATTTATGTTTTTCTTTTTTCTCCTTATATGGGTTCACATAAGCTTCACACACTTTAATATGTATGTATGAGATAAATTTATCTCCTATAATATGAGAAATATGAAACCCTTTAGTTTATATCTGTATTTTCTTATAGAGCTGTTGAAATAGACCCTAGACCATCCCATTAGCTCATGTCCGTGTAGGTTAGGGCCAAAAAGTCCGCAGGATCAAATGAATCTTAATAATAAAGGTCTACATGGGCCAAAAGCCTTATGGGTTAGAGTCAGCTTGCGGGCTATTTAAAATTATAATTTCATAAATTTTATTTTATCATATTCAATATATTTTTTTAACAAATATACAAGTGAAAATGTTAACAAAATTTTAATATAAGTGAAAATTTAGTTATTACTAAATTTATTATTAAAGGAGGCCTCAAATAAAGATTTTTTCACTAGGAGTCCTAATAAAATACAATAACTCTAGTGGAAAAATGAAAACTAAAAGTATCAATGGAAAAATAATCTTAATACCAGCATTGAATAATTGTTTTTAGTATGCTATATATTTGAAAGTGAAATCATTGATTTTCTTCAACTACTACCATTACAAAAAAAAATTAGCTATCATTATCCACAAAATTACTAAGGTGTATTTATACAATAAGTTTCAATTCAAATTTGGATATATAACACACTTAGATGTCAATAGAAAATTTTATTTTTATTAAAATACAGATGAAATTCTCTGTTGAAATATATCACTACTGAAAAATTCATTTTTATTGTAAAATATTATGGATAATCTTTCACATTGTTCATAAATGTGACTCTTTATTTTTCATGACCTCTCATGTATTCTATAATCATCACATTAATGAAGTGTTGAATTGTAGAATACGTCCAAAAGGAGTATTGTAAAATATTATAGATGACCTTTCACATAACATGTGACTCTTTGTTTTTCATTACTTTTGATGTATTTTATAACCATCACACTAATAATGTGTTGTATTGTAGAATACATTCTAGGAGGAGTGTTTTAAATATTATGGATGGCTTTTTACATGGTTCATAACATGTGAATCTTTATTTTTCATGATCTTTGATGTATTTTACAACCATCACACTAACGATGTGTTGAATTGTAAATTTTTTTCCAATTATGTGTAGAGTCCTATATAAAGACATATCATGAATGAAAGAAGTGATACTTGATGAATTCAAATATAATGATATTTTCTTATATTCAAGAGCTCATATTTTCTTATCTTATTCTTCCTTTGATTTTCTTTTTACACTTCATTTCTTTTTTTTCATATTTCACTTTCTGTTATATTCTTCATCAAATCCACAATAATGTTTACTTATATTATGTTTATAATTTATTTTATATTTATAAATATTTAAATTTATATAGTTTTTAGTTTTTTAAATAATGAGAATTTTGATGAAGGAAAAAATTTGGCCTACGTGCCAACTCTAATCAAGCCCAAAAAATCATAAACTTTGAGAGTTAAGACACAAAAAATCCTAATGGGTTAAGATTAAATATAGGACTTTACGGGTTAGTTCACGGGCTTCAGCCCATTTTCACATCTCTATTTTCTTATATAAAATTGGGAAGATTATTAACAACGATTTAAGTTAAAGAGAATTGTCTAATTTATTCCATGTTATCTTTTCAAAATGTATAAGACAATCTTTATACTTGTTTACATTTGTAAGATGACCTTCTTGATTAACGTTTGTTTATTCAAAATTTAACGGAAATCCCCACATGCTAATGACTATCACATGTTTTTATCTAAATTAACAATCATGTGATTGACACATGATAATTTCTGTCAAATTATAAAAATAAAATAAACTTGACCAATTCAACATTTAAATTATAATTAATTATTAATAAATCCAGATATTAAATCTCAAACAATTAGAAAAAATAGGTTTCTAATTAAATTACAGACTGAAAAGTTTGCACTTAAATTCTTTTTTCATAAATATAAAATATATTAGAAAATTTGAGCTTTCAACTTTAACCTGAAGATTGGGCCTAAAGATTTGGAAAACTGCCTATTGAACTTGATAATATATAATAATGGATTGTTATTTCAAGCTTGTCCTCTAATTATTTTTTAATTCACGCGTTATGTTTTATTTTTGTGTGTTAGTTTTTTTTTAACTCTGTGCTTGCATGCATGGTCTGTCCCAAGCTAAGATAAAGGAGGAGGGTTGGCGTCAGGTGCAGCGAACCGGCCATAAAAAACAACTATATTTTTATGTGATGAACCCATATGATTTTTCATTGGGGCGTACCCTTCATAGCGAGGCGTTGCATCGGGTCCCGGGTGTAGCGAAAAATGGGCTAGGGTTCTTGCCACAAGGCAAGGCGCTGCATCGGGCCCGGGGTATAGTGAAAAATGGGCTAGGGTCCTTGCCCCAAGGCAAGGCGCCAGGTCTTCACCCGAATTTGGTGAAAAGTATGTCAGGGTCCCAACACGCAGATGGGCGAGCGTGGCAGGCAAGCACAACCCAGGGGTTAAGGATGCGATTGGAAAGCTGGAACATAGAAACCTTAACGGATAAATTGAGGGAGTTAGCAGATGTTTTTACTAGAAGGAAAGTGAATATTGTTTGTTTGCAAGAAACTAAGTGGGCTGGAGAAAAGGTCAAGGAAGTGGATGGAACTGGTTTCAAGTTATGGTACACAGGTATTAACAAAAGTCGAAATGGTGTTGGAATTATGATCGATAAAAGTTTCAGAGATAAAGTTATGGATGTCAAAAGGAAATGCGATAGGATTATTCTGGTTAAGCTTGTAGTGGGTGATTTAATCCTGAATATCCTCAGTGTGTATGCACCCCAAGTTGGATTGCAACCAATTGATAAAAGCCAATTTTGGGAAGACTTGGAAGAGATTTTGAGGGGAATACCTCGAGAGGAGAAGATTTTCTTAGGAGGAGATCTAAATGGTCATGTTGGTAAAAGCAATGGAGGTTTTGATAGAATTCATGGAGGTTTTGGCTATGGGACAAGAAACGAGACTGGAGAAGATATCTTGAATGTTGCACTAGCCTACGATTTGATGCTAGTGAACACCTTTTTTTCGAAAAAGGGAGTCACATCTAATCACATATCATAGTGGCCAAAATCGTAGTCAGATTGATTTCTTTTTGGCTAGAAGAGAAGATAGAACTTCTTGTGTCGACTGTAAGGTCTACCCTGGAGAGTGTGTCGCTACGCAACATAAGCTGGTAGTCCTGGAGGTTCGGTTCTACAAAGTACTTACAATGAGAAAGATGGCTAAGAACCCGAGGATAAGATGGTGGAAGCTTAAGGAGGGAAAAGAGAGAGTTCAATGAAAGAATGTTGCACGAAGGACCTTGGGAGTTTGATGAGGAGCAAATGCAATATGGAAGGAGATGGCTAAGTGTATTCAAAATATGGGAAGGAAAGTGTTGGGAGAAAGCAAAGGAAATGGATTTCATACAAAGGAAACATGGTGGTGGAATGGAGAGGTGCAAGAGGCAATTAAACATAAGAATGTGTGCTTTAGATCTTTGCATAAAAGTTCCAATGAAGAGAACTTGCAAAAGTTTAGATTGGCGAGAAAAAATGCAAAGAAAGCAGTGCGAGAAGCTAGAGGCAAGGTTTTCGCTGATTTGTATAAAAATCTTGGGAGCAAGGATGGTGAAAAAGGTATATATAAACTTGAAAAAATAAGGGATAAGAAAAGTAAAGACCTCACCCAAGTTAGATGTATCAAGGATGAAAATAAAAAAAATTTGGTGAGAGATGAAGATGTAAATGAAAGATGGATGAACTACTTCAACAAGTTGTTTAATGGGGATGGAGATATAAGCGATGTGGACTTGGAGGACGCTTATGATGATTTGAATAGAAGATTTGTGTGCAGAATTAATACACATGAAGTTAATGAGGCTTTAAAGAGGATGGAGACTAATAAAGCCTTGAGACTTGATGGTGTCCCTATTGAAGTGTGGAGAGGCCTGGGGGATGTGGCAATAAAATGGTTGACCAATCTTTTCAATAAGATTCTTTAGACAAATACGATGCTTGATGCATGGAGGAAAAGTATTTGTGCCTATCTACAAAAACAAGGGGGATATACAAAATTGTTCAAACTATAGAGGCATTAAGCTAATGAGCCATACTATGAAGTTGTGGGAGAGGGTTATTGAGCATCGCTTGAGGAAAGATACCAAGATTTCTGTAAATCAATTTGGATTTATGCCAGGAAGATGTACCATGGAAGCCATTTTCTTGATGCTACAACTAATGGAAAGATATCGAGAAAAGAAGAAGGACTTACATATGGTGTTCACAGACCTTGAGAAAGCATACAATAGGGTTCCAAGGAAAGTTTTATGGTGGGTTCTGGAGAAGAAAAAGGTACCATCAAAGTATGTAAAGGCAATCAAGGATATGTATGATAGGGCTACTATATGTGTGAAAGCTTGTAACAGAACATCAAGTTATTTTCCTATCACGGTAGGTGTACACCAAGTGTCAGCTCTAAGTCCTTATCTCTTTTTGCCTTAGTTATGGATGAACTAACAAAAGATATTCAAGAGAAAGTGCCATGATGTATGCTTTTTGCAGACGATATTGTGCTTATTGATGAGAGCAAGGATGGTGTTAATAGAAAACTTGAATTGTGGAGAAGCACATTGGAATCTAAAGGATTCACATTAAGTCGAAGCAAGACTGAGTATATGAAGTGTGAGTTTTCTCTGGTAAGAAACGTAGACCAAGATCTCGTGCATCTAAGTGGTCAAGAGGTACCCAAGAAAGACTCTTTTAAATACTTGGGCTCCATTTTGCAAAAAGGTGGAGAGATTGATGAGGATGTAAATCATAGAATCAGAGCAGGGTGTATGAAATGACGCAATGCATCTGGGTTTTTGTGTGACCGCAAAATCTCCCTTAAGTTAAAAGGAAATTTCTATAAAACAGCAGTAAGACCTGCAATGCTATATGGAGCTGAATGCTGGCTAGCACATAGGCAACATGAGCATAAAATGGGAGTAATAGATATGAGGATGTTAAGGTGGATGTGTGGTTATACGAGGATGGATAAGATAAGAAATGAAGATATTCGACGAAAGGTAGGAGTACTACCGGTGGCTGAGAAGATGAGAGAACATAGATTGAGGTGGTTTGGGCACGTAATAAGAAAGCCCCTGAAAGCTCCCGTAAGAATAGAAGTTTGTTACCAAGAGCTCAACACAATAAGAGGTAGAGGTAGACCGAAACTTACTTGGGGGAAGATAGTAAAACAAGATTTAATGGAGTGAGATATAGATTGGCGGATGGTATGCCTTAGAATGGAATGGAGAAAAACTATAAGCATGATGGAGGGTTAGACCCGTTGTTATTCCTATGTTCGAGATGGTCCCTTTTTAGTCCTTTTCTCCCTCTTCTTCTTTTCCCTTTCTTTGTTACTTTTATATATATATATATATATTATTCTATTTATTTATTTTTATTTTTACTTTTATGTTTCTTTTTTCAACCTTTTTGTATCTTTCATTTGGGTTCATCTATCACCGACTCCAATTAATTTGGGATAAATGTGTTGTTGATATTAGTTTTTTTTTTAACAATTTGAGTGTTCATTTTAGTTTTATAAAATAAGCTCATACTATTTATTTTACACATAAAAGACCAACATCAAATAAGTGCTTTTTTATTTTATTTTATTTTTGGAACTAAAAGGGTTCACTAGATGCGAACCCTAAAGAAGATCCAGGCACTGCCAGTTACGACGTCGCAGGATATCGAACGGCTGAGATATAACTGTAAACCAAACCTATTAATCAGGGAATAAGGTGTACCGTAGCAGATTACTACTAGTGTTGTACCTTGTGAAATCTCATCATCTGAATCGTGAAAGAGAGAGGTATCAACGCGAGATATAGAAGCAAGCCCTAAGCGTTAGAGAGAAAGCTGAAAAACACTGTGATGGCACTCTCTGCTCGTCTCTTTTCCAAATCCAAGTTGGTCTGTTTATAATCTCTCATTTCTTCTCTTTTTTTTATTTCCTTCTCTTCCGATTAGCGATTGCATTTCTCTTTCATCTTCTCACTTCTGATTCTCTTGTTGTAATGTTGGGATCTGCATTTTTTTCTCTCTCACAAAATGCGCTGCAATATCTGATTATCTATCTCAATATTTAGAAAATCAAATTACGTCAAAATGAGGGAATTTTCCTAGATTTGAAGGCTTAATTAAAGATATAGTTTGTTAATTTTTTTCTGGCATATTAGATTAGGTTATTCTTTTTTCCCTCAATTTTATTGATCGTGGCAGTTACGTTTTGCACTTAGGTATGTGCAACTAGAACTAGTCAATACATTGAGTTAATGATCCCTGATCATCATCATCGTTTGAAAAAAATGATGTGTTGGAGCTCGGTCATATTGAGTTGCTTAATCGTCTGTGAAAATAAATGATATCGTTGAATGATATATTTGCAGCGTTATAAAATTTTTTTTTCATGCTTAAGCACACTAGTTAGTTAATATGTATAACTTGGTTATTAATTCAAAAGTGACGGGCTATGTGATCTACCTATTGATTTTTTGGCCATCTCCTCTTCTTATAGGTCTATGGTAGTCAAATACTTCTGCAGAAGGAGTATGCTGTTCCTGTTCGTCGCTTTGCTAAAGAGTCTGAGCCTCCTAAGCTTAAGGGAGATGGTGAGTTCTCCTGTAGTGTGTGTTGTATTATTTGTTGATATTTCCTTCATTGAGTTAATCACTGGGATTTTGGGTTCGAGATAGCCACGGGCATGCTGGTGTTTTGTTAACTTGTGGGTCTATAGCTTCCCACTTCCTTAGTTAAAGAAATATCATGCTATATGCTTCTCTGTTTAATCTAGTAGTCAGATTTTTAGTAGTTTGTCTAACTGTGTATGCGTGCGTGCAACTCAAGTTGACTTTATGTTAAATACACACGAAAACATGTACTTTGATCTTTTAATGGATTTTTTATTTTTTTATGTCACTTTCTGACAATGTACTGTTAATTGAATGGGAAAAGAGATGCTGAAGAACGTTTTTGTGGAGGTGAAGAACAAATTTGAGACAGCCATAGGAATATTAAAGAAGGAGAAGATCACCATAGATCCAGATGATGCGGCTGCTGTTTCTCATTATGCAAAGGTCATGAAAACAGTTAGAGAGAAGTGAGATTCTGCTTTACCTTATTATTTTATCAGAGTCTTTCTGCTTAATATATTGTTGGTTTTTATCTTGTAATCTTGCAAACATTTGTTGTCCCTTTTTTAAAAGTTTTAATTATGTTGTGCCTACAACTTGTGCATTCTGCAGGGCAAACTTGTTGTCAGAGTCCCAAGAAATCCAATCTACCATTGACATAGAGACACAAGATATTCCAGATGCTCGAACTTATCTATTGACACTGAAAGAAATAAGAACCAAGTGTGTGATGGTCTATTCTACTTTCTTCGTTTTGTAACTAGATGTGCTTATTGATATATTATGCATGTCCTTTTACTTTTTTGTTTAAACCAAGTTCATTATTATTGTTATTATATGCAATATGGTTCTTTCAATTCAGTTTACCTTTTTGACTTAATGGTCAAATAGTTCTTTTGTTTTCCTGAAAATTGTGACTACCCTAACTTATTTATCGGGATTTACCTGATTAGTTATCTTTTTTCAAACTTTCGAGTATGTGTATGTTTTATATATACAAATGAGAGGAAAGGGCAACATGATACAAACATCCTTGCTTCAGGATGTCTTGGGTTCTCTTTACATGAGCTCATATATTTATGTGTACATTCTTTTACAGGAGAGGTCTTACTGATGATATTGGTGCAGAGGCTATGATGATGGATGCTTTAGAGAAAGTTGAAAAGGAGTTCAAGAAACCTCTACTGAGAAATGATAAGAAAGGAATGGACCTTCTCTTGGCAGAGTTTGATAAGATCAATAAGAAGTAAGTTCAGATCCCTAGATCTCTTTTTGATATATGGCCTAACATCTAGATTCTTGCCTTTGAAGATTTTCATCTGTAACTATTTTATTTCACTTTCATGGATTGTTAGCATGGGATTCTTTCTAATTCTTTAATGATTTTATAAATATTTTTCTCTGGTTGAGTGGCATTTACCACCTTCATGCTATTGGAAAATGCTCATTTCATCTGACGGTGAAGAGGAGAAAATTTTACTGAGTAGAAGGAAGATGTCCGTTGACTCCTCTAACATACAAATTTTTATGTATTTTTGTTCTTTTAAAAATATTGAACCTTGCATCACATTGGTACTTGTTAGGGAATTGTATAGTCTACTCTTTGTTGGTTGTAATTGGCCTACTTTTTTGGCTGAGTATTCAATTTGTTGTTTAAATGCCTAATTCACTAGTGAGGATTCTGAAGTGTTTAATTTAATTCTCTGCAGTTGAGAAGAATGAATAACTGGGTTATAATTACTTTTGTTCTCTTTTTTGTTTTTCTCCTTTCTTCCACCTTTGGTGGTGCCACCTTAGACTTGGAATTCAAAAAGAAAATCTACCAAAGTACGAAGAGGAGCTAGAAAACAAATTAGCCAAAGCACAACTAGAGGAGCTGAAGAAGGATGTTCTTGAGGCAATGGACACTCAAAAGAAGAGGTATTACTCGTGACACCTTTTCTTACTATTGGTTATTTTTTTTCTCTTCTCCATTCTCTTGATGCTTTTGTACCCAGATCACCTGTGATATATGCCCATGATAGTTTTCTCTATTTCATACTTAATTTTAACTCCTAAGATAGCAGTATATAATGATTCCTGGGCTTTTCCTAGCATTGTTGGTTCATGGCTTTTGGATTTGGAATAATGAATATGACATGGTGACCATTAGATTTGTTGGAAATAGTAATATTGTATTTCTCTCCTACTCTTAGAAACTGTTTACTCGTGTTTCTAGATGCAGTTGGATAGAAATTTTAAACCATTTTAAGATTCATTTTTCCTGTCTGTTTGCCATTTCAGGGAGGAATTCAAGGATGAGCCTGAATCAGTTGATGTCAAAACTTTGGACATCCGAAACTTCCTTTAAAATGTCTTCACGATGTTTGCATACATTAGAAATTATTGCATTTGGATAATGGTGAAGCCGTGTTTCTTCAATAAGTAGACACCACTGATTTTGAAGTGCAACACTGATGCCAGTTTGAAGATTCTTGAGTTTTCAAGGTCTTTGTATTCCAAATTCCAGCTTAAAACTGGAAGTTGAAGAGATCAAATTTTCGAAAATTTTCTTTTGCCAGGTTGTTTCAAGTATTTATTCTTTTTGATATTATGGTTGTTCCCAATTCATATGGCATCCATTGACTAATCGAAATTCCGCGACCCAGGTAACTCAGCATTTAAAATAAAGTATTTCATATACCAAAAAAGAAGTTTGTGATAAATTGTCATATTATATTGCACCACTTTTTCTGGTTTTGAGCATGCAAGTTTACAGATTCACCTTGTGGGTTTTTTTGCAGATTCTTTGACTGAGTGCTTTACTAAGTAGTTCCAATTTTCGTTATTCTTGAACAAGTGTGATGACTGCCATTTGAAAGCTAATTGAAACTGAATCTGAGCATCTGCCAACGTTTGAAAATATCCCTCTTAAATTATTATAGAAAAATATTGGGAATATATATTCCTCTTAAAATATTCCAATTTTATCTTATGTATATAAATAAAAATGGGTGGGATCTATTAGAGAGAAGGAAAAAAAAGTGGATTTCTAATACTATTTTAAACACATTTTTGTGGTAAAATATTTTAAACATTTTATTATTTCATTATTTGGAATTTAAGTAGAGGATTAAACGGCTTTTTCTCTTTTGGTTAGTACAATTTGAATACAAAATCGATGGAAATTGTTAAGTTGTGTTGGAGGAGATGCTGTGCAATGAAGTTTTGATTTTTATTAAAGGGTTTCTTTTTATAGATAAGATCTCTCATGCCATAACTCAACAAGTGGCAGATCTCGTAACATGTTAAAAAAATAAAAAATAAATAGAAGATAACACAAATTTTGATACCTTACAACAACAGAAAACAATCTCTAATATGAGAAAATGATTTTCCTTTATTAAATTGAGCAACTTAAAAGTCAAGCATCGAGTGTGTAAATATGAGAAATATTTATGGTACTACTGTTGTATTATTCACTCAGCGCATGCATGAAAATGAGAGAAAATATTTTTTTTAACCAAGTGTCACTTGTTGAATTGCAGTACCTACTACAGAAGTACAGATGATCTCGTAAATATGACTAAATATGTCATGGTCCTTAACATTCTAGAAATAAAAAGAGGATAAATTCATTTAAATTTGCGTACAAAATATTTTTTTTTCATTGTAATTATTGAATTATAAAAAGTAATTACTATAAAGAGCACCTCAAAATATTAAAATAAAAAATGATGCATAAAAAACCCGACAAATTTCTCAAGAAAAAATCTTGTAAAAGTAAAACTAATTACGAATAAATAATTTTGTGTATCATGGATTTGCATTTGTCATTTAACATGACACGATAAAGTTTTTTACACACACCATTTTGTGGGCTCCACATTTTTTGAAGAAAAAAGAAAAAGAAAAAATTACGGCACGCAAAACGAATCTCTATAACCTTACACAATCACTTTTCTTACGAGATAACTATTATAAAACCCATCATTAAATACGGTTATACGGGGAAAGAACTCAAGAAACTTCTTGCAAAGTTTCTGGAGTTAGAAAAAAAAAAAAAAGACAAGTGAAGAGGTAAGTTAGTACATTTGCGGTTAGTTTTGTGAGTGGTTGTCTGTTCTCCTAGTTTTGATGTCTCTGCAAGTTCATATTAATCTTCTGACACCGCTTCGAAGGATTGGTTTTGTTCATAACGCAAACTGTTTCCCTTTTCATTTTCACCATGCCGGAACCTCTACCTTACTCTCTTTTCCCTCTTTACCACCACACACCAATTTTTGCTTTCGTCCATCAACAACCGTCATCTCCGCCATGACGGCTGAGCAGCCACCTGAGCCTCCATTGAGGATGGTGGCTGTTTTTGGCCATGGAACAGTCAGCCCTCTCAAGTCTGCATCCTGGGAAGAAGTTATGCTTCACACTGTTAAGTATCCTCACTCTTCACCTAAACTAGTTTTCTTTTTCTTTTTCTTTTTAACGGTATTTTGATCTGTTATTGACTTTGATTTAAATGAGTTTGATAAGTGAGTTATAATAATACTTTTGTTTTTAGTGAATCAAAAGAGTTTATGTTTGTTCTATGAGTAGTGTGATTAATTTTTTTAATTGGGTCCAGTGTCATTAATATTCCCTTTTACCAGGCAAAAAGATTGAAATGGGTTGATGAAGGATATGAACTTCTTGTATTTACTGATGAATGTATTCAATCTAATGGACAAATGGCCATGAAACTCCAGAGAGAATTACTAACGGCTGATATATTGGTTATTGTTGCTGTTACAAACAAAGAATCAATCAAGTGGATTGAAATCAACAGCCAAAGTATTGAAAATGTAATATGCTTTGACTCTTCACCAGATTTGAAGAACAAATTAGGAGGCTATGATGTTCACAGTGAAGTGAGAGGAAATATATTTGGAAATCTGTTGGGAAATTCTCATTTAGATAAAACTAAAGAGTCATATGAAGTAGTGAGAACTGTATCTGAAGCATGGGATCGACATAGTTCTGATGACATAAGGTTCTGTTTGCTGGTGCTAATCAATGCTTATATAAGACCAGTTCCAGTGTTGAAGAACTTGAGAGCAAAGGGTTTTTCTACCCTGAACTGTATGTTGAGGAACTGTGGTCGTCAGGTACTTAACTGCTTGTTGGATCCCAATTGTAGAAAAGCTCTTCAATGCTTGAATCAGTGTAGCCCTGTTGATCAAGTATGTAACTATCGATGTATTGCTTCATATGAAAGTGAAATTTTAGAAGCCTTTTCACTTTGTGTATTACAGAAAAACAACTGTCTTGAGTTGGAAGCAGAAGTCCCTGACAAGCCATATGTGCCGTCAATGGTTAAGTTTCGGGGGCAGAACTTAAGTTATGAAATGGCAGAAGATTTGTTTGTAGGTTGGTTGGGGAGTCTGCAATGGAGCTGGCGGGTTTTAGCAGGGCAGAATCCAGCATATGATCAATTTCCATGCCAATACCAGCTATTCTATAGGGGAAAGGCAAAAGGGTCATTTTGGTATGAACCAGTATTTCAGGTAAAAACATTAGAAGGCCAAATGGTATGGAGGAGGAGAAAATATAGGGTTAAAAGGGGTAAGATACCTGGTACATTCTATTTCAGTGTATTAGATAATGGAGTTGTTTCAAATGAGTTTTGGACAATTGTGGATGTAGCTGATGATCTTAGTTGGGGTTTGTTCCACTATCATGGAGCTGCTCGAGCTGCAGGACAGTCTTATACTGGGGCAGTACTTGTTAGTCCAGATGGAGCATTTCCAAATGAGAGAGAGCGGACAAGAATAGTTGGTGCACTAGAGAAATGTGGGATTAAAGAGTGGGAGCTATACTTTGTTGACAATTGTTCATGCATAGATCCTCCTTTGGGAATTCCAGAGGGTTCAAGTTTACATGCTATAGTCCATATTGATGATCCAAATTGGATTCCCGTCTGATTGATTGTTAGTGCCCGAAACATATAAGAATTTGTAATATTCTCGTTCTGGTTACATCCGGCATATCTCTAGGTTCAATGTTTAATGCAAATTAGATTTATTCTGTTGCTGCTCACTGTCGCGAAGTTGCTGAGTTGAAATCACCTGGTTGCCAGTGCCTATGAAGGAAACATGTATATCATATAGTTCTAGGTTGCATGTTGAAACGTGATTCGTAGATTGGAAGAGGGGAACTAAAGTTTACCTCGATTATGTGAAACGAACAGATTCAAGCATGTATGTTTTATAAAAAATGAAGTATCATTATTGACTTTCTATATGAATATCTGATCATAAGCCTCCCACTTTAGATCGCTGTGTTCACTTAACGTTGGGAACCTATGGAGTATTAATACAGATGACACGCAACAAATTTAAAAGTATTGCACTTTTCTTCTTTTATATATTACAAGTTGAATATATAATTATGAACATTTTATAAGTGTTTATTACCGAATTTCAAATTAGAAATCCAACAACTACAGAAATCCGAACAGATCTTCAGATCAGATTAATCGCCTATGAGAGATAAATTTTCTCGGAAAGGAAGTGTTCCCAACATTCATATAGTCGTCCACCAAAGGAGAAAAAACTGGCAATGGCCTCCTATACTCTACCAACTGTGGTCATGCACTGAATGATATGTGGATATATTCCTCTTCAGCTGTTGCATTTATGTCAAATACTAATAATACATCAATGTTGTCCTCTGATTTCTTTGATGAAAACATCAAGAAGAGAAAAAAGCATCGAGTATAGCGGTATTACAGAATCCTGTACTCAAATTTATAAAAACAATTGCTCTCGGCCACCAAGACCGGGATCTGTGGGTTCTTGTCTGATGATTCTTTCCCTCGTTTTCAATTTGGACGTTTACTTTGCTCTATATCACCGTTTTGACTCCTGTCCAGGACTAACAATACCTGGAATCATGGTATTATCTATGATGGTTCTTATCATAGTCAAGATCTTTTCCTTTTACTTGATTTATGGTTGTGGTTGTCTTTACCACGCTTTTTGTCACTCTTATGACTTCCCTTCTCTTTTTCAGGCTTTCCTACATTCCGACTGGACTTCACACTAATAAGACCACCTGTGGGTATATTTCCTCCATTGTTTTGTATAACATTCTCAAAGCCAGATTCTCCATCTTCAATTGCATACTGCTGGAACAATTCAGGAGTAAAGAGTGCTTCCGTTTTTGACTTCATGTCATCCTATCCAATAATAATCATTTAAGTTAAGAGCTAAAAACAGGTGGTGTAAACAAGAAAGGATGCAGGTTTGGGTAGGATCTTCAAAAAAAAAAAAGAAGCAACAGATGAAGCTACATACCTCAACTTGTTTAGCTGCATTGTTGAGATCTTCGTCCAAAGAGACACTATGAGGTTCCATGACAATCTAGTGACAATAGAACAAAATCCAGAAAGAGGTAAAAGAAAAGAAGGCGCAAAATTAAAGGATGATAAAAATGGGAGCCACAAAATAGTAGAATTTACGTCCCTAAACACATTGCAATACATGCATGTGAGGAGTTCACTAACCAAACTTGGCTATGAATTCTAGTGAAAACATCCAAGCCATGGAATACACAAGGTAACCCAGTACTAAGAAACTTACTTCTTTCAGTCGTGGCAAGGTTGATTCAATCTCCTTGGATGCGAGGCCATTTAGATATTTGTAGAACTTCTTCATAACCTTTATAAATAGAGACAATATTTGTTGCCTTTCCAACTTCGTTTGTCCCTGTTGAACGAAAGGGCAAATAAGAGAATGCGATTACATCTTTTTGTAAAGGCACCAATGGGGGGAAGACATGAAACGGGAAGAATACTTTCACCTCAGGAAAAAAAACAAGGTGGTGCACTTGAAACACAAACAATATCAAGCAATGGATTTAAGAGTGATTCGTTAATTTGAATGAATATCATGCACAAGAGACAAGTGAACAAGGCATGTGAGTGTGATATTTCACTAAACAAACTAGTAAGTTGACAAACAGACCTCAATGTACGAAATGTTCTGGTTCTGCAGACCAATGCAGAGTAACACTGAAGCTTGAGCATATGACAATGTAACTGGAAGCTTTTCTTGGAAGTACAGATGTGTAAGGGTGGGAACTAAATCCAAAATCTGTCAAATAAAAAAAAGGTCAAGATCATACTTAAAAGCACTTCAAATCGCAAACACAGGTATTCAAAATTGTTATATCACGGGTCTAAGCTTGGCAATATTACATCACAACTTCAACAGTCTGTATATGGTGCATAATGTTTGATGTAACATTAGCCCACCACCGCAAATCATTTTAAATGCCATTCAACTTCACGCAGAACATCGTCTAATTTTCTGATTTTGTTCCATCACAATTCTCACATATTCATGCCGATGCATGTGATGCAAACTCAAGTGAACAACCATGCCAAGTTAAATGACACTTACTTAAGGTAAGAATGTATTAATTTCCACTCATCATTTCAAGTTACTATTGAAGCTTAAATACTTTTCTGTTGACCACGATTTTTTTTACTTTTTTTTTGGGTGGGGGACGGGGATGGAATTCTACCTTAAAAATTTAAAACCTTTTTTAACAAAAACATAAAATGAGACAATCTCGAAGGGAGTGAGAACCGTTAAGAGTACAGAACAGACAATTTTCAATTACCATTAGACATGTCATCATCAAGACACCGTTTAGAAAAACTGATTAGTATCAAACCCATCACTTGAGATCTTACCAGATGAAAGTCAGCAAGATTGTCAACATAAGCCTCTAGGCGCTTCATGTCATGGGGTGATAAATATTCTCTAACTGACTCCAAAAATTTATCAGAAGTAGTCTTCGCAGGTTCTTGTTTCGTGAAATTGATTTTTGGATCTATGATGCTGGAAAATTATCAATATAATAATAAGCATATAAAAAAATGGAGAAGTAATAAAGGGATAGAGATCCAGCCAAGTTCAAGGAACTCTAAAGGTCTAGCTTTTAAAATATTCACGTCTACATCTGAATTCTAATCAATGAGTAAGATTATGCAAAAGCTTTAGAACTTTATGGAAGGATAAAAACATGAATTTAACTTTTCATTTCTCAGACCAAAATAAACTTCCCTTCATAAAATAAAGTGCTGATTGAAGGGTAATTGTGGTATCTTGTAAAATACATGTGATCTTTCCTTCTTTATTATAAATTGAAAAAAAAGAAGCAATTCTCATTTTGCATAATACACATATAAAACAGACTGCTTATTTCCATTTCATGCACAAGTCTGTCTTATTTTCAAATATATTATTTCACAAGACATGTGATCTTTCCTTCTTTATTATAAATTGAAAAAGAAGAAGCAATTCTCATTTTGCATAATACACATATAAAACAGATTGCTTATTTCCATTTCATGCACAAGTCTGTCTTATTTTCAAATATAATATTTCACAAGACGTCAACAGGGAAGGTAATCATAGGCAAAAACAGAAGTGAAAAAGAAATCTTTATGGTACAAGAAAAATAAAGTGAAGTTGAAGTCAAGTTCCTTTCTTTAAAAAAAACAGAGCTCCTCTCGGGTGTACTCCAGTAAATCTTGATTCCTGTTCCTTATTCATTACCCAAATAGGGACAACTTTATCTTTGCTAATCTCCTTTGGAAGTCTGAGGTCTCCTAAGGTGAAGTCCTTCATTTAGATATGCAGATCACACAAAGCTATATCTCCTAATATTTGTGTTGTATATTTTTTCCTAATTACGAGATTAGCAGTCATGTATTTTATACTCTTCAAATGCTAGATACTTAGGCATAGAGGCGTAGACTTTTCGATATTCTTGGTGAATGTGTCATTTCAAAGGTTTAGGGAGGAATAAAGAGGTCAGGATTCTTCAGCAACGCATAATGTATTCCAATCATTTGGTGCATATGGTAGGTGAAGAATGCAGGAGTTTTCAGGGACAATTTTGTTTTCCTACATTCACTTTTATGGATAAAGTAAAGTAATCTCAACCACTTTATGGTGCTCAGCTAATGGATATTCTAAAAGAGATTATATGGTAGACATGCGAAAAGACTAGCAAGCTTTGTTCTTGAATCGTCTTTCTAGTTTGCTTTGGTTTTTCGGTGTTTTGTGTGTTATATTTTCTTTTAGGAGCATATATTATCCTCTGCTTTTGTTCTTTATTTTTTCATCTAACAATACTTCTTTTATTCAAAAAATAAAATAAAGATGTGGAAAATCTTATTCATTAATATGATTTAATTGTCAATATTTCAATTACTCGAGGCCCTTTCAATTCAAGGAACTTCAAAATATCCACATCGATTTCTGAGAATCGAGAACAGTGAAACGTTAAATTATTAATACTAACCTCAAAGCAAGCTTGTATTCAATGCCACGAAAAGTGGAAGTCAGAAGTCTAGTAAATCTTTGCCTGAAATCTATAAATAGAGAACTAAATCATCAACAATTAACAAAATTAATCACAAATATCATAACAGCAAAGGTAGATGAACCCACCTTGGTAGAACGGACCAAAAAAGCCCAACTGATTTGATCCATCAACTTCAATTTCATCATTGTTTAAGGGTTTTAGAATCATACATGTATGCTCACCGGTCACAGCATTCTATCAAGTTGAGGGAACACTATGTTACTTAATCATAAAAATAAATTCAGTATCATAGTCTACTGCTTAAGAAAAAACAAAGCTTAACTGGAATCTGGCCAATGTAGAAGGGAGCAAATTTATGCTTCCTCCAAAAGCGAAAAAGGTCCAATGTTAGCCCAAATGAGACACCAATGTAGTGGAGCTTCTCTGGGCGTCTTTCACGCAGATGTACTAGCAAATGAGGAAGATCTGTTCTAGGTTTTATATTTTCTTCAAGTAGCGAAACCTGAATTCATAGTAGTATCATAATAAAGGTAACGCATATATTGGAAATATAAACATAAATTGATAGACTTATGAGCATAGACAATAACAATTCAAATATAGCTCATCATTCTTGCTCAAATTGCAGCCTTCACACTCACACTATGTTTGAACTCGGTCATTAAACACTATCTAAAAGCTAAAAGAAACCAATTATTAGAAAAGTGCTAGCACACATAAGCACGGACCTGTCTGAAAGTAATTGTCTTTCTGATGTGTTTCCAGTAATAAAATTGTTGAATATGAACAAGGACACATGGTAAACAAGGTTTATCAAGAACAGAGTATGATTCTTATAAAAGACAGAATTTTTACATAGAAGAAATACATCCCAGACACACAATGTATAGGGGCTTCCCCTTCCTCTCTGAGACACTTAAACAAACAGAACTATCTAAACCTGTTCCAAAAAGGGACTTTAGAGGTAACATACCTTCTCTGCAGCTTCTGTAACTCTAACTCGAGGAGCCTGCTCTTCATCTTCAACATCAATCTCAGAGATAGGAGTAAGTTGTCCTTCATAGTAACTGCAGACAGTAAATGATGGAAACGATTAATTGATGGTGTTCTGCATTTAACATCTGACATATTAAAGACTAAAATGAGCCCTATGTAACAGCATCTTTGGCGAAGTATTAATTATACCAGATGATTCATACAGAAACCAAATCATTTTTTTTGGTAGCCCCGTGCACGAGGCTCCCACCATTGTGGGGTCTCAGAGGGTTAGATGTGCACAGCCTTACCCTTACCCCACAAATATAGAGGCTGTTTCAGTGACTAGAACATATGACCACCAGGTCCCACGGCAGCAGCCTTACACTAGAAAATGGAGAGAGTATGCTGGAATTTTTTGTAATCAGACCACACAGGAATATATTTATACTAGTACAGAATTATTTGCAGTAATTACAATCTTAATTACAAGATGATTCAACTCCTAAATTAGTTCCTTGATTAGAGCACTAAATTACTGTACACAAAAATATCAGAGATATTTTCTACCACACAGTTGAACTTGAACCAAGGCTCGCCAAACCAAATCAATATTCAATTAAAAACTTTTGAAGAACGCTCAATGCTCATGGAACCTCGTGTAAAACAAAAGCTAAAATGAAAATCACTACAATCGAAGCAAGAAGACAACCATGCACTCACCGTATTAAAAGCTCAACTGCCTGTGAGCCATATCCAAGCTAAAATTAAAAAAAGAAGATAAAAAGTCAGAAGGGTATCGCAACCTTGGAAGAATCTGGTTAAACAAAGCCATATGCCAGAATATAGAAGTTACCCTCATGACACTCGGGTGTGTGGCGATGCGTACAATGCGAGCACCGGAAAGTGACGGGAAAACTGTGTCTCGGAATTGCTCACAGAATTTCCATGGTATTTGATCTCCAGAAGGTTGATGACCATCACTCAAACTTTTCATTGCTGACTGACGAGATATCTGCCCCTCAAGGGAAACCTGTAAATAGAAGTTATTGGACGTAGGAAGTCACAAAAAAAGGACAAGCTTCCCAAACAGAAAAAGGGACAATAAGCATAAACATCCATAGTATAACTACAAAGAACAGGAAATTACAAACTTAGTGCTAACACCAAACGAAAAACAAAAGTTAGAGTTGAGTGAAGGAAATAATGCAACCACCACAAAATTGAAATACTTCAAATATTCCTCGAATTACAAGTTCTGTGCAGCATGATAAAGTACAACGGCATTAAAACAAATCAGAAGTCATAAGCTAATACAGAAGCTTCTCATATCTGTAAAATACTGACAAGCAGTTAAGCACTATCAAGCCTCAATTTTTAAACAAAGCAAAACATAAGCTCGAAACATTTTAAATCAGTAAAAGATATTGTCCTAGTCTCTCGATGATCTCAGTACCAAAATATTTGTTTCGTACAGCCTCAATGATATGCTCTATGCTTGTTTGTTCGTAGTTGATCACAGCACAATAAACAAATCAACATTTTTCTCCATCATAATCAAGCAGTGTGAGGAAAAAAAAAACATACGGCAAAAAATGTAACTTCATATATTGGTATCAGCAAAAAAAAAAAAAAAACAAGAGATAATGAGTGACTAAAGAATTGGAGATGTTAGGCTCTGCCAAAACAGAGAAGGCAAGGCCAGTCATGGAAGTCAAGACAGGCCATACGCAGAAATGCAGCAAAAAAATAGGATGATTTAAGCCAAAGATGCAAACCTGGATGACACACAAAATATCAGGAAGTTGATTCTTTGATTCATCAACAGGTCCTGTCATAATTCAAGTCATGTCATTTTAAGCAAAAGAACAATAGTAGAATTACTAGAAAAAAAAACCATGTATACCAAGTAGTACAAATAAGTGGTGTGCTGGAGCATCTGCCATTAGTTGCAGATCATTTGGAGAATTCTTGTAATGTGAAGCAACGTATAAGGCCATCATTCGCTGCAAGAATCAAATATTTTAGTACAGCAAACACATAAAAAATATCACAAGGCATCCAACATCATCAGATAAATCTGGTTTTACCTGCAGAAATATTTCACTATCTCTGTGATAGGAAAAGAGGGTATCCCGATTAACATAGTATAGATCACACTCACTAGGTGGAGGTAACCTGATTTCAGGGTAAAGAACTGTAAATAAAGATAGACAAAAATGGTCTCATCTTCCAAAGAAATATAAGCTTGATATAACCTGCTAAGATGAGGGATGACATTTGAAACATCTAAGCAAAGTAGAGTGTTAAGCCAGCTTTCAATGGGATCCCCAGAAGCATATCTGATGGATTCACTCAGTTCTATTTTCTTAAACAGATGACCTGAAAGATAAAACTCAAAATTTAGCAATAACATGCATGCATTTTTATTAAATTTATGTATAAAAATCATTTAAGGGATCATTGATAAAACTCAAAATTTAGCATTAGCGTGCATGCATCTTTTTAAAATTTATGCATAAAAATGATTTAATGGATCATTGAAAACCAAAGAACTTAATTTCATAATCCACTTAGACTGAATTTCCATTCTGAACAGCACATGACATGCACATTGTTTATTTGAATTGACTTCTAAAAGCCAGAAGCATATAAGTACCAGAAACAGAGCCTTCTGTGCTCTTAGCAGACACGTGGCTTTTCTCTTCCAATTGCTGCAAAAGTTTTAGTGATAAAGAGCGTCCAGTACCTTCATAACTTTCCATGAGTTAAAAAAAAAAAAAAAAGTCTTTTCAGTAATAAAGTCACAACAGAGGTTAACTCTTTTAACTAAGAAACATTAAACTTGATTAAAAAGAGGAAGCAAACAGCTAATAATTCAGAAGGATTGATAATTCTCCATCAAAAAAATGATGTTTTTGGCATGATATATGTAAAGTTTCACCGTACGCAGAGGACTAGTCATACCCATTAACCGTAGAAGACAGGAAGATCAGATATGGGCCAAGCAAAGACTTCACCACCGGCAGTGGAATAGCAGCTGCTTCATCAACAACCAACAGTTCAACTTGCGAGAGCTTTTCATGCTCATGCGGCAGTATATACTGAGAAATAAAGATGGAAAACAAGCCCAGAATTACATTTACTTGTATCCTCACAGCAACAGTAAGTTTTCTTAACACCCATAATTTTTTTGAAGTCACATGCATTAATGCAGAAGCATTACCGACGAACATACCTGAATTGTCTGTCTGTGGTGCTTGTAAATATTGATCCTTTCAATAGCTTTCTTGAACTCAGGATTCACACTTCTCACCACATCGAAATCAATATGTTCCTATTCACATTGGAAACAGTAGCACTTTTATAAAACACCATTCAACTTTCTATACACAAACAGACCAAAAGGCAAAAGTGGTTGGGATTGATACAAATCAGGAGATAGAATATCAATTGAACTAAATAAAATCAATTTCCATTACCATAAAGCCCTTATATAAATTCTATTGCCACACACCCCCTTTCCCCCAGTAGATGAAGTGAAAAGGAGACCTTAAGACCCAAAATCATTAATCAATATGAATTAAACATTAACTTGGTATCTTACTGATTAACAAAGTAAATAGGTATTACGCGACACTTAAAATGACATTGGATATTCCTAGCACAGTGCCCTATATCTAGAAAGTTTTCATTTGATTTTTTCATGTATGACCCAGAATTTGATAAGTTTAGTATATATTCAGCAGTTGAATTTTTAATAAAATGGAAGAAATTGTGACAAGAGGTGGTTAAAGCTAGCTGCAGCACTAGGAATAAGCTATCACTTCTCAGTTCAATAAACTATATGTCAATACGTAATAGATTTTATCACAAATTTTAGTAAAAAAGGAAATGTTTAATGGGTCTGCCGAACTTGCTTAAATTGATTGAACATAAGATCATTCTGGTGCCCATTTCTGGTCAGACCCATGGCATGGGTATTTTATTCACACACTTCCCCTATTTTTTCTTATTTATCTTCTCTTCAATTACTCACTTTCAAGAGAAGAATATCCCTTAATTTCAAGGGGAGTAAAATAATAGCTTACGTATTTCATAATTTGTCTAGACAGTCATTAGAACTGGAAATTCTGCTTCCTCCACAAGTTGATAAACCAAATGTTCATAAATGGCCAAAAATGATATCTGAGTGGTCGTATGCTTCGTCAATATATTCCAGTTATCTTTTATCAATTCACAATTGATGGACGGGCATCATCTCATTGTATATTAATTAAATATAAGCAATTGCAGTGCTCTGCTCTAACTTACTTTAGAGCACATAAACTAATCCAAATATGTACCAGATTATAATTTAAATACACAATGAATCATTGGGAAATAAAATATAAATACAAATTGGCTGGACCAGTAAGCCAGTGGTTACTTACAACTCCAGTTCATGACCAAAGTTAAACTACCCAGTTGCCATCCTTAGAATTTTCACAACTAAATGTATCTTTATTAAGCAATAATTGTTATAGCTCTTAACAATGGGATATAACCTGTACCTTGTAGTCAAGTGCAGCAAAACCTTCGCGTATAAAGTCAAACAACGTATTCAAATTCTCAGGGCTGGGTGCGGTTACAAAGATATTTGAATACCTGCATAGATAATCTTCCAATGAGACCTTCAAAAAAATTGAAGTACAACTATCACATGAAAATATCTGTATGTCTTGAAAGCATAGTACCCCACAGCAATAGCTCCAGCAATTGATAAACCAAGAGCAGCTGATTTCCCACGGCCACGGGCAGCCAACAAGGCAACAATACTACGAAGTGTCTTGTCCAAAATTGCATCCAGAAAAGTGACAACAGCTTTTCCCTATAAACAGAAAACATATAAAGCTCACATCCACCACACAGAGAAACCAATTTGTTTGACCACAGTAGACAACGCAAATTTAAGAGGTAAACAATCCTACTTGGTCCAACGTGCAACACTTCTTAATCAATGGTCCAACGGGGAAATCTTCATTTAGTTGTTCTTTAAGATTCTTCAGGTCCTGTTCTGCTTCTGAGAGTCCCTCAGAGTCCTACAAAATCAATTCAGAGACAAACAATTACATAGTACTCCACCAAAATTTAAACAAACAAGCATCTTGCTTGGCTTCCAAGAAAGGGAAGGCAGAAGAAAATAATTCCTATTTTTGGCAATGTGATTAAAAAAAAGTTGCAAACCCAACTACAATTAGTTGCACGTTAGTATAGAGTTAGAGTGAGACTAGCATTTATTCAAATACTAAGGCAACAAATACTATAATTTACAAAATAAATAAATGTCTAATTATGTGCAAAATTACAAGTCTACATGTTAATAGAGAATAGTACCTCCAAAAATTATGGTAATGTCTTCCAATAATAAGTAAACATCTGACACTAACAATGAGAAATTTTGCACCCCAATATAAGACCAAAAGTGAATTTTAAAAAAAAAAAATACTTAACATTAAACCTCGACTAGCGAGGGTGGGGTGAGGGCAATTCTTGTATACAGAATTACCCTTGCATATTTGCAAAGAAACTATTTCTCGGATTCGAATGCTTGACCTTCCGGTCACAAAAGACCAAGAATGAAAATAATCAATAAAAATATCTTAAACCTTTGCGGTTATCACATACTTTCGTACTATCACCAAGATTTTGAAACATTTATCATATATTGAAAGCACAACAAATAGAAACACCTTCTTTCTAGATTCTTGAGGGAGGGAAAAGGACCTGTTTGCACCATAATCTTCCAAAACATCAACCGAGACACAATATATATTTAAAATCAGAATTAAAACATGGGGTAATATAAAAAACACAAAATTCGTTCTGCTAACTTTAAAATTAGGTCTTTTTATGCGCCCCCACCCCCAAAAAAAAATAAAAAAAATTCCCCCATACGTTAAATAAGTAACTAACAAACATGCCTTCGAACACAAAGCATTCGAGCCCAAAATCATGTGCAGTCCCCATCCAAAAAGAAGGGGAAAAAAGGAAATAGATAGTCAAAAATATAATGAGGATACCTCTTTAACAGGAACTTGGGTAATAGACCTTATGTGAGATGAAATTGGTAACACATTCAGCTCATCATCCATGACCACACAAGCCTTGCAAGAAGCAAGTGATAACAAAAAGCGTTCATTAAAGCGCCCAGTAGCCTCAGAGTGGGATTCAGTTCGGAATCTATCATGCACATCCTGCAATCAGTGAACCACGCAAAAGTTGAATTTAATGATACTTTTAGCAGAAGAGTAGCCCGGTAGGTAATGGCCTTATAGGCTACTCAACCATAGAAACATAAATTTCTGGCTTTCAGGCTTCCAAGTAAAGCACTTGGAGAATGAGAACAATGCAATCATTTTTATTGGACCACCAACTAAAATAATTAATTTTAGGGGCAAAATTTAATTTTCACATAAAATACATTTATTTTAGTGAAGCCTCAACCAAACATATAAGGCTATACATCCTTTGCGATTTACATGTTGTAAAACAGTTTTAGGTTTGAGAGTTAACTTGACAAAATGTGAACTTGTTCTAGTTGAGAAATGGAGTATTTAAAACTCCTATAGTTTTTTCTCCTTTTATTAAATGATGTATGCCTTTTGGTCAATTACTGTTATAAAATATTCTTATATAACAATTGAGAAAGCTCCAAATATTTCACGAAAGCTATTACCTATTAGATATAAAGAGTTGCCTCAAAAAATGACCAGTATCCTTTTTTGGTACAAAAAATAAATTTTATGAGAAGGGTGTGTAATATCTAATGAGAGTATTATGAACTCCAACAAATGCAATGCAAAAAAGAGAAAACAGAGAGAATATCCTGAAATCAAATTCCTATGCTCAAAGATCAACCGAAGAGGAGACTATAAAGATAGTACATAAGAACTCTTATAATTGACCAAATGAATTGAAAATTAAAAAAGAAAGGACTCAAATATTAATTTGATGAATCTACATTCATACCATCACCATGGTGTACAGACTGGTCAGCGAGGATAACGAACGAAGCAACAAAACAACCAAACCTCCTCCCTCAACTGTCTCTATCGTTCTTGCTAGGAGATTCGGTGTCAACGCCTCAAAATCCTAAAAGGAAAGACGGCAGAAAAATTGATTTATGTTGGAAAAATGGAAGGAGAAAGACAACCTAGAAGGCACAAGAGATTGAGCTAGAAGGAAGTGTAAGATACCTGAAGTATACACATCCCATAGGTATTACCCATAACTCTTTCCGAATCCTTATATAAACAATATTTTAATCCCCCACTTTCTACAAACAACGAAAATGGATCAACTTTCTCAGGATCCAAAAGACCCCTCTGCATCAATTTTTTAATCTGCTTCCCACGTTTCTTCCTATGACTGCATTCACAATCATCATCTTAATCAAGCTCATGTAAATCATCGTCCATAATAACTCAAACAAACCAATACAGCAGTATATCACAGTTTATTCACACAAGAGAGACTCTTATATATAGAACTTAGAACCTGCTTATTTCAAGCTTGTCCCTGTAACACCATAAAACAGTTGGCCTGGATTTGATCTGTGCCTTGCTAAGCATATAATGAAGATTTACAATCTGCGCACGGTAGAGACTGCATTTAGAACACTCAAATTGCACTGCTCTTAATTTCTTTGACGTTAAATGAAGTTTCCAAAATCATTCAAATTCTCACAAGCCTATAACTATAACGTAACTACAAAGAGAAATGGTGTTAGTTGTAAGAGCGAGAGACCTGGTCACGTGACTTGTCACCGATGATGACAAACATGGACCTATGCCTTGTTTTGACACCATTTTCAATGAGAGTTCTAATTCGCTCATCCACTTTCTTCCTCATTTCCCTGTTACGAAATTTAAGTTCTCACAAGTCAAAATCTCGCAAGGAACAAGGTAACGATAATAATTATAATCTATCAAATTGAAAATATTCCAATTCCAGCATTTCAAATCCATTATTTTAAAGTTGAATAATGAATCATCATTAATATCACAGTCGCTGCTGTATTAACGCAAACGCAAACCCATACATACACAATAACGGCAAGGAGAGAAGGAAGCGACACTGAGACCTGGATTAAATCGACGGCGGAGCTTGTATCGGAGACAGTGATAGACTCGGCGTTTGTGCGAGTGGGGGATTCGAGGAATGAAACAGAGCGTTGAGACTACAGCTTCCACTTTGTTACTTGTTATGTTAGGGTTTATGGAGGGGTTAAGGCTTATATATAACGGAAATAATTTTCTTACGAAATGGTTATTTCTATGTTGTAAAAATAAAACTGTAGGTGGGACTCGTAAGAGAGGAGAGAGAAAATAAAAGAAGTAGAATTTATTCTTTTATACATGTGTTGAAAAGTTAATTTTCTCGTGTAAAATCAAATAAATATAATTTTATATATAATATGAAAAAATGTGTTTCACTTAAAAGATGATAATTTTAAGAGAGACAGACATAGATAAAAAAAGAAGAGCGAGAGAAAAAAACCCAGTCTTTTTTTTTCTCACGGTCTATTTTTATTTCTCTTAACTTCTCTTTTAAAACTACATACACTTTTTCGTATATTATTCGCTATTGAGCCCCAATATCATTATTCATTTATTCAGTATCACAGTTCGCTCCTGATTTCCTACCGTTACAATTGTGAATTTCCTTCCTTTTTTATAAATGTATATAGGATTTACTACTTGTGCTTAGGAATGTAAACGAGCCTAGACTCGGCTTGCTTTAAGTTTAATTTAATCTGATTTGTTTAATAAATAGAACGAGTTCAAATATAAAAAACTTATTTAGCAAATAGTCTAAGTCTAATTTAATAAAGCTTGACTTGAAAGTCCACGATATATATTATTATAATAAATAATATATTTTTATGTCACTATATCATTATTCTTATTTTTTGTAATCCTACTTTTTTACTATTGTCTTTAACTTCACAGACAACTTATCAAACTCAGGTACTCTTTCCTTTATTCTTCTTTGAATATTATAATACAATAAGCTTTTGAATTTGGACAACTTATTCTATTAACAATGAAGTCATCGGGTTTTTTTGTGTGTGTTTTTTTCTGCATTGCAAGAGGCAGCACACATTTTCTTGATTTATTAAGTCATCATGAGCTGGATCAATATTTAAGAAAAAATTGCGGAACTCATTATTCGATTTTAGAATATATGTGGATTGAACGGGTTCTATGATTGTTTTTTCTCTGATGAAGGAGTACAGAATTTGATACATTTATAGTCTCAATATTTAGACATATGTGAGTTTGAAAAAATAATTTTATAATTATAAATAAGTCAAGTCAAGTCTTTAATTTTTTATAAACAGGCCAAGCCTAAAATTTAGCTCGTACCAAACTAATGAACCAAGCTAAACTCAAAAAAAATTTCATAGTCTTAGCTAGTTTAAGCTAAAACTTGGCTCCGCTCGGCTCAACTCATTTACACCCCTATTCGTGCTATTTAAAATGATGATGTTATTATTATTATTATTATTATTATTAAGATTAAGACTTTAAATCTCTCACAAAGATGGTACTGGGGAGGATAAAATATATGCTCTCATCCCACATACTTAGCTCCCGTGCACCAACTGAGCTACCATTATTCGATAAGAATAACGTTATTTTGAAACTAGGAAAAAAATATTGGTATTTTGAAAGAAAAAAATCATATCGCAAGTAGAAGTAAAATTGTAAAAATATTTTGTATTTTTTTCTCAAATATTAAAATGATATTAATTTAATTTGAAGGAGATAATTTTATTTTATATAATAATAAAAATATTTTACCTCAGATTATATATTAATGGAATATTTTGTAATAATATAAGTTATATTTTCAATTTTAACTATTAATTATATATATATAATTACTTTAATTTATTAAATATATTAAGTACATTATTAACTAAAATTTTATATTAAGTGTATATTTTTCTATTAAAATTAGAAATAAGTGGATATATATGATATTAACAATAACGAAGGAAAAATGAATTCTCTCTCCTATGATACGAAGATTATTTGTAATAGGAATATGTTATTCTGCCTACCCCTAATTTACCTACTTTTGCCTACCTCCCTCAACACCGTTAGATTACAGTATCATCCAACTACATAGATTTACGAGATAAAATCAATCCTTCTATCCTTTCTTCTCTCCCACTGTCCTCACCATTTCTCTCTCCTCCCCATTTTCTATTCCTCGCTGCGGTATCAGAATACTGAAACGACTGAAGGGTATCAAGCTTCGCTAATTCAATCACCTTTTACTTGTAATTGACAATCTGTTAGTAATTGAATTTTTATAAAATATTATTTTGTATACAATGATCAGATTGTTAAGTGATTTAAAATTATCATATTCAACATTGGGTTGGTGGTGATTTAAAATTAATTCACGACCAAATTGGACGATCCATTTGAAGGGTATGAATATTCATACTAATTATTATTTTGTATGTTGTTCGTGATTGAATTCAATCATCCTCCAACAATCTAATCCTTATTTCATACAAAATATTATTCATACAAAATTCAATCATCCTCCATCATTGGGTCATGATTTTGGAAGAAATATTATTTTGTTACCAATCCAATGTTGAATATTCAAAATAAAGATCATACAAAAGAAAGAAAGGATCGTCCGAAAATCCAGATTTGAGACTCCAAACCGTTCATACCCTTTCTTCTCTCTCAACTACAAGTAAAGGGTGATTGAATTAGCGAAACTTGATACCCTTAAGTCGTTTCAGTATTCTGATGCCACATAGAGGAAGAGAAAAAGGGGAGGAGAGAGAAATGGTGAGGGGCAGTGGGAGAGAAGAAAAGGGTAGAAACATTGATTTTATCTCATAAATCTCTATATGATACTGTAATCTCACGGTGTTGAGGGAAGTAGAAAAAAAGTAAGCAAATTAGGAGTAGGCAGAATAACCTAATCCATTTGTAATAATCTCAATCATTTATAGATAAATTGAAGAGCGGAGAAAAGCTAATTATTAATTTGACTATTGATGATTAAGGTCATTTCATGCAATCTCATATCACATCAGATAATTCATTTCTCCCGCAAATTATGCAAAACACGCTGATTCTTGTGGTTGGCTAGAGAACCCACCTGATTTTATTCGTCCCCTTATATCTGCAGATTTAAGTGAGGAATAAATTCTAATTTCAGATAAATAAAAAAAAACATAAATTAATTGTAGATGATTACACGTGACAACTGCAATTAGAAAATTAGATAAACAGAGGTAGCTAAAGAACCAACACTCCTTTAATGCTTTATTTAGACATTGTAACTAACTAAACACACAAGAACACACAATTTTGGCTCAGATGTTGCTAATCATTCAATCTTAACAAATATTTTCACTCACAAATCATTCATCTTCTTTGTGACTTTGACTAATATCGACTACTTTAGAAAAGGCTCAAACCATGGCTCTAGCCAAGTTCCTTGCGTGGGTGTTTTGTATGATATTGGTTCATTGCCAACTACAATGTTGCCATGGAGCAGAGACTGTAAAAGGTATTGGTGTCAATTGGGGTACACAAGCATCTCACCCCTTGGATCCTCCCATTGTAGCAAAGATGGTGCAGGACAATGCAATTAAAAAGGTAAAGCTTTTTGATACAGATTCTTGGGCAGTAAGTGCTTTTTCTGGCACGGACATTGAACTCATGGTTGGAATTCCTAATAATCAATTGAAGAAACTATCTAAAAGTATGAAACATGCAGAGAATTGGGTTAAACACAATGTGACCAAACACATGCACGATGGAGGGGTTAACATAAGGTATTTTTTTTTTTTTTTTGTTAGTTATATATTTTTTTTCATATTTTATTATGAACAACAACATATCATAAATGTGATTATTATATGGTATTGTAGATACGTATCTGTTGGAAATGAACCGTTCTTGTCAAGTTACAATGGTTCATATGAAACGACCACATTTCCAGCTATGGAAAATATTCAAAAGGCTATTGATAAGGCTGGTTTTGGTGACAGAATAAAGGTGACTACGGCTTTAAATGCTGATGTTTATGAGTCTCGTTCAGACAAGCCATCAGATGGAGAATTTCGCAAGAATGTTTATGATGTTATGAAACAAATAGTGCAGTTTCTTGATGAAAGGAAGTCACCATTTGTTGTTAACATATACCCTTTTCTCAGTTTATATCAAAATGAAGATTTCCCACAAGATTTTGCATTCTTCGACAGTGATAGCAGAACAATTGATGACAAAAATGCACAATATCACAATGTGTTTGATGCAAATTTAGATACCCTTGTTTGGTCATTAAAAAAGATGGGTCACCCTAACGTGACAATCACGATTGGTGAAGTTGGATGGCCAACTGATGGTCACAAACATGCAAATCTAAATAATGCAAAAAGGTTCTACCAAGGGTTCCTTAAGAAAATGGCAAGCAAGAAAGGAACTCCACTTCACCCAGGACCTTTAGATGTGTATCTATTTTCTCTTACTGATGAGAATTATAAGAGTATTGCACCTGGTAACTTCGAGCGTCATTGGGGAATTTTTCGATATGATGGAAAGCCCAAGTTTCCAATAGATTTTTCTGGTAAAGGACAAGAGAAATGGCCTATAGAAGCAAAAGGGGTTCGCTACCAAGAGAATAAATGGTGTGTTTTCAACCAAGATGCCAAGAAACTTAGTTCGTTACCAGAATCATTAAGCTATGCTTGTGCACTTGGTGATTGTACAAGCTTAGGTAGTGGTTGTTCTTGTGCAAATTTGAATGAACCTGGCAATGCTTCATATGCTTTCAACCAATTTTTTCAAATAAGCGACCAAAGTGTTGAGGCATGTGATTTCAAAGGATTGGCTAAAATTGTTAGTGAGGACCCAACAAAGGGAAGTTGCTTCTTCCCTATACAAATCGTCAGTAGTGGAAATTTGCTCAAAGTTATGCATAAGGTGGGAGGCCTTTTGATCGGATTTGCATTGATTTTCATTACATTTATGTAAAAAAACTTTGTAGTTAGTAAGGAGGGGAAATAGTAACGATAGATTTGAGGACTTTACATAAGATTGTAGATTTAAACCTTAGTTGAAATAATGTTGGTAGATGTATATGTCATTATTTCATTTTTCCAATCATTTCAGTCATCAATAATATGATGTACACAAATCATAATAGAATTCAAATTCAGCATGTCTAGATATAGAAAAGAAGTGTGAATCAGCGAGTTGAAAATATAAAGCAAATAAAAAATTCAAAATTAAAATAATACAAACAAGTAATACATTAATGAAATATGGCACTTAGTTAATTTTTAACTAAGCAATTGACATTCTTTTTCTCTTTTTTAAATTTGCCATTCTCTCTTCCCTCCCACCTCCTCCCCTCCCTATTACATATGTGTGTGAAAAATTTGGGATTTACCTCTGTCAAAGATTAAGTCTTGTTCTATTGTGGATAAGGCATGAATCGTTTAAGTCGGGCCCCCTTTAAATGTCTTCTCATTTGGTAAAAAAACAAATGATTAGAGAATAGTAATATAAATTAAAATCAATTTATATCAATAAAAGATTTTTTAGAAGATGAATTCTTCGCAAAATTCACGGTTAAACTTGTAACACTCCCAAGTTTCTAATCATTTAAATTTTTTCTATAATAGTGGAATTGTCAAAAATTATATTTAATTATTTATTATGATCATATAAATATTACGGAAGCTAAACTAAAATCTATTTGGAAGAAATGTTACTGTTGCACTTGTAGACGAAATTATCATACTTTCACACCAAAAGTACATCTAACACAATTATTAAAATTTAAAAATGTGAAATCATTGCCTAAGGTTTAACTTTGAATATACATGTTACAATTACAAAGTTTCCAAAAATATAAAAGTAAACATAAAGATTATAATATTTGGGTCTAGCTTGAAATGATCGAGACGTTATCCTTACTGGCTTACTATTCATTGCTAACCCCAACACTTGAAACATGCTTCACTGCTCCCATGAAGGATCATTGCCGCTAGGGGTGAAACTGGGCCGGGCCGGCCTACAGGAGTCTACGGCTCGGCCTACATCAGGCCAGACCTGACATAGTATATTTTGTATAATAGGTCGGGTTTGGGTCTTAAAAAAGTCTGTTTAATAAAAAGGTCGTAGGCCCATTTCCAAAAGGCCGGGCCTATAAGCCTACAGGCCGGCCTATATTATACTATTTATTTTAAATAAAATAAAGAGTAAATACCATTTTTGGTCCCTAACAAAAAATACGGTCCTCACTTTAGTCCCTTACAAAAATAAATTAGTCAGTCAGTCCCTAACAAATTCAAAGTGGACCCATTTAGTTGAAATCGTGGTCCCTCACAAATTCAAAAAAGACCAATATTAGTCCCTCAAAAGGACTAAAATGGGTCCACTTTGAATTTGTTAGGGACTGACTGATTAATTTATTTTTGTAAGGGACTAAAGCGGGGACCGTGTTTTTTGTTAGGGATCAAAAAAGGTATTTACTCTAAAATAAAATAAAGTAAGTATGCCTTGAAGGAAAAACAAAAGATATAAATTTAATCAATTACAATTATTTATAACTTAATTATATTTGATTATATTTTAATAGAAATCTTACTTTATTTCTTATATAGGAGGAACCAACATCTCAACATGTTAGATTGTGTATATGAATATATTAAAAGATTTTTGAGAAAGGTTATACTTACTACAAGCATCATGCTGTGTTTGTTGGATTCATGTAGTTATTTTAATTTACATAGCATGGATTTATTTGTTGGATCTGATGAAATATATGTTATTTAGTTTGAGCATTTTGCTTTTGAAAATGACTTAAATGCATATTGTATGAGTTTTGTTATGATTCATTATTCTGTTTGGACGTTGAAATTATGATTTTTGGTGTAGCAACAGAATTTGAGTACTTCGTAAAGTTGATTCATGATTATGCTTGAAAGTTAAAAATTAACAGGCTAACGGGCCAAGCCAGGCTATTTGTTTTTTTATAAACGGGCCAAGTCAGGCTAACAGTTAGACTCATACTAGGCTTGGGCCAGGCCAAATTGAAATTTTTTGGCGTAGGCTTGGGCTTTTCGGGACAAAGCTTGGCCCAGCCCAGCCCACTTTCACCCCTAATTGCCGCACACAAAAGCAAAAGCACAACCAGTCAGCCAAAAATTGGTAATATCTATCCAAAACATACAAGGACCACCCTAATTTTAGTATTCCATTGTAATAAACTAAAGTATTAATCAAGATATTTCATTGTAGTTATGAATTTTATTTAGTGGGAAGAAAATCATGGTAGACCCTACCCACTTGACACAGGAGTCCCAGCCATGTATAAACAAATTTGGCCATCATCAAAGCATCAATTCTTAGTGTGCACACCTCTCCACCAAAGTTGCTACTAGTACCCCAAGAGTTCCTATTGTCCGATACCAATTTAGGAAGAACATATAGATAAGATTTTTATAACATTGTAGGCATAATGTCATAAGATTGTGTTTGTCACTTTCGAGAGATATCATCCCAAAAGTTATCTTTCCAATATTATCTTATCACACACAAATTAAGAAAATCCAGTCTTATCACAAATCACATACTTGAAAAATTTCTCAAAAAGTTTCATAATTTTCACACCAATTATTGAGCATCTATCAAAGGTCATATTCATAACACATATAAAATTAACACACCAGCATACATATTATCATCAAGAAATTAGGATTACACATAACAAATTCATAATTAAGTAACATACGATTACCTACAGATTAAGATTACACACATACGATTATCTTTATTTCGTGTTAGAAAGCTTCATCGGAGAAAAGAGATTCACGAGGGAAAGCGTAGTTGATGGCTAAAGGGATAAAGTCGTCGCAACATACTTTGGTAGTGTTAAGGGAACCTCTATTTCATGTTCGAAAGCTTCTATTCGAGAAGAGAGATTCACGAGGAAAAAACGTAGTTAGCAACTAAAGGAAAAAAAGTCATTGCAATAATTTGAGAGGGTTGAGAGAAAGAAAGAGAGGAAAGATGGAGAGATGCAAGAAATTGGAGAGAATGTGAGAATAGTTTGATTTGTTAGGTTAAGCTCACTTCCATAGCTAAGGTTTTGTAAGATATTGATTATTTGTAATATTGAAACGGTAAAAATAATTATTGATGGTAATTGTGACTAACTTCAATTACCCTTAATTCATAGTAATATCCACTCAAATTCATTTAAATTTATTTTAATTATTGAAATAAATATTTTTATCCTTCTTAATTAATATTGTTCTATTGATATCATTGCAATAAAATATTGTCAATGACTACAATATTTAGTCTATTATATGACATTTGGCTGCATATCACATATTACATTTGCGAGCATCACTATAAAATTACATTCTCTACAAATTAAAACACACATACTATTATCTAAGAATTATTGACATAATAACATCCCAGTTAGATTTGATATGCCCAAAATAATAACTCCACTAATCCCCTTAAATCCATTACAATCTCGAACAAAGTTCTACTTCTACAAACATGAAAACAGAATGCCACACAACATCAACTGCGTGATCCACGGGATAATTGCAATATCAGCTATAACACAACCAATTTATTTTCTTCTTCAGTTTGTTCATTGATTTCTTATCTTCATTGTCTTAGAATGTTTGATTTTAAAAATAAGTTATAAATATGAAAATTTAATTATTAAATCAAATCAAATCAGATTAATTAAAATAAACTAGAAAAAATTATAATTTAATGATTGTAAACACACACACCCTACAAGTAACGGGTAGTTGACGTGAACAGTTGCTGCGCACTCTTCATTTTATCCATTGCTTTGCTCTCATCATCTCTTCTTCACTTCAGTGGTAAACATTTGCTCTCTCTTCATAATTTATTGGAAACAGTCTCTCTCTCTCTCTCTCTGTTTACAAAAATGAATGTTTTGTAATTTGTAAAATGCTAACTAATTGGGTTAGTTTGCTATCTTGCTAGTGGAGTCGTTGGACCTTGATGGGTCCCTTTACAATTTCCGTTATGGTTCAAGACTCTTCCATTTCATCACAAGGTTGGTAACACACGTGCTTTGTGTGTGTGCGCGTGTGTATATGTGTCTGTGAATTTAAGACAGGGTTACTGGGATTGTAAATGCAACGTTTATCACTCCTCCTTAGGGTTAGGTCATTCTTCGAGGTTCAACTTGTGATTGCAAATTACTTATTGGTGCTGATTTTTTTTTTTTTTTAAATTTGTATTTCTTGGTATGTTAAAATGGAAAAAGAAAATTAAAATTTGCCAAAGTGTAGGATTGGCATTTTTAAATTTTAATTACTCAATCCGGGAAACTTTGATCCTTTTCTCTGCTTTCATAATGGTAATGCAAGTGCATGATGGGAATATATATTTTCCTTGATATTTTTAGTCAGGGATAGAAGTGTGTATAGGGACAGGGAGAACTTGAACTTTAGCAATTTTTATAGAGTTGATTTTTTGCTGCTAAGGATTTATGATATGCTGATACGATGAGCATCATTGAAAAGGAGACGTATTCTTAATTCAGCATTTATAAGTTTGGACTTAGGATTATATTCAGGGAGGGAATAAGAGCAAATTGCTAATTTTACTATATTATTCATCGTCAGGGAAAAAGAAATATTACTTTTATGCATACAGGTTTAGCATATTTGTTATTTTAGTGAATGCTTTAGCTGACAGATCTAAGATAGTAAATACTGAGAATCTCACATTTCTGTGTTATTTTATCACTCTGTCTGTTGCTGTGTTGTGCTATCTGCTTCTCAGTTTAACAAGTTATATGGTTTTGCAGATACTAAGAGAAAACATAATTCACTTCTGAGAAATTCATTTGCATCAGTTAGCATGGGAGAGGTCCGAGAGGAAAAGCCCTTTGACTTCTTACGCACTCTATTTGGTAAGTATAAGATCTCCTTTGGTGTACCCTGTGAAGAAATTATATCAGCGTTGTCGCTCTATTTTAGCAAAATATGATTTTGGTGGGTATCATACTGTTACTAAAGAAGCATTATTCTGCTTTTTAAAGTAAAAAAGAAAAGCTAAATTGATAAAAATAGCAGGAACCTAAAGGCGAGCCTGCCTAGACAGTAGTTATTAGTAGGAAATAACTATATCCTCCTCATAAATTTTTAATAAAATATTCATGAAGGTTTTCCTACAAATGTGGTGAATACCTTCTCTTCCAACAGGGAAGATATTACTGATCATAATTGTGGACTCACAACCAAATAGATCCCTCCTTTATCTCCCTCTTATATTTGTAACACCAGTGAATTCTGACATCATACTTTTATCTATATTGGTAAAAAGTTGGCCAATCTCTTCATAGCAGATAGGAGAGTAATGACATGAATTTTTCCTGGAATAATAGATACATCAATTTTATTTCTGGTCCTTCCTTTGTAATTGATGGCTTGAATATTGAGTAACTACAAACTTCAAAGTGTCTGGTTTGCTTACATATTTCTTGGGTGATTTGGTTACAAAATCATGAAATGTTCACTGCCTGCATATAGAGATTGGGTATTCATGATACATATCAAAATCTGCGTAAAACACATCTGATATATACCAAAGGTATATAAAGAATGCTAAATATATGTTATTAAAAACAAGAGAACGAGAATAATTTTATCCGTATTGATAAATACTTCTTCTTCGTCTTCTTCTTTTTATGAGAGAGAGCATTATTAAGAATACTTCTTAAGGCATGCCAAAATATCATATTTGTTAATTACTATTAAACCCTCTTTAAGTAGAAGGCTGAACAATGCTAAGATGCTATCCCCCAACCCTTCATATTTGAAACGAAGAACTGGACTTTTTTTCCTCCTTAGAGTAGTGTTTTAGTTTCTTGATAAGTTGACAGACAATACTATGATCTTGATGAGTTCATTGCATTTCATTCTTTCTGATGAACCTGATGGAATTTGCAGAGGGTGTTATTGCGGGAGGTACAGCTGGAGTTGTTGTTGAAACAGCTTTATACCCAATCGACACTATAAAAACACGTCTGCAGGCAGGTTTCTATGACAGAACAAATTATAATGAAGATTGAGGTTGTACTTTGCTGTGTGGCTATGTGCTATACAGAGTACTGTTTGATGCTTGAATCTAGATGCCAAGTTATGAGTCTTTGCATCACTGCCGGCTAGGGCTAGATTATAGTGAAAAATACTGTAAAACTTTTTTTTGGAAAGATGAGGAAAAAGAAAAATCTGTTAAAAGTTTTTCCTAGGATAGGATGCAATTTGTTTGGGTACAATTAGCAATATCCAATCGTCAATGATTAATATGTACGGGATGCTTGGTTAGTTGATTTACACAGTATAATGGACTTTTCTGAACTAGGCTAAGATTTGGATACAATAAATTCGGCTTAAGATATTTTTATGAATGCTCCTTATGGCATTTTTTTGGGGGATCCTTTAATTGTGTGAGCTCACAATTATATTGCTGCCCCCCCCCCCCCCCCCCCCCCCCCCCCCCCCCCCCCCTTTTTATAGCAATATAAAAGATTCCCATTATTTGACATACAATGTGCTGATGACCATTTTTTTTGCCTAGGCTGCTCGTGGAGGAGAAAAACTAATATTAAAAGGCCTTTATTCTGGATTGGCTGGGAACCTTGCTGGTGTCTTACCGTAAGAATCTCATGATAGCATGATGTTTCAACACATTTTAGGTTTTGTACGTTAACTAAAAAATTTGACAACTCTAATCATCTTAGAAAGTTGTCAGGCATAGGGTGTATAAATTTATTTCCATTGGTGATGTTTTATTGAATTTGTGACCCTAACCAAACACACTGTCATTTTGCATGAATGTACTTTGTTAAAGCAAAAAAAACAAAGTATGTGTATTTCTAGATTCTAACTGCAAAACCACTTTGTCAGAGGTTTCTGTCTCTTTTATTTTCCTGTTTCAGTGGCAAAGGTATTTGAGAAATAACATATTCTTCTGTAATGTATATGATGGAGAAAGAAGATTCATTTGGTTAGTTTGAAAGATGTTTGCATCCCGTGAAGAGAGGTGGCTTAGAGATTGTAACTCTTCTTGCATTTAATATTGCCCCATTTGTTGGTGGTTCTGGCAGTATGTCTTGAAAAGGGAGTCTCTAGTCAGACATGGAGTCAAATAAAAGAGTGTTGATTGTAAAATGTGACTTACTCAATTTTTCCAATTATTGTAATAAGCAGGGCTTGTTTGTTTATGATATAAATCATCTGGTATGCCTGTACTTGAAAGTTTTGTAATGGGTTTTACCCCCTTGACACTCCTTTAGTTAAATCTTTTAGTTGAAGTAATCAGTGTTCTTACTTCTTACTATGTATTGTATGATCATTTGGTGATATACGGTTGAGTCAAGTTTTGTTCTGTTTTTACAAAAGGGTGTTTGAGTTTCACTTAGCACCAACTATTACTTTTTTTATCCTCTCCTTATATAGGAACTTGTTTGAAAGAATAGAATCATTAAAATTAAAAATAACTATTTATTTACTACTATGGGTATTCAAAGCCAATGAGATTTTTTTTATTTCACAATTTATTTAAGTAGTTTTCACGAATTTTCGTTTTATACTTATCAAGACATGAGTTCATTAATCATGTCCTGGTTCTTTCTTCAACACCTTTATGTTGCTTTTAAATGTGCAGGGCGTCCGCTCTCTTTGTTGGAGTTTATGAACCTATAAAACAGAAATTGCTGAGGATATTTCCTGAAAATCTGAGTGCTTTTGCTCATTTGGTAAGATACTGACTTATATAATCATTGATCTGAATATGAAGATTCAAGCAAATTAAATACCTCTTACCAAATTTGAGCATTACACTCAAAATGTCTTAATACATATGCTATATTAGCTTTAGAACAAGACCCATACATGGTACTTTATTGTCTCTGATTGCCTTCAAGTTTGAAGTCTGCCAATTATGGTCCTCTGAAGCCTCTTGCATTTATATGGCTTGTACAGGAGTTGATTCTTTGTCTATGTTATCGTTCTTTTGTTGCTAGCACATTCTTTTCTTGATGTAAAATTCTTTCGTGTTTATTTATTTTTGGTATATAAATCTTTCACTGGATTTTTATACTTCATTAGACTGCAGGTGCCATAGGGGGCATTGCTGCTTCACTGATTCGTGTTCCAACAGAGGTAGATAAATTCTCTTATTTGTAAAATGATATTTCTATGGTTGAAAACTGTGTCACTGGACAACTTAATATTCTTTAATGCTCCTCAGGTTGTTAAGCAACGAATGCAAACTGGACAGTTTACCTCAGCTTCTGGTGCTGTTTGCTTTATTGCTTCTAAGGAGGGTTTTAAAGGACTTTATGCTGTATGAAGTTCATCATCTCTTCCTTTTAAATTTTTTTGATAAATTCTGTTCCTCATGTCTGTGATGGTATGTTATAATGTTTCTTTGGTTGATCTTTGAAATCACAGGGGTATGGATCTTTTTTATTGCGGGATTTACCCTTTGATGCTATTCAGTTTTGCATCTATGAGCAGATTCGAATTGGTTATATGCTTGCGGTAAATTCCTAAAGTTCTATCTTGTTTTATAGACACTTATGTTATTTGTGTATTTTGGGTTTACCTGACAAAATTTTCCATTCCCGTTTCTATTATTTATTATATTTTTGAGCCTGACTACAACGTAGGCTTGTTTTATGGCCTCTTTGTACACACATCACTGTTTCAGTAGAATCCGTGAGATTGACAGGCAGATTGATTCTTAATTTGCTTTTTTCTTTGTAGTCGTTCTCTTGTAATAAAATTTATTTTTTTATCATAAAGCTTTTGTGACGTGGTGGTCATGAGATCTAGTGGAGGACAACCCTCCTAGGCTCCGCAATGGTGGGAGCCTTGTGCATTAGACTACCCTTTTTTATCATTGAAAAAAGCTATAACTGTTTACTAAAATATCAGCAGGTGTTACTGTGATCTCTTACTAATAATTCATTTAGTTGTTTCTGATAAAATGCCAAGTCACTGTAGGTTGTGATGTATTGCTGCTAAGAATTATCCCCCTCAGATCTTTCTGGCAAACAAAAGTTATGTGCAGAATTCGTGCAGTTGTTTCACTATTAAAACATTGTCCCTTCTCTTTTATGCTGCCATAATTTGTAGCATGAATTCAATGTTGTATTTTAAATTTGAAGAATTGATATCACCATGTAAGATATGATTGTTTGGGGTTTAATCAAAGAATCATGCTGCTGCTTTCTCCTTTATTTCATTTCGTGATGACTTGTATTTATTTTTGCTAGGCACGAAGAAATCTGAATGATCCAGAAAATGCACTTATCGGTGCTTTTGCGGGTAACTATTATAGGCCTTATCTCTCTCTCTCTCTCTCTCTCTATATATATATATATATATATATATATACACATGCTAATGTTTTAGCACTAGATAGTTCTGAGCCTATGCTTCAAGCCGAGAGGCTTTTGCATAAGGAATTTGAAAGCCATTTTTTGATCCTTACCTTTTGATCCTTACCATATGAATTAACCTTTTACGGTGTCCCGTTGTTTGACACTAACGGGATTTACTGTGTAGAATTAGTACCATGGATCTTCTTTCCTTACTAATTTTGTCAAACTAGGTTTCTTTACGAGGTGACACAGTTGTATTTTGTCACCCAACGAACTCTCCCAAAAACTTAAGCCGTTGGATGAAGGTCCATAAATGATTTTATTATATCCCTTAACACGTCTTCTCATGGGAGACACCCCCTCTTTTTTTAAGTTCGAAGCGTGGATTACACTGTTTTCTTTTTCTTTTTTTCTCTGTTACCTTGTGTTGAAATTTTATTTTTTATTAGAAGAATGGGGTGAGAATGATCAAACTCTAGACTATCATAGACTCTGATACCATATTATGCAACCAACTCTCTCAAAAGTTTAAGCTGTTGGGTGAAGGCACATGAATGATTTTATTATATATCTTAAGACATTCCTCCCACGTCTAATGCTTGGGTAATTGGTAAAAGATGAACAAAAAAGGAGGGAAGCTGATTTCTTTGGGCTTCCTAATCTACATGATGTTTTCATGGCAAAGTACTGCATTACTTAATTCAATGCCCTGGTGAATTTATAAAGAGAAAATTATGATAATAAGGTATAAATTGTGTTAAAATGTGATTAACCACCTTGTTTCTTGTAGGTGCACTAACTGGAGCTATAACTACCCCCCTTGATGTCATCAAGACAAGGTTAATGGTTCAGGTTAGATATAATCCTGTTTCCTACAACTCCTTTTTTTCTCTATTCCTTTTTTTTTTTTTTTTTTTTTATAAAGAAATCTTATTTTTACTTGATAACAATCTATCTCCATATACACACGGCACCATTGTGTATGGGTAATCTGCTAGCAAATCATTAAAAGTATTCACTGTCAATAATCAAAACATTCACAAAGTTCCTATTTTCCTCCTCAAGGGATCTGCAAACCAATATAAGGGAATCGTAGATTGTGTTCAAACCATTATTAAGGAAGAGGGACCTGGTGCCTTTTTGAAGGTATGGGTTTTCTGTGTTCTCTTCCACACATTGTTGCCTGATTGGTAAATAAGCATGGTCCAAATCCTCCCCAAATCATGTACTCTTCTACCGCCCGTGCTGCTACAGAAAGATATAGCCACGTGGCAAGAAATATATTTTGGTGCTTATAAATTATATATTATATGTACTGCAGGGTGCTGGGCCTAGAGTACTATGGATAGGAATAGGTGGTTCAATATTTTTTGGCGTCCTTGAGGGTACAAAACGTTTTCTTGCTGAGAGGCGTCCTACCCAAGCTCAGTATACAAACTCAGACAAACGTAAAGATTAAGAGATTTTGTCCCAGCTTGTGTTTTTTTCACTCTCCCCTTGGTGCCTTTTTCCAAATGCAGTATTTGATTATATACAGTAATATCCCTTTACTACTTTATTTTTCAATTTTAAGCGTTGGGAGCAAGATTTTGCTTAGAACGTGGGCTATTACTTTGTTCAAGGTTGGTCAACTGCCAAAATGAGGATTTTCTGTGTTGATTTTTGAGGAGCATGACATTGATATGAATTGAAATTAAGATTCAAGGGATCTTTGATAAATTATAGTAAACAAAAATGTCCCATTTATTCTCTCTCTGGGCAACTTAAAAAATATTCCATCCCTCTGTGGACTGTGGTGTTACTTGCTGTATTTGATACTTAGTCCCTTGCCTGCTGCCCCCGGGCCGTGTACAATTAGATATTCTTTGTTGCAAATTTCACTGCCGGAGAAGGAAAAACAACGGGCAAACACCCATTTTTTAGTTACCCATTTTTTGTCCATTATATGACATGAATCTGGCTTTTTTAAAATGTTGACATTAATTTAGTTCTCGGATTATATAAGATAATGTCAGTTTAGTCAGAGGTGATCATGGGTTTAGTTTGACTCAGTCGGTTGATTTTACCGAACTGACTTCAATAGTTTAGGTATTAAATTTTTTTTTTTTTTTTAATTCGATCATTCTCGAATTAATGTAGCCTAACTTAATCAGTTCAGTTTTTATTTTGTCCAAGATTGATCTGACCTAACTTGTGATCACTCTTAAATTCAATATCACAATTATCAAAAAGAGAACATTAATTTAATTTTTTCATGATTGATATTTTAAATTCATACCAATTTTATTTAAAAAAATTAATTGATGCCACTTGTATATTTTTTGAGATTAAATGAGTTTTTACCCAAAATCAAACTTATGAAAGATAAGCTTTAAGACCTTGAAATAGCGGAGATCAATCTCAAAAGAAATTGCTTTGTGGCCTTCTATATGCAGCAGCTACATGCTATTCTATTATTTTGTTTCGCTAATTTTAAAAATTTTCAAATAAATAAAAAGTTTATTCAATGAAAAATTAAGCTACACTTTCGTTTGCTCGCAGCTTCTCCATCTAAGCACTCCCTTAATGGGAAAGCAGGGTATCGGAATTCCTCTATCCGTAGACAGAAATGACTATTAAAGCAAATTTATGATCTTTGTATTAACAGCTACGTATGTTAATATGCGGCGCTAACAATTAAATAATCATATTTGTAGCTCCGGAATATTTAATAGCATGGCAGAAATTTCTTCTTTCAATTAAAGAGGTAAAAAGAATTGAAGCAAATTAATCTTTTAACAGCTAGCAAGCCGAAAATAACATGCGTTTATTAAAAGGAAAAAATAGCATCAAGTTGCATAAGAGAGTTATCTTATGTTATACATTCATAGAATTTCGTGTCAATTTTTTCTTTTCTTTTTCTTTTTACATTGTGGACTCCACATATTTGTGTCACCTACATGAGAGTATTATCTCATGTAACATGAAATTTAGTAAACCCCTTATTAAAAAGCCCTAAACAAACAAAAGAAAGCAATTGCTTATGTTGAAATGGCATCACTTAGTAACACGTACATTTTAGTGGAAGATCTGAAGCGAAGGAAAGCTGTCAATTACTTGTGTTAAAGCACACTACTCATGAATATTATTGTACAAAGAATCGAAGCATGTGTGTAAAACATGGCAAATGGATTTTAATATTGATCTACAGGAACAACTATACATTTTGAAGGGAAAAACAAAACAAAAAAACAGAAATAGAAACCAATGGGACATTCTACTCTACTGGCCTCAAAACCGACAATAAACTAACTCTCCTCCCTGCAAAAAATGGAGAAAACCAAACTAGAATGGTGTTTACAAGAATGAGCTACAGATACAGTTGGCTTCATATACAACCATCAAGCATTTACTCACCACGAAATACACATATATATAGAACTCTCAGTTTTATCAACTAACCATCCAATTCTCATTTCGTCCAGTCTTTTAGGTTTCTGTTCAGCACCCTTCCATGTTTGCAGCAATAACACCAACTGTTTTAAAACCCGCAACAGGTCAAGGTTAAGAACCAATTTCCTGTACTATGTGGTTTGTCCAATCATTATGAAGATCTACAGTAGAAATTTCACATTAAAGGAAGGTAAGCTCCACCATGACCCTTCCTCAGCACTAGAGGTGCTGCATTGTCAGGGACTTTATCCATTTCTTCCGAGCATGCATCAAGTACATCCCCAAATCCAGTTGCCAATGTAGCCAACTGCATCCGCAACCTCAAATCCCTTGTCCGCTTCAGTAAGCACCTGAATGATCTTCCTAAATATTTAGCCCATTCAGCTGGCAACCCTCCCCCTGTGAGCCAGACAGAGAAATTAGATTGGTCCCCTCTGGCAGCCACTTCAGCTCTATAGAATCTAGCTAAATCAATCAACATTGAAGGCTGAAGAGGTAGAACTGCTACAAATTCAGCCACAAACTCCTCCAATACTTCAGGTTTGAGCATCTGGTTCCAGAGTACCAAAGCCCACTCACCTGGCTGGTTCAGGTTATAGGCTTCAGCTACAATTAGAGCTTCTTGAAAACGAGACTGCTCAACTAACGCTCGTCTAGCATTGGTTTCTGATAGATATAGCCACTGGAAATCTGGCATTCGTATTTGAAGGGACAGAAGGGAGGCCTGAGCACAATCCCTACGTGTTTTATTGCCAGCATCGATGGAAGAGTGAACTTCAGCAGCTTCAATGAAGTAGCGCATGGAATCCAACAAGTCTTCATTCTGGTCCTTGTTATAGCGGCGAAACCACTGCTCACATGATTGCTCTGCACGTGACTCTAAAAGAGCAGCTGTCTCATGTTTCATATCAAAATGATTGTAGACCTGTAAAGAACACAAAATCATAATCAATAAAGCATCGCATATTTTAATCTACTTGTTTCAGAGTTTGCTCCAGGTTGAAAGTAGTTATGTATCACTGACTTCGTGGAACAGAGAAACAAGAAGAAAAAAAGAACTTTCTGAGCAAGTGGAAAAAGCAACTTGTCCACTTTTTAAGTCATTGCTTGGAAAAAATTTAACATTTCAACACACAATATGCAACACCAAATGTATTCATACGGTTAGGGAATGAGGAAATGAGAGACATTTGGTGAAATCCATGTGTCTAAACCACATATTGGAATCTGGATTATATAATCAAGAAATAATAAGTACAAATATCTCAGCTATCCTAATTACCATGATTACATGATTCTGATTAGTCAATATAATGAACTTAGACACTGTTTACATGGTTTCCAACATTCCCCCTCAAGCTGAAGTATATAAGTCGTATGCACTAAACTTGTTACATATATAGCTTATCCAAGGACCTCTCAAAGGGTTGCTGAAAACATCCGCCAATTAATTATTTGAATTGACAAAGTAAGTGCAATATCTCTTGATAAGATTATTTCTCTAATGAAATGACAATCTATCTCAATGTGTTTAGTCCTTTCATGAAAAATTAGATTAGAGGCAGTATGCAGCGCATCTTGAGTATCACAAATGAGTATTGCCTATATGATTTCTCCAAATCTAAGTTCTTTACGTAATCATTCAAGCCAGATGAGTTCACAAGTAGTTGGTGCCATGACCCGATATTTTGCTTTAGCACTTGATCTTGAAACAACATATTGTTTCTTACTTTTCTATGATATCAGATTATCTCCAACGAATATATAATAATCAGAAGTATATCTCCTATTAGTGAGGCTACCTGCCCAATTAGCATATAAATATCCAACAACATGAAGATACCGATAAGACCTTTCCAAGAACTCCTTTAGTGTATTTCAAGATACAAATTACTGCATCCCAACACCCTACACAAAGAGAATTTATGAACTGACTTCCCAAATGAAATGCAAATGAGGTGTTTGCACAAGTGACCATAAGGTAGTTCAATTTCCCAACTAATCTTTTCTATACCACTCAAGAACTAAGAGCTAATCCCCTTAATTTTATAGAAGCTTTGACATTTATATTTATATTTAACAAGGTTGTTTCCTCAAGAATATCCACGACATACTTCTCCTAGGAAATTATGATACCATCTTTGAATCGCACCACATTTATTCCTCACAAGTATTGAAGCTTTTCAAGATCCTATGTTTGAAAGTGACAATAAAGATGTGTTCTGCCTAAGTGATGCCATGATCACTATTTGTAATGACTATGTCAACAACATATACAACCAAATAAATGCACCTTTTGGTTGAATGGCAACAGAAGGCTGAGTGATTAGCCTCACTCCGAATCATAACAAACAGTTGAACCACAGTGCTAAATGTGCCAAATCGGGCCCTAGGAGATTATGTGAGGCCTACAAAGATTTGCAAAGTCGACAAACAAATCCAAAAGACTCTTCCTGAGTAACAAATCCAGAAGGTTGCTCTAAATAAATTTCACTGAGATCACTATGGAGTAAAGTGTTCTTAATGTCTAGTTGATTGGATGACCAATTGAACATGGACAGCAAAGGGAGTTTGCACGATAGAATATGCTAACATAGAATAGTCAAACCTTTGAGGGGCAATGACATTCATGAGGTTTTGTCATACCCCACAGAGGCATTAGGTACCATTGGTATAGAGGACTTTACCCTAAGTCCAAAATGATTCATAGGTGACATAGGCATGAAAGATCTGCATGGATGTATAGTGACTTTGATGATACTACATTGATGGACATTAATCATAGTCCATCTGGATCACTTAGGAGCGGGTGCCGTCTTAGCCTTAGTAGTGAGGTGATCCACATATTCTTAACCCGTGAGCTAGAGCTTGATATCAAAGGCCTAAGTGTAATAGTTAGTACCATCCGACTTATCAATGCACAGTGGAGCACTGACATAGTTAGTAAAGACATAGGGCTCAGCCTTCAGAGGGTCACCAAAGATAATGGAGGCCAAGGGTCAGCAAAATTAGCCCTAAAAGATAGCCAAACAGCAGATGCAAGGAGAAATGGACATGCCAAGAAGGTGATAGTGCGTCGATCGAGAGAAAACCAATTAGAGGGGGTACTAACAATGTGACACGACATATGGCAGCGCACGTATTGGCGTGCATGTCTAGAAGGCTGCCGAAGGAGACATACAAACAATTGTCTTGGCACATACGGACAGCCGTACCTGAGACTTCAATAGCACACGGATCGACTAACAGCAAGCCTGATGGTGATAGTTTCAGCCGAAATGATCGCTGGACAATTTTTCCAACAATGGTAGAACTGAGGCGATGGATGGTTCTGAGAAAGTGGTTTTAGACTAGCTGGAATGGCACACGACATCGGAGACTAGAAACCGGAATGGAGACATTGTTTCTGGAATAAAAATTGTTGCCAGATAGGCTCGGATTAAGTTTCCTCTTTTTAGGTTCTAGATATCATGTTAAGAAGGAGAAAATGTGGAATATTTGGTGAAATCCGTATGTCTAAACTACATTCCGGAATCTGAATTATATAGCCAAAAAATAATAAGTACAAATATCTCTGCTATTGCAATTATTATAATTACATGATTCTTGTTAGTCTGTACAATAAACATAGACACTATTTACATGGTTTCCATCATATATATTATAAAGTGAGACAACAATAAAGTATTTGAATAATCCCTCAGTCATTTTTAAGAAATTAATTTGACTATGAAGACACTAGACTAAATAATTATTTAGTAACAATAGGAGGTACTGACTTGTTCAATATAATTATATAAATAAATTGCATGTCAGCAGCATACAACCTTTAATCTATATATTTATTTATATGCTACATAGACAAAATGGTTAGTAGAGATATTGTAGCAACAACATTAACATTCACTACACTTGTATCCAAAACTAATTGGGACCGGAGGTCGATGAACCCAAAATGAAAAGCAAGAAAAGGTTGAGGGAAAAGAAGGGGGGAAATAAATAAATAAAATTAAATTTAAAATAAAATAAAATAAAAATACAAATACAAATAAAAAAATGAAAATGAAAATAAAGATAGATTAAGGGAAAAACTAGGAAAAAATAAATAGTAAAAATATTAATAGATAAATAAAGTAGGGAGGAAAATAATTGACGATAAATAAAGAAATGGAGGAAAATATAGGAAAAAATGACTAATCGAGGACCATCTCGAACAAAGGTATTGTAGCAATATAAAAAAAAAAATACAAACCATGGCAAAGGCATCCAGATCATTAGGGTTGAAATGCTTCAAAGATGTAAGAACAGCCATTCGAAATCCTCTGACAGCCTCAGCAGTGCCTGTGTTTGTGTCTGCAGCAGCAGAATATTTCTGAAGAAGAAGATCTAATTGACCATTTTCTATAAGAATGCCGAGAATGAAATTAAGAGCATGAAAATTTCCAACTCCAGTTATTAGGCGAGCCAAACATGGAAAATCACCCTCCAAGACATAAGCATCGACCCTAGTTGCAGCAAGGGCTACAAGAACATCAACTCCATCAAGGCAAGCCGATGATTTGTAGAAGTGGTGGGACAGAATAAGCAGCTCAACCTGCAAATGCCAATTTCATGAGGGAGAACAGTGTCAGCTTCAACACAAGGGAATGACTGCCAGAATCACTAAGATACTTTCGCTACTTAACAATTTTTGTATCCAGATTACAGCTTCATAATGATTATCCTTTAAAAATATGAGACAGATCACAACAGCAGTGCAAAAAGAGAGGGGCATTGTAAACAATATCATTGGCTATCAAGTTGTCATTGGATAAAGAGGAGCAAATCTTGAAACAGAATCTTCAATCTTGTAAGAATGGTTCGGGCACCAAGTTTGTGGTGTAAGTGGTCTTTTAATCCTTACCATTCACATAAGATTTAACGATTGAGATTCACTCTTGTCACACTTATAATAAACTAATTCTGTCATTTGATATGTCCTCTCTCTCTCTCTCTCTCTCTCTCTCTCTATACTTTATGCACCTGAAAATCTACCACACACCAGCTAATGATGGGTGAATTACTATTGGTTAATGGACAAACAGCCTTTTTTTTGCTTACAAAAACAAAATATTAGTCCGTTAACCAATACATACACCTTATTAACCAATAATTGACTCATCATTAACCAATAATACACGCGCACACAGGCCATACCGTGATAAGACTTGAAAGTTGAGACACTCCACAAAACAATGGTTTTCCAGTTATTTTAGGAAATTTAAATAAGAAAAAAATGCGATCAAATAATTGATTTTTTTTTCTTAGAGAAGTATATTGTATGCTAAGACATTTTGCTGGAGTAGAATACAACTCTATACTACTATAGAATTTTATGTGCATTAGCTGAAACTGACGGATATTCTTCATAAATTTATTCTTCTCATCATCTTAATAAATTTATTCACTTTAAAAAAGAATGAGGGATCATAATTGACTACATTTATCATCATCTGAAAAATCAATATGAATAACAATTTTCCCAGAATAATCTGATTTAATTCACTATTTTTTAACACAATTGTGAAAAAATGTGTAAGACTGACAACTTTCAACATGATACCTCACACGCATGTGGTATTTCTTGTCCAGTAATCACCAAACGCATTAAAGCATGCCCGATTTCTGGTTCGGAGGGACAAAGCTCCGCCCACTTCAAGAAGTCTGAAAATCTCCACAGCAGTGGATCAGGTCCTTCCTCCTTTTGTGAATCCATAGCAGGACCTTCCTCCTTTTGTGAATCCATATATCCTCCACGATGCGCTGCCAACACACCCTGGGCAATATAAATAATTAAATATAGTAATATAGTTATATGAACCCCTATCAACTTCACAAAATTGTATCTAATGAGTTGTTTAACATGACATCTGCATAACTGACATGTCAAATAGAAAACTGCAAACCAAAATAACACCAATTCACAAATCCTGGGTAATTTCTTTATTCAATAGACAGGCAACAAGCCCACAAAAAATCCATCCATGACCAGAAGGGATGTCGAACCCATTTTCCAATTACCATACCATGCCATGGGAAAAACATTATTAACTATAATCAAAATAATAAATGATGTACCAAACCTTTAGGAAAGATTCTGCAAGTATTTGAGCAATACTTGCAGCTGGCATCGGATGAGTCTGCACCAAAAAGTTTGCCTCCTCAAAGGACTCTTGTGCTTTAAGAGAAAGCAGCTGTAGTAGTTCAATTGGTTGCTTGTTGAACGCCTCAAAAAATGAGAGGCCCAAGGTGTTTGCAGCTTTTATAACTGCTATTATTCTCCTACATAGCCCACGCCCACTGCCTTCAGTAAAAATGGACACCAAACTCTCCAAAACCTACATTGCATGTCCTCAATATTGTATTGATACAGATATCTTATCATCAATAGAGAAAAAATAATAATAAGTGGCAATAACAGGGAGAGAGGGTGGTTTGGACAATTACCTGCAGTGGGTTAACATGGTGCTTATCATTCAGCATACCATACGACTGCATAATTGAACGCACTTCCTCATCAAGCATTGACACGGATACATTGCTTGGAGGAGTTGAAATAGCAGCAAGCTTCAAGGCTGCATCGACAAGTCTAAACTCCGATGGTATTTGTCCAGGAGAGAACTTAAATTGTAGTTGCTTGGCGGCAGTTATTTGCCCAAATTCCAACAAAGAAAGTACAGCCCTTTGCAGCTCTGCTGCTCCAACCCTTTCCTCCCACCTAGAAAAAGACATTTCCACTTTTAAGTTTTCTTCTTGCAACTGAAGCTCATTTTTGAAACTGGGGGTACCAGAGCCATCGTCAGTATCAGCACTTTTATCCGCTGATTCAAGAGGCGGGCGTCTTGATGCCATGTATCCTTTGCCTCTTCTTTTTGTCTTTGTACTCCCACCAAAAGTAGTTGAAAGACCAGCATCCGCCACTTGATTCTTGTGAGGGATTTGGTTACTGGATTCGTATTTTTCTACAGTTCTATTCCTCATTGAATTTATATGGTTGTCCATCTTTGAGATTATACTTGCAGTTCGGTCAATAATACTGGAGTCATTCTTGGTAGCATTCTCCCTGATAGAAAGGGTAAAATTGAAGTCTCCTTCGCTCTTCACCTGAGTCTCTGACTCAACGGCTAAGAGCCATACTTTGGTTTCAATTTCACGCAGAAGATGCAAAGGACAGACACTGAAAAATTCAGCAACGTGATAAGTAAAGATATTAACTAAAGTTGAAACCGAAAGTAATTCTCGAGATGTTCCATACGGGTTCGAAAGACTTATCATCCCACTTAGCCACTGCAGAGAAAGCAATAAAACCTCATGAAGCTCCCTTGCAGGAAGATCTTTCTCAACAGCTTCGGCATGTTTAAGAAAAAATAGCCCAGCCTGCAATCATTACAATGGAGATAAACTTTCAGCATAAAGAAATATAGCATATATCTTTAGCTTAAACATTGACTGTACTAGATAACAAACACACTTGAAGAGAAGGGAAGGAATATCTGATGAATAGAGTGTGGCAGTGGCTCCATAAAGCAACCCTCTCTTCTGGCACATCCCAAAGAAACTCCTTCCATTCAGCTACCATAGATTCGGCCTAATATTTGTACAAGAGGCGGAGAAGAAGGGAGAGAGTTGATAAGAAATATTTGCAAGACTATCAACTAAAATTGCTAAAAGTAATCACAGAAAAAAATCATGCAAAATGGCAAAGAAAAATTAAAAGCTCCTTCAGAGCTCAGATTTACAGCATAAGTCAAGCTAATTCAAGAGAGAAATTTGTCGATAAAAACTTTTAATTTCAACACAAGGGATCTGCCATCAATTTGATCAAATAAAATGATTACCTGCACCAAAATTTATTAAAACAAGATAATTACAGTATGAGTCAAACTAACATAGTAAATCAAATCGACAATTCTGTGCAAGTAACAGAATGACATATTAAAGCATAGTTATCAAATGCGGATTGCGGCATGTCGCGGCCAACCTCGAAAAACGCTATAGCTTTATAGCGGGTTGCGGTTGCAGAAATAGCGGAATAAATATATGACAGAAATAATGACAAAAAGAAACATTTTTTAAAGGCAGAGATAGCAGAAGTGACAGAGAGAGATGCGGATAGACTAAAAAACCCTTAAATTTTTCCCGTTACAAATTGAAATTTAGGACAAAATTGACATTTTGCCTTATAACAGCAATATGGCCGCAAATGCGATCGCAATGGCGGCTATTGCGTTCCGGTGTGGCGCGACACGGTTTCTTGCGGCGAGGCACCGCAACGCCCATACGGCGGGCTCGCAGCGCTATTGCGGCGCAATTAACTACTATGTATTAAAGATGTACTGATTAAACAACAAGATGTTATATGGAACATGACAAAAGAAGTGTACCCCTAATTTTCCAATTTACCATATAGTGCCTGCATTAAAATGAGTTTTAACCTTGTCCACCTACGTAAAATGAATTTATCTAGTATGAGGTTGACCAACCAAAATTATTCTTAATAAAAGACAATATGAAGAGCAGTCAGATCAAGCACCTGTAACAATATCAACAACATGAGTTAAAGGAACCTTGAATTAGTTGTAATGGGATTTTGTATAAACCATTCAATTGATTAAGGATTTAAATATGGGTTCCAGACTTCCCCACAATTAAGGTTTACGGTCCGTAAGAACTATACCATGTCACAAACAGGTTTACAGCCTTCAATACTACCTGAGATTCAGTAACATGATGCATAGCCGATTTCCAGGGTGTGCCACTGGCCTCCAACTGCTTGGCCCAGTTCCTTGCCAGCTCCCATTGCCTACTTTTTTCTAGTGCAGACAATAGTGAAGCATCATCTGAAGTTTCATTGCCTAAATGCAACTCACCATCTTTACGAAGTAAAGGCTCTGCTAAATTAATTTTCCAATAAACCCTTCGATAGTATGCCGCAGCATATCCACCATCACCAAAGTCAGTGGCAGCAAGAAGTTGTAGTAAGCATCTTTTTTCATAAGGAGAAGGGCAGGTTGAAAGCACAGCATCAGCTGCTGTTGAAGCGGTAGAACTAATCCATGATGTCCCAATCTGCCCTTCTCTTCCTACATTTGTCGGTAAGTACATTGGTTCTTCCTTAATTCGTGCAGAAAAGGAACCCAAATGTGCAGAAGCTTCTGAGAGGCGCATTTGCGAAAATGCCTGAAGGAAAATAAATAAATAAAATTCCACATTGGCAGGTTATATTACATGTAAATTAAGGCTAAAATTAAATTGATGAGAACCAAAAAAAATTTCAAGCTGATGTCAACATTGCACCAGAGACACATTAAACCATAAAAAAGATTTGGTTAAATGTACACCTTGAGATTGGTAAAATAATATTTCTAGAGGAATATCATAGAACAGTTATATTTCAAACAAACAATGCATACGTACAGGTTTGACCTCAATTGCTACAAGTGCTTGGCATTCTTAACAACATAAGATTCAGAAAATTATGATGTCCAAATTTAACATCTTACTTTGCAATTTAGATGTGCATTTTAAATAGTCAAAATAAAAATATTGAGGAAATGTTTATGCAATTTTTGGTCAATTTTGATTGCTTACGGATGACTTTATCCAGTTGACAGCACCAAGAAAAGGCCCAACATTTAAGAAGCCGCCCTAGATGCGAAAGAGTTAATAAATGCACAAATTCAAAAAGATTTCTAAATGCCAGGCAAAGCATTTGGCGCATTCTATATACAATATAATCATGACAATAACTATAGCCTTCTTTCTTATTTATTGCAGAAATTTGTTGACATATTGAGTGGTAAATGAGATCATTCACTCCAGCCTCATGGGGCTTCAGCACATGTAAATTTTACTCATTGTTTCTTGTTTCTCATAAAAGGTTGGAAAACTTTCAATTAGATTCAAAGGTTTTGGCATGAGCAAAGGAGAGCAAATTGCTTGATTTTCCAGGTGAAATTTATTATGGGATAGGATAGTATTTATGGCCTCTCTTTGGAACACGGCACGACAGCTGTTTCATTTTTATAATTTTCTAGTTTCTTCCTTGCATCTATTTTTTAAGCAAGAAAACTTATCCTCCTCTATTGTTGCATCCTTATTTCCTTCTAATGGAGTTTCTTCTTTAAAAAATTCGAAATCCTAGTAAACATAGTTTTATAGTCATGACCAAGAGAAAAAAGGAAGTTTAGTTCTACTGGTGTTTTAGGAGGTAAATACTGAAAGGAGAGACAGCAGCAACTCAGCTTGTTGACTGCAAAGTTCCCAAATATGGCAGAAAACTCAGGTGGATTACTCAGAATAGATCACATGCTAAGGCCTTCAGTGGAGACAAATGTCTAGACTCTCTTTGCATTCTCTATTCCTCACACTCCTTAGAATTCACATTACATCCATGCTCTTAAGTTTTTGTTGTATTAAATTGCATCTAGCTTTGCAGCTACAGCCAATCCAATTCACCTACTACAGGTTTGCAATTATTGGTAAAAGCAACAATCATGAGCCACGAGCTTACAATAGCACATATTTCAGCATAATCTGAAATGAAGTAATAAACTAGCAGCTAAATCAATATTATGATTTGCTAGCTTAAGGCAGTATGAGAAGATGATAACTATATTAATTGTGTTAATTTATTATACGGACATTTGTGAATTAGTAATTTTGTAATTGCAGATTTTAGGTTATTTATACAAAAAAATGGGGGTTCTATACTTCAGTTGTTTGGGTCTTGGGTTGGGATATCTTATTCCTAGTCAGATTAGCCCTATTAATTTATGTTCACTTGAGTCTCAAATTTGGGTTACTTTTCCGAGTAGATTCATAGTTGTTTGGTATGCACATTATTTGTCTTGGGTATTTCAGATTAGTATTGAATTTCAATATTGAGAACTGTCATTTTATATCATTACCTAGTTCTTGTTCTTGTTGTACATCATGCCTGCTGCATTTATATTCTCTTTTTGATTAAAAAAGAAATATTGAGTGAAAGAAAGTCAATGCTCTTGAATATCAACCTTAGCCAAAAATGCATCGTAGCACAAAAAAGAGAGTCAATACCAGTATTCAGAGATAGAAACCTGTTAAAAGAAAGTAGTATTCCCTAACCTCTCAAGTATATACCACTACAAGAACCAGATGTTTTTTGAATTAGATGGCATACCTGAAGAGCACGGATGAACGGCAGCAAGGGGCATGATGGAAGGAACATCTCAAACGCCCTTAGCAAAGGCAAGAACAATTGTTGTTCACAAAGCACTGCAACCATTTTCGAAAGAGAAGCAGGCCCCTCATCGGAATCACTTGCAACACTAATGTCTCCAGAATGTTCTATTTTTGTTTTGTCCTCTCTTGTCTTACCATGGGAATCAAAAACAATTTCACTTACAGAAGCACTTGATACGTCAGATATTGCAAAAGCTGAGGAGTCTAATGAAACGGGAGTAATTAACCGTCGACGTTTAGGACTCTGCCTATTGTAATGAAATGTAAGCACTCTGTCACCTACGGGCAGAGCATTAGTTGCACTTACAGCCGCTCCAACATTGCCTGCAATCTGGGAAGCAATATCGTTTACCTTGATGGATGAAGTTTCTCTGTTTACAGATAAAAGGTAGTGAGTTTCAATCATTGAATTAAGTCTATACACATGTTTGTTCGTGTGTGTGGTTGTGTGTGAGTGTGGATCAGTTGACACTAGGTATAAGACTTAAAACAATTAGAACTTTAACAACTCATCACAGAATATAAATTTTTAATCCAATCATGAATTATACAACAACCAAAAGCTGTCCAACTAGGTGAAGTCAGCTATAAAATGTTGTTATTGTCTTATCAATTATTAAAAAAATTGGACACCAATAATGACGAAATCAAATAGATTTTTTTATTTAAAAATATATTGAACTTTAGTTTTAACATGTGCTGATGCAATATAAACAATTTTAGATTAATGTAAAATTTTGTGAGCGTGTGATATTCATGATGGAAGTTTTAATTCAACAGTGGATTTTGTGGGAAACCCATCATTTAAAAAAAAAAAACTATTCCTACTCCTGAAATATTTAATTTCATTTATGCAGCTATCAATGTATTGAAAATATAGACAGAAAGACAGATAGATCTTGATTAATATAACAAAAACCATCTTACACATAAATTAAATCATGCAAGACTGCAAACTCTTCCCAGCAGAAATGGCAGAATATCTCGATAAAAAAACAATGAAATCTGTTAGAGGTTAATATACAACCATTCTCGTATCTTCACCTAAAAGCTTAAACTTTTCGGATAGTTGGTTTATGACATGGTATTAGGACTTGTACATTGTTCAAGCTTCAAACTCAAAGGGCGCTTAAGTGAAGGGGCATGTTAAAGATGTAATATAAAATCATTCACGTGTCTTCACCTCATAACTTAAGACTTTTAGGATGGTTGGTTCATCTGTTAGGTAAAGACATATATATTATTTTATATTATTCCTTAACACACCCCCTCATGTGAGAATTTTTTTTGGGTTTTGAAGCGTAGATAATGCAAAGGATCATTTCTTTATTTTTTGGTTACCCTATGCTTAAATTCAAATCTTTTTATTTTATTTTATTAAGAGAATGAGGGCTACAAGGATTGAACTCTAGACCCCTTGGCTCATAGAAGTTCCGATTCCATATCATGCAACCAACTCTCCCAAAAATTTAATCTGTTTGGCAAAGGCACATATATTATTTTATATTATTCCTTAACAATGACAAAATCATCATTAACTTAAAAAGACAGTTCCAATCACCTTGCTGCAGTAATTTCCAACCAAACTGTCAGGCATGACAACGGAGAGACATCATGGCAACATGAAGCAACCATTGCCAATAATGACCAGGACAACTCTTTTGCTTTCATCAATAGAGCCTCTCCGGGACATTTTTGCTTTTCACACCCTGCTAATATTTGGAAGAGTTCAACAGGAACACACGAGTTTTCACTAGGAAAGGTTGTTTCACCGCCTTTCTCAAGTGAATCCAAGAATGATGCAGAGCTTGCCTTTTTCTTTGACTGCATTCCTTTCAAAACTGTCAACATGTGAAGTCTGAGACGGGGATCGCTAAACTCCTTTGATGCCTAGCAATCACAATCCCAAAGAGATTCAAAGTGGAATAATTTCCCTTTAGCATAACTTACATAGTTTAAGCTTTATGCTATGAATTAGAATAGAAGACAAGACTCACCACTTGGACTACTGTATCAAATGAATATCCTCCAATCTGAGCTTCAGACAAAAATTCAATCTGACAGGAGCACAAAAATCATAAGATTATAATTGAAACCTGAGGAATTCTGGATTTTTATTACTTAACTATTCATGTACAGAGGTTTACAACATACAGGCTAATGTGAGTAATTACTTTCCTATTAAGAGCTGATTCTAAGGAAATAAATTAAAAAATAAAATAAATAAATAAATAAATAAATCAGTTGTATAATCTGTCACATATCTATCCTATAACCCGTCCTATCAAAATCTGTCTAATAAAGTGAAAAAACGAATCTACAATAATTACACAATTATTCATTCTATATTTACAAAATTCCCCCTCAACCGGTGAATGGATTTCTATAATTCCCAGCTTGCTAATGAGATCTTAGGGTCAATAGTAATCAGTCCACTATCCAATTTCTCCTTGATGAAGTGGCGTCTAATCTTCGTGTGTTTTGTTTTGTTATGTTGAACTCAAATATGAGCAACACAAATGGTAGATTTATTATCACATAACAACTAGACAGGCCTTTCATATTTCACTGAGGTCATCTAGTTTGATTTTCAGCCATAGAAGTTTACAAACCCTATGAGCCATAGGTCAAAATTTTGCCTTTGCGCTTGACCGAGCTCCGAACATACAATAACTAGAGGTTGATCTTGTTAGAGATATATAAAACTATTAATATAACCTCACCTAACAGCTTAAGTTTTTGGGTTGAATTGGTTCTTTACATGGTATCAGAGCTTCGGTGTACTGGGTTCGATCCTCATCGCCTCCACTTTCTTTCTAGTGGAATTTCTTTCTTAGCATGGGTAGGTGGGCCTGTGCATTATCCACCTTTCATGCCCAATGGGCTCTCGTGTGAAGGGACATGTTAGAGAAGTATATAAACCATTGATGGGCCTTCACTTATCAGCTTAAGCTTTTAGGTTGAATTGGTTCTTTACAGATCTTTAGTCAGTAATTATTCATACATAATCAACACTAGTATACACTTCTAACGACAAGTTTCCACCTTTTCGGAATAACAATCCTCTCCCTGGTATAGTTCTGCCTATATCATATCATGTAAGTGTCTGTCCCTCAAGTCAAGTATGAGCCAACTGACTGACAATATTGACCACAAATGCTAAATATGGTCTGGTAAAAGCTAAATATATCAATCTCCATACCAATCCCTTGATACTACCCTCTATCAACCTTGAGACTCTTCTTCACTTCTCCTTATGTCATTCTTCTTAATAAGAACATACAAGAGATAATAGAATTCTTACAATGTTTATTTTGTTAACCAAAACAAATGTTTCCCAGTAGTCAATGTCATATGTCTACATGTATTCTTTAGTAACTAACCTCGCCTAAAACTTGACAAGTGTCGGGCTCAAAAACAAAGGGACTGGTGTATTTAGTACTTATCGTCAGCTCAGACATTGGTTGCTGCCATCGAATCAGTTTAGGATTTATCCTCCTCAGCACACAAATTTGGGTGTACCAACCTTCAATTGATTGATAGAAGATATTTCATGTGAGGTACTAGGTAGATTTGCTGATTCTTGTGCATTATTATAAGGAGTAAGCACAAACTCTAGAGATGACTCGGGGGATAACGTTGACTCTCGGACGAAACTTTTAAGATGTTTTCCCTTGAAGTTGAGGACAACAAAAGAAAGATTCATTTTCATGAAAGGTAACATCCATGATAACAAAAAGGCTTGAATTGAAAGATGATAGCATTTGTCTTCGTTTTTGTCACGGGCATAACCCAAGATACATAACAACTTGGGGAATCAAGTTTGTTGCAATATTGTTTATGAACATTAACAAATACAACACACCCAAAGACATAAGATAGAAGACTTACATAAGATGAAGAAATGGAAAATAAGAGGTCATGAGGGCATAGGACTTGCATTGCCAAGGAACATCAACAACACATTTATCCTAAACTAGTTGCAGTCAATGGAATTTCACATTACCAAGGATAAGACAAGGTAATTGATTGATCAAATATACTACGGTTGATATAGCTTCCCCCACAAGAGTTGGGAACATAGATTAGATTAATAATACTATGATCACTTCAAGCAAATGGTGATTTGCTTAAGAGGTGTCAACTCATGTGATCTCATGAATAAGGCCATTTTCCTTAATAAATAGCAAGTGTCATTAGTTGACACATTCAAAACCATTATCAGGATGCAGTTGTTTCATAATTTTTTCAAACTACGTTTGACTCGTGTGAAAGATTGAATGAATAATTATGGCACTACAGATTTGTCTTTCATAAAAAAATATCAAGGTTTTCCTATTACAATTACTAATAAATGATACAAATCATTTAGCACCAAAGACATTAGCCATTTTTGCAAGTCCCCAAACATTATAATGAATAAAATCAAATGGTTCAAAACTTTTTTATTGAGCTTGAAAGAAAAGATACATGAAGGTGCTTTGTACACTCCATTTGGAGATTCCAATATTGACTCAACTCGATCCACAAGCCATTAAGAATGCCAAAATAATGGTGCCCTGTTTGTTAGAGAAAATTTTGATTTTCAATTAATAATAGATGGCAATGTCCTGTTTCATAGAGTAAGTATTCCGTAGGACAGCCCCAATATCTTGGGTAATGGGCAAGAACATGCAATTCCGACTAACCTTCAAAGCCATAGAGTTCCATACTCAAATCATGATAAAAGAGTCTTTATCCTTTTATTCGTCAAATTTGGATTGATCTTATTAAGATTGGTCCTATCAATATTATTCAACTTCCATTGCCCTTTGAGGGTAGTCCAAAAAACCCGGACTATCACAACTAAATTTTTCAGGTGAGATAGTAACTGATAGGATATTAAGAGCAAGTGGCGTGGTCGTAATGGAGTGAGAAGTGAGTTAGATGGTTTAAGTGGAGGACTATGTGGCCTCTGAGTTGGACATCGTGGCCGAAGGTGGACTAGGCAGCTTGTACAAGGAGAAGATGAGAGAGAACACATACAAGTGATGCTGGATGAGCTAACCAAGGGTAGATCCGAAGAGAAGGGATCACGGTGAGCTATCTAGGAATGGCGGCAACAACAATGGTTGCTAGACCCTCCCCCACTCGAGGCGGAAATGGTGGCGCAAGGATTTAATGCTTAGAGAAAGAGAGCAACACATACGTGAGGGCAATTGGGAGGTCTTCCAATGACGTCCAAGAGGCGACAAATTTGCTAATGGTTTCATTGGTTGGAGATATAACAGTGGCAAACAGGTGAAGGTGGCGACAACGACAACGGAGGGTAAAAAACCAACAGCATGAGCACTTTCATCATGAGCTCGACAAAGGTGCTGTCTCGAGCACAATGAAGGAACAATCTGAAAATAGGCTGACTACAATGGAGGCAACCTCTATAAGGTTGTGATAAAGGCTGTGATGAAGGCAGGCTAGAATGTCATGCAAGTAGAGCTTCCCAAATGGGGAGCTATGCTACCATTATAGGGGTGTAAATGGGTCAGCCGACCTAACAAGGCCTACGACTCGGCCTACATCAGGTCAGGTTTGGCCTATTACAACTAGTCAAATAGAAAAGGCTCAGGCATAAAAAAGTCTATTTAAAAAGCAAGTCATAGGCTTTCTTTTACATGCCGAGCCTATAAGCCTATAGATCGGTCTATATCATATTGTTTATTTTAAATAAAACAAATAAATTATTATTTTAATGATTTTGAATAATAAAATAATATTATTTTAATTATTTTTTTTAATTATTGAATGTCTAATAGGCTTAAACAGGCTAACAAATCTAGACCAAAGCTTTTATTTTTTAAATATAGGCCAGATCAGACTTATAATTTGGGCATACACAGGCTAACAGATCAGGTCAGACCTAAAATATTTTACTCAGACATGATCTATTTAAGTCAAAGTCTAGTCCAACCCAGCCTATTTACACCCTTAGCTACCAAGTTTAAATATGTGAGATTCTGAATTTTGTTACTTAATTATCCATGTACATAAATTTACAACATATAGACTAATGTAAGTAATTACTTTCCTAAAAAATAATTAATTTTGGGATAACAAATCAGACCTATAATCTCACACATCTTTCCTATAATCTGTCTAATAAAAGGTAAAAACAAGTATCCAATAATTATACTATTGTTCATTCTATTATCATGACAATTATGGTTTGGGGAGTTAATAAAAGAAATAACAAAAGTAGAAACATACCCAGTCATTGTCTCTAGCTAATACAGCAAGGTACTTAGTACTTAGGGGAAGCTGGTGCAACCTACAAAAATTTGTTACCAAACTCCAGTGCTGGCTAGCAACCTTTCGTTGAGATCTTAACTCATTTACATCACCATTTCCAGTTAATATCCATGACCCATAGGTACTTCCGTCAACCAACCGTGGAAGACTTGCCTTTTCCAAATGGTGCAAGACAAGCATAAGAGCTCGTGAAGGCCGTTTACTTGGAGCTCCTGTCCCAGTACCATTCACAGGAGAATCCTTGTGCAAATATTCATCGGCTAGAGCTCGAGCAAGAGATTCTGTTACATCACCTTCATGGGATATTGCATGAAACACAGATCCCTTAGGTGATAATTGCCTGAGATTTTCATTATTCTCAATTGATTTGTGGAAAGATGATATCCGTTTTAGCACAGCAATATCGGTGCGCATCTTGCTTGCGGACAAACCACATAGTTCCAGAAGAAAAGCACATGAAGCGACAAGCATAGAATCCTCAAAATGCATAATAGCAACTGGCAAAACCTGAAAATTCAAGTGCAACAATTTTCAATCTACCACTCAAAATTCGAATGAGATGATTATTTTGGTATTTTTTGTGAATAACACTTTCTAAAATCTGGGAAAGAACCAATGAGGTTAGAAATTGGGAAGACGCAACATAGAACTGATAGAAGACCAAATAAATACAGTTAAAGATATAAAATCATGCACGTCCCTTAAACAAACAGCTTAACCTTTTAGGATTAATTGGTTACTCCCAAAACCCGGAAGACCAAGTCATCAGAAGCTTGATTCTTTCCACCTCCATAATCCAAAATTAAATTACATTTTAGTACAAAGTAAAATAGACTTGTGTATTGCCCATGCTCAAAGCGGAAAAAGCTCTTGCATGGGCATGTTAGAGATATAAAATCATTCATATGGAAGCGGGGCTTGGGAGTAATGTCACTACCTATTTTGGAATATATCATCAAGTGAGGATATTTATCGGGTAACAAACTAAGCATTTTACAACATTTGCATGTAGCACATTGATTTGTTCAATTTTATATCTCATTTCAAATATATAATCAGAAAATTTACTTAAAAAGAAACCTCACAGATGAAAGTAAAGTCTCTTCGCTTGGTCCTAGTGGTGAAAGAAGTGTCTGAACATCAGATTGAAGGTTACTTTGTTCACGAGTCAACGAAGTACTGGTTTCCTCTTCTGACTTGAGATTTTGAACTCTATGGCCAAGAATTTGGTTAAAAGCTGCTAAAGGTCGTCTACGATGCAAATGGTGCTCAAGCCCAAATCCATTTTCCTGAAAAATCAATTCAAATTACTGATATACATTATCAAAAATATCCAAATACTCAATTATAATGGCAAACAAGGGTTTGTTGGCAATTCAATAACTTGAACACTGGGCAAATAGCATGTTTGTCTACTTGAATATAAAATAATAGAAGAATAATATATTGTGTATTGATCTGTGTCAGAGAGTTACAATATATAGAGACCCTAATGGGCTTAAGTGAAAGGCCCAAACCTAATCCTAATACAGTCAGAATACAGTCAGAATATTTACGGATAAGACGGAATCCAATCATATCTAATCATATCTAATCATATCATATCTAATATTCTAACACTCCCCCTCAAGCTGGTGCGTATATATTATGAGCACCAAGCTTGTTACAAATGTATTCAACCCGAGGACCTCTAAGAGCTTTAGTGAAAACATCCGCTAGTTGATCAGAGGAGTTGACGAAAGCAGTCTTGATTTCTCCTGACTGAATCTTTTCTCGAATGAAGTGACAATCAATCTCTATATGTTTGGTCCTCTCATGAAAGACAGGATTAGATGATATATGTAGCGCAGCTTGATTATCACAGATGAGTGTCATGGGTTGTTTCTGTTCACAAAGATGAAGCTCCTGAATCAACTGCTTTAACCAGACTAACTCACAGGTAGCATTTGCCATTGCACGATACTCAGCTTCTGCACTAGATCGAGCAACAACAGGTTGTTTCTTGCTCTTCCACGAAATTAAGTTTCCTCCAAAGAAGACACAATAGCCAGAAGTAGAGCGCCTGTCCGAGGGTGATCCTGCCCAATCAGCATCTGAATAACCACAAATTTCTGTATTTCCCTGATCTGAATACAACAAACCTTTTCTTGGTGCTCCTTTGATGTATCGGAGGATCCTCACAGCAGCATCCCAATGTGAATCACAAGGGGAATCAAGAAACTGACTAGCCGTACTAACAGCGAAAGAAATATCTGGCCTAGTCACAGTAAGATAGTTGAGCTTCCCAATTAGCCTCCGATAACGTCCAGGATCAGATAACGGCTCCCCCTGTCCGGGCAATAACTTGACATTAGGATCCATAGGTGTATCAACTGGTTTACTACCCAACATACCAGTTTCTTCTAGGATATCCAGGGCATATTTCCTTTGACAGATAGAAATGCCCTGTCTGGATTGCGCCACCTCAATTCCCAAGAAGTAACGCAGCTTCCCAAGGTCCTTTGTTTGAAATGTACTAAACAAATGCTGTTTTAACTGACGAATTCCGTCTTGATCACTTCCGGTGAGAATGATGTCGTCAACATAGACTAACAAATAGATACACTTATCAGGAGATGTAATCCTATAAAACACAGAATGGTCAACTTTACTGCGGATTAAGCCAAACGCCTGAACAGCAGAACTGAAGCGACTGAACCATGCTCGAGGAGACTGCTTGAGACCATATAAGGATTTCCGAAGACGACACACCTTTCCAGACTCCCCCTGAGCAACAAAACCAGGTGGTTGCTCCATGTAAACTTCTTGTAAATCACCATGAAGAAAGGCATTTTTGATGTCAAGTTGAAGGAGTGGCCAGTGACTAACAGCAGCAAGGGCAAGAAAGAGGCGGACTGACGCCATCTTAGCGACCAGAGAAAATGTATCGCTATAATCAAGGCCAAAGATTTGAGTAAAACCCTTGGCAACTAAACGTGCCTTGAGACGATCAATATGGCCATCAGGTCCAACTTTCACAGTAAAAACCCAGCGACAACCAACTATAGACTTCTCTGGAGGAGCAGAAACAAGGTCCCAAGTGCCATTGGAATGAAGTGCAGTCATCTCATCAAGCATTGCTTGGCGCCACCCTGGATGGGAAAGTGCTTCACCTGTGGTTTTAGGAATAGAAATAGAAGAAAGACTAGAAACAAAGGTGAAATGAGGTGAAGAAAGACGGTCATAACTCAAAAAGGTATAAAGAGGATAAGGGTTACGAGTAGTACGTGTACCTTTTCTTTGAGCAATGGGAAGAGTCTCTGATGAAGGATCCGGAGGGGAAGAAGCAACAACAGTGGGCGATGAGTCAGCAAGAGTCGAGTCGACAGGAGGCACAGTTTTGCGACGCTGATAGGTGAGAAGTGGACGGTCCTCAGGTATAGAAGCAATAGGTTGCTCATCTGGAATAGAAGCACCTGCAGCTGGCAAAGACAAGTCAAGAAAAGGGACAGGAAGTACATGATCAACCTGTGACATCTGAGATGGGATAGAATTAAAGGGTTGTTGATCAAGAAAAGTGACATCAGCGGAAACTAAGTAACGCTTAAGGTCGGGAGAATAACAACGATAACCCTTTTGAAGACGAGAATAACCAAGAAAGATACACTGAAAGGCTTTGGATGTTAACTTATCCTTACCAGGAGTGAGATCATGAACAAAACAAGTACAACCAAAGACATGTGGAGTTAGAGGATAAAGAGGAACATCTGGAAGCAATAGATTATGAGGAATGTCATTGTGGAGCACAGATGAAGGCATGCGATTGATGAGAAAACAAGAGATGAGTACAGCATCTGCCCAGAAGTGAAAGGGAACCTGCATATGAATAAGAAGGGTACGGGCAGTTTCAATGAGATGTCTGTTTTTAGGTTCAGCCACCCCATTTTGTTGTGGAGTGTGAGGACAAGTAGTTTGATGTAAAGTACCTTGTGTGGCCAAGAAATTAGAAAAATCAATAGAAACATATTCCTTAGCATTATCACTACGTAGAATACGAATAGAAACACCAAATTGAGTATGGATCTCAGTAGAAAACTTTTTATAAATGGAAAATAGCTCGAAACGATTTTTCATTAAATAGGTCCAAGTGCAACGGGAAAAATCATCAATAAAGGTAACGAAATACCGAAAACCTAAGACAGACAAGGTACGACTTGGACCCCAGATATCTGAATGAACAAGAGAGAAAGGGGCATCAGCTCGTTTATTGACTCGACTGGCAAAAGAGGAGCGTGTATGCTTCCCTTGTTGACATGACACACAATCTAAAGACTGAAGACCGGACAAAAGAGGAACCATTTTCTGCAACTTTGAAAGACTTGGATGACCAAGGCGACTGTGGATAAGTTGTGGAGATTCTGTGAGAGAGCATGCTACTGAAGGACGAGGCACATCCAGATAATAAAGCCCCCGTGACTCACGACCCACTCCAATCATTTTCCCCGTACCCGGATCCTGCACAGAAACAGAATGATTAGAGAAAGTAATGGTGCAAGTGAGGGAGTGGATCAACTTACTAATAGAAATTAAGTTATAAGGGATGCCAGGAATGTAATAGACAGATGTCAGGGCCAAGGTAGAGGTCGGACGAGCTTGTCCAATCCCACGAACTGGGGCTTTGATTCCATCCGCAAGGGTAAAAGACGGTAAATGATCAGAATAAGTAAGAGATGTAAAGAGTTCCTTATTACCACAGAGATGATCGGTAGCACCGGAGTCAAATATCCAAGTGCCAAGTGATGTAGAATGAGAAACACAAGCAACAGGATTACCAGTATAAGGCTGAGACTGAGGAGAAGCCTTCCTGAGAGGGGTTTGGAGTGCAGCATAGTCCGAACCTGAACCAAATCATGCATTGTCTGACTGAGCTATATTTGCAACAATAGAAGGAGAGTTAACCTCCGAGAGATCAGGAGATGCTGCTGCCATTTAAAGATAAAATATAAAAGCCGTAAACGAAGGCAAACGATATCCAATCAAGAAGAACCACGCGTCTAAGGTCAGACCCACAGAGAAACAATCACAGATCCAGAAAGGGGAGGAGAAGGCGAGCTTCTCTGTCCAAGACCGGCCGGAAAAAGCCGTCGGAATAGTGCTCACGCGCCGGCAGAAGGTGGCGCGTGAAGCCCACGCGCAGAGAAGACAGGTGGCGCGTGACGGCGCGTGGGAGATGCGTTGCTGACCGGACCACCACAGACCTGGTCGCCGGGAAGAGAGGGTCCTGATCGCGTGAAGTTTGGTCAGAAAAGTCGCCGGAAAAAGTCTCTGGTTGCCTAAACAGTGATTCTGACGGTGGGCGGTGGTTCCGGTGGCCGTCGGAGGTGCTGACGCGTTTGGAAAAATCACTCAGAGGCTGTTTACAGCCCTAGAAGGCTTGCCGGAAGGACGCACGACAAGAAAGAGGACTCCTAAGCAGTGGGCTTAGGTTTTAAAGCAAAAAACAAGGTTTCTAAGCGGAAGCGAGGGTTCCCAGAACGAAAGAGCTCTGATACCAACTTGAATATAAAATAATAGAAGAATAATATATTGTGTATTGATCTGTGTCAGAGAGTTACAATATATAGAGACCCTAATGGGCTTAAGTGAAAGGCCCAAACCTAATCCTAATACAGTCTGAATACAGTCAGAATATTTACGGATAAGACGGAATCCAATCATATCTAATCATATCATATCTAATATTCTAACATGTCTTAACAAACATAGAAGCATATTGCAGATAAGAATGGGAAAGACAGCTCCTGAAAAAGGAAAATACTAGATGACCAGAATTTTTTGCCAGAACAAGTTGGCTTTGTTACTGATTTTTGGATGGACGAGTGGTCCCTAGTACTTTGACTTATCCAACAACTGCCCTTGAATCATGAGAAATTATGGCTGAATTTTGTCCTTTTTTGTGTAGCATTGCTCATTACAAAATAAAAATAAAAATATTTGATCAGAGCAAATACCTTTAACTGCTGTAAAGAACCAATTCAACCCAAAAGCTTAAGCTGTTGGGTGAGGTTACATTAATGATTTTATATATCTCAACACGCCCCCTCACACGAGAGCCCACTGGGCTTGAAGGGTGGACAATGCACAAGCCCACTTACCTGTGCGAAGAAAGAAATTCCACTAGAAGGAAAGTGAGAGGCGTTGAGGATCGAACCCGGTACACCGAGGCTCTGATACCATGTAAAGAACCAATTCAACCCAAAAGCTTAAGCTGTTGGGTGAGGTTACATTAATGATTTTATATATCTCAACAACTGCCAAGCATATTGTCATGTAATTAATGATCACAATACAACCACAAACGGCAGAGAATTTTAAAGGGTACTCAACTCATTTAATTTATAGCCTCAAACTGAAGTAATTGTAAAGAAAGATAAGGCAATTTTGGCTCTCACTGAAACTCATATCTAGCATTAGAGACATGTTTTGGATAAAAATACTCAAGATCAAAGAAACTGAACCCTCCCTGAGGGTCAATGGTCGTATTGCCTATATCACCTCATACCTTGTAAATTACAAAGATAGAACAATGTAGCAAAAAATCTCACTTTCATAATCCAAGTCTCCTAGGGGAAACAAATATTGGATAACATGTTATAGTTTAACTCTCCAGTCTAATAACTAGTACTAGCAAACCCAATAAAATTCCTGCAAAATAATGCTACTCTATGCTTTGCTACCTGACCTAATAGTAGTTATGACTTATGATCCTTTTGATGCAGAAAAAAACTTAGATTGCAACTCATAGTTAGAGGAACTGGACTGGAACAGACATCAACTCAATAAGGGGACCAGGTCATTTGGTCATGCTTTGTCACTAGTCTAAGAATCGAACCAGACACTATTTTATAAAATATTGAAAGAAGAAACAAATATAAAATGGTAATCAATATTAGTAAGACTCAACTAAGTTTTTATCAATTAACTTCAAATTTGTAAAGGATAAAATAGTAAAGGACATATTTTATCTTGTGAAAAGCAAGGAAGAATCCAGTAAAAAGTCATGGTGGCCAATAACTATAATAATAATAATTTAAAATTAATACCCGTATCCAATTCTTAATCCAACCTTCATCAATGGAATGCTGTGTGTCCGTGACAATTAGTTTGTGCTTTCCAACATTGAACATCCTAATTAGCTTATGTTTATTTTTCTCCACTAATCAACTTAACTCATTATTTTATTCACATATTTTAAAATTTATTTGAGAACGTTTCAAAATTGTTATGGCAATCGAAACTAGATCAAGGCAAGCTAAGGTTTTGGGACCAAAATGATGAGTTGTTCAAAATAATGCTTCCTTGCTACAGGTTGCACATGTTCTGTGCACCTAAATCTGTGAGTCCAACGAAAGCTTTGACCAGGTCATTTGCATAGGATGATCAAATTAAATAATCACACCAGCCAGGTGGCCAGCTGAACTAACTGAACCAATTGGGTTCCTCCAACTATGTTGCAACTGTGGTCCCTTATGTTATGCCAATAAAAATTGCAAATAATATACAGCTAAACAATCTTTAGGCTGTAAAACATTTCTTAGCAGTTTTCAAGAAAAAGAAAATTCTTTTAAGAGGGGGAAAATGAGTCCAAAAAGGTGAGTTGGACAATAAATCATCCTAAACAGAAAAAAATGAAACAGGGAAAAGCAAGCAATTAAATTAAATGTCCATACCTCAAGTAGAGGACCGTGTAGTTCTTCTTCGATGTGTTTTTGGATAGTTGCCTCCCAGGAGATTGCACTAATCTCAGCATGCACATCAGCATTTATGAATAAATCGATGTCTCTATGTAGCAAAGTTTCCCCTGTAGGGAACCCTGAAAATGATTGGCATCCAAGAGGACCCTGTAACATAATGAAAACTACATGACTTGGATTGCATACATATACATGAACTGCATCTGCAATAGCTTGCGAACTGCATGACAGAGAAGGGTATTTCACATAGTAAAACAATTTCAAAACAAGAAGTTGTCAGGGAACATATTTCTGTATCTGAGAACCAATATGAGTGTGTGACCATATAAATATCTTTTGCTTTTTTTTTTTGGGACAGGGAGGGGGATGGACAAACATCAACATCAACAATACTCTCATCCCAAACTAGTTTGGGTCGGTGATGAGCCCAAATAAAAAGTACAAAAAGATTGAGAAATAAAAAAGGTACAAATTTTAAAAAGAAGAAAAAAAAAACCAATAAACAATTAAAAAGAAAAATAAAATAAAGTGAAAATAAAGATGAATAAGAGAGAAAAATACATAAGAGAAAAATAAAGTAAAAATAAAAATGAAGAATAAGAGAAAAATATAAATAAATAAGAAAAAAAAGGAGAGGTAAAGAAAAAAAAGGGAGATATAGGGGGGTGGACAAACACCTCATTAAACCCTGACTAACAAGGGCAGAACGAGGGCAATCCCTGTACACAGCCCTACCCTTGCATATTTGCAAAGAGACTGTTTCTTGAATTCAAACTCATGACCTTTTAGTCCCAAAGAAGCAGTTTCACATCTTAGATGGACAAACATAAATAAACAAACAAAGAGAGAGAATAAGAGATAAGTGATGAAGCTGTCCTAACATGACATCTAAAGCATACAATATTTTCAAAAGAAACAATATCAGCCAGGTATAACTTTATTTGAAATAAGAAAGACAAAATTGCATACAAAAGGCAGCAAAGAAATTCTCGTCATTCAAAAAGGAGAACAAAACAGACCTGGACATAAAGTTGCATCAATCTTCGTATAGGCTTTGGAAACCAGCACGGAAGCATTTGTAAAAGTGAAGTATCACGTCCGGTAGAGAAGAAGATGTCGTCACGCCAACTAAGATAATCTGATAAAGCTGCATTGCCAAATTGTGATAGACATGATACAACAAAAAAAATGTAGGGTTAGTATAAGTGCCAAAGTAACTCTGAAGAAGGGGGTCAGGGAGGGGTTACCCAACAAATGAGGTTAATTGCAAACCAGTTTTTGCTTTAGGGACCAACAAGCCCATTGTATCTTGTCCAAGACATGCTCCTACAAGCGTGCGCCACAATGTGGGGAACCTTTGCAAAGTAGGTCTAAGGTTCTCCAATGTGCACTGGGCAGAGGAACTACTATGCCTATTCACAGCACCACTATTTAGGCAGCTTTCAATCGGGACAGCAGCATGCATCAGAGTTGCCAGAGCTGCCATTTCTCCCCCTCCTTCAGCAATGTCATCAACAGTTCGAATTATTTCATCTACCTCCAAAACACTGAGGTCACTTCTTGGTACTAAATTACGTGACATTATTGAACGAGCATTGGCAAGTGAGGCCTTGTATTCACAGCCCTTAACTCTAGAGAAGAGCAGCCATCTTTCCCATTCATAATCAACCTGTTCAGATGCAATGTATCAACAAGCAACAGATATAAGCACATAATAAGAAATTTCACCAATAACTAAATAAGGACAAACCTAAGTAAAATTAACAACATATACACACAAATCTATATATATCATAACAAAAGGAGGAAAATAAGAAGCACAAATACATGAAAGGTATTTTGGTAAAAAAAAAAAACAAAGACATGCTCATGAAAAAAGTCAACTCTAAATGTCTCCTGTTACAAGTATACTACTGGTATTATATGACAGAGCCTCAATGCCAAACATTAGGCACTTGGTAATCTAGCATTATCCCTTTATTTATAGCTCAGAAAATGGATAAAAGTAGCAAGGAATTTCCTCTAACCATTACATCCGTTCTGCTACTAAAGCTTACCTCTAATTAAGGAAAGAAAACATATGAAGAAGAGTAGAGGGATTTAAGAGATGGCGCCACCATATCAAGAGATTTCCTCTGGGTATTACATCTGTTCTGCTACTGAAGCTTATCTCTCGTGAAGTAAAAAAAGGAAGATATGTCCATTATGGAACTCTAAAAAAATATACTTGACATGACATTAGCACTCCATTTATGAAGGCTTAATGTGGTCTTTCAACGCCAATTCCATCAACCGGAGGACCAATTAGATGTCGCCAATAACTAAGAGAACTAATGGGATGTCCAGCATATCTTTGAAGGATCAAAATGGACGATTACTCCCAAAAAATATATATATAGAAAACTACAACTTCCTTTTAAAAAGATGTAAAAATAAAATCACTATTAGAAAGATTAATAAAAGCCATTGATAGGCTTTTTCCTTCCTTACAGCTTAACCTTTGGTACAAACCTCTGACTGGACGGTCAAAAGTTCAATACTTACTACTGCCCTCACTCTTCAAATTAAATTATATTTCTTACACAAGGTTGAGGTGGGCCTATGCTCTACCCTCACTTCAAGGACAAAAGCTTTTCTCATGACAAAGTGTATTAGATATATGTTAACAAGAACTATTACAAGCATCCTCAGCTTAAGCTTTTAGGAATTAGGATAGCTGGTTCAATAATAACCAGGTTCCACCACAGACTTTTTGGGCTAGGCATAACATGCCAAACCCATAATTAAAAGCAAGCCACTTTAACGAGTTTCTTGACCAAAACAATAATAATTAAAAACCTCTACCATTATTCTTTATAAATCTAAGATTCAAATTGAACCTAATCCTTTACTTCAACATGGCTAAGGACTTCCTTAAAAGCTCAAACAGTTAGGTGAACCAAAAGAATAGTTCTATTTCTACACCATGGCCTCTCGCACAAGGCCCATTAAACTTGAAGCATAAAGTCTGTGGATAATCATTGGCTAACTCTAGTTCTGAAATTCAAATTCTTTTATTAGAATAATGGGGCGACAGAGATCATACTCTTGACCACTTAGTCATGAAAGCTGTAATACCATGTTAAGGATCAACTTTCCTAAGAGATTAAACTGTTAGGTTAAGGATAAAAAATGGTATTATATCTCAACCAAATACTTTTACCCTGCACATGAAGATGTCAGACCATGAAAACAAACCAATTCAGATCACTGGTTTGTCTGAGAATATTCAGAATAGTTAACTTTTGAACTCATCTTATATGTTCTACTGATGAGTTTTTTGGATCAAAAACTTAAATTGGATGCAAACCTTCAACACTGTGTTGCCAAATATTAGAACAGTTGCAAAATCAATTTAATTTATACAGAATAAAATGCATGGATTTCAGGAAACGAAGCAGAATTACTGATCGCCAGAAAGTGTTAAGATGCTACCCTGGGGGAATAAAGTTTCCAGAAGGAATGTCATTGAGATCAACACTGTTTGCTACTCAAAGCAAAGACATTATTCACATTAACATGGAAGTTTTTGAAGACCAGAGGTTGAATAAAACAATGAATGGGAAATAAGGGATATTGCACAAATCCCTACAACATATAGCCTCTTAAAAGTAACAAAAACCAATAAATAGCATTGGAGCAGCCCTTTGGCTTAACCATATAGCACAAATGCAAGCATCTGGTGTTAACATAAAGAGTTTACCTGAATTCATTCTAAGTCGCATCTTTTATTTGGACTAGGGTGCTTAATAGAATTAACGTTAATGCCAATCTGTAAGTTTGAAAACACATACTGCTCTTACCCCAGGTAATTGTGTTATGTGTGTTGCTTGTTCTTCCTCATCTGTTCCTACATTGTTGCGCTGCTGTCTCTTTACACTATATTGTTCAGCCTTTTTGGTGACAGCTGGGTCTGAGCAAGGGGTCCTTGGACCATAAGGTTCTTACCCCCAGTAATAGCGTTATGTGTGGTGCTTGTTCTTCCTCATCTATTCCTACATTGTTCTACCGCTGTCTTGTTACAGTATATTGTTTGGCCTTTTTTATGACAGTTTGGTCTGAGCAAGGTTGTTAGACCAATTTTTGTTGACTAGCATTAGTAGTTTTTGTAGGAAGTAAAATGTCAAATTGTGCAATCTATGCTACTATTTGTGTATTTGACTGGAGTGTAACACTTGAAATTTTAACCACATTTTATTGGCTCAGCGGCTGATTTGGGACAAAATTACATGATTGGCTTCTGTTAGGTGTAAAGCAAAGTCTTTCTTAAGAGGTTTCCTTAACAGATATTCAGAGGGGTTGAGCAGCTTTTCCCCCTTGATGCTTTTTTGTCTGTAGTTATATTTTCCCTTTTTCATTTTGGAGGATCCCCTATCTTCCATATTCCTTCTACTGTTTTGACTTTGTCTTAATGAATTTCTTCTTTTGACAAAAAAAGAAAGAAATAAAGAGGTTACCTGAATTTGTAGGTAAACTTGCATAATGATACCATAAACAAAATTAAGTTTGAAAAACAACCAAAAAAAATTAAAACAACAGAACTTACAAATTTAATTGCATCAACAGCTTATGGAAGAAAACTTGAATCATGATTTGAAATAATAAAGACCAAGAAGGAACAATCAGAATAGATAACGCAAGTAACAATAACACAAAATGGACATAAAGAAACTTACTGCAGTTTCCTGAAATGCGTAAAGTGAATCATGATCGAGGACCAAATTATGATGATCAAGGTAAAGGTCCAAGAGATTTGGCAGGCTATATTGTGCACAGTGATGTACAAATAATTTATGGAAAGCTTGTACAGCTCCATCTCTAACTGATGAAGTCTCAATAAGATCATCCTCCAACCAGATCTTATCTCTGCCAGATATGAAACCTGAACGAGCCAAAAGAACTACCATCTCCAATGTCCCTTCCCAATAATCCTTCAAAAATATAAAACTTTGTGCAAGTTTTTCCTCCACAAGCATCCTTATCCACCCAGAGCATATATCAGGTGATAACCTATATATTTGGACATCTGGAACTTCCATGCAGACAGAATCCAATTCTTCAAGAGAGCATACGAAACTTCCATAATTAGAAGACTTCATATTGCATGCTAAAGACGAGGCAGGATGTAAAACATCCAAATTCAGTTGAAGACTTCCAGCAGATAGGACATATGCAGGAATCAAGTCCAGCAGTCCAAAGACTTCTTTCCAGTGATTACGGCACACATGGTATTCAAGTTGTGACTCCCATAATAAAGAAATGTCCAAAGGAAGAGATTGATTCAATATCATCTGTACAACCAGAGATGAATGAATAATGAAAATAAAGTTACTATAGAGAAGGATTTTTGTCCTAAAACATTGAATTAATGACAAAAGCAGCGCCATAATCGGATACATTAACAGAGGGAAGCAAATTATTGTCATAATTAGAATTCTAATTCAGAGTATAGAACCCTTTCATTTCTCGTTCAAACCAAAACAACTAGTGCGTCCAGAAAGAGATCTTATAAAGGTGCTAGTCAAAATTGGGCATTTAAACTTAGGAAAGTAATAGACAAATGCATTTGAAATTCAAATTTCAAAGGCATAAGCACTTCTGCTTGCAACCTGATCCAATAGAAATGGCACACCGGTAAGATACCCAATTTTTTAAGAACTCAAACTAAAACATCCTTCATTTTCAGTCTTTCTTTCATGTAGGAAATGACAAGAAAATCAGTTTAAAACCCACCATCCAGCAGGTTCTTAAGGGGAAGGAGGTTGCCAATCATCATTAAAAAGGGAAATTGGGTGCTGTAAAGCTTCCACTCTGTGCAGGGTCCAGGGAAAAGTCAAACCCAATATGTGGATCTATAGTAGGCAACCGTACCTTACATTTGCAAGAGGTTGATTACCAAATCGAATCTGTGACTTCTGGGTCACATGGAGACAACACCAACCATTGTGCCAAGGCTCTGCTTCATTGCCAATCATCATTGGCATCAACAAATTTCAGTGAAAAAAATGAATATCAACACAAACAGGCAGGCACAAAACAGAGAAGCAACTTACACGATCAACAGTTCTTTGCTCCCAGGCATCAAACCAGACAGCAGCAGCTGCCCAATATCCAACATGAGCATCATCTTCGTTGACTTCCACAGGGGAGGAACTTTCATTAATATTCATCCACGAATCCAAGACAATTCCATCAATCTCACCACATTCAATGACAAAACTATCAAATGAATGGTTATGCAAGAGCCTTAATCTATTTTCTACCGGTGAAACAGATTCTGATGGAACACTGGTATCTTTCAGCTGGTGATGATATGTTTTCCAGAAGCTACTGCTAGGATAGAGACTCTTCCCATACACATGCACAGGGACAAATAAGATCACAAATCTCAGCTCATGGAAATTTCTCTTTGCAGCACTCAAACTGTACTACATTGACCACAAAATAAGACAAAAAAATTCCACATACCTCAATCAGTGACATATCTTCCAATATCTTCAGCTCATATGGTCCTAGATAACCATATCTTTTCATTTCCTCAGCAACCTGGGCTCGTAGAGATCTCCTAACAGTGCCAAACAAAAGTTGTTTAAGACATGATTCAATGTTCTCTCCAAGTCTTTGAAGTGTTGCAACAGCAAGTTCAGTTTCACCCTGTATAATTGCAACTTGAGTCTCCTGTTATTTTCATTGCGATTTGTGACAGCTAAATAGAAAGTTAAACACATTACCTTCAAAAATAAGTCGTAAGCAACAGCTCTGCCAATGTCACGAACTTCAGTAAAAGTATCATGAGGCTCTTCGTCAGCAACGAAATCTTCCAACTGATGAAGATGCAGTTGAAGAACTGCCAAAGGGAGACGACCAGAGAGCAGAGCATCTTTAACCATGGTCTTAAGGTCAAGATTATCTACCTTCCAGCGTGCCATCATCTCTCTTGGATTTTCCACAGGCAAAACTTTCTTTCCCAAAATTCCTCCTAACGGGGTAAAATGAGATACCTGACCAAATTCCTCTGAGATCAAATGAGACTCAGAATCAACAGGCACCAGTGCAAGATTTTCATTATTTTCGCTGCCTGATGCACCATAAGAAAGTTCACGTTGGTTCAACATATCCAACGACACTAAATCTGATGGAATAACTGAAAGTTGGGACTCTTCCTGCAACATTTCTGTAATCATTAAAGATGACCCTTCTCCAATGTCAGCCTGTAATTTAGCAATAAGATACCATTTAATTTTCAGAAAAAATAATGCAACCAATTTAAGCAGTAGTCCAAGTAGCATAACTATGGAGCACCATACCAATCCTTGACTGGCCCTTTGGAATATTGACCTATGCCTACATTGCAGATTTCGGATGATCTCCAAGAAATGAGCCATCTCACAAAGTTTTCGAGAAAAATCCACTTCATTTTGTAGTTTAACTGGTTCAATTGGGGGAAGAGAAAGTAATCCTGTCTTGTTAAAGCTCTCTGCTATGCATGTATCTTTTTTATGTTGTAGCAACCCATATTTACGAAGCATCTTTGTTGCAAAGCAAGTAGCCAGTGCAAGAAGCCTAAAGATGTTGACCAGAAGAAAATAATGCCACAAGTAAAAATTATATTTTTAAAAAAATGATTATGCATGCTATCCAATGCTTTTTTCATAAATACTTAATTTTTTTCTCTTTCAGAACATACTGTCACTGACACAAGGAAAACGAACAAGAAATTTAACAGAATATCAACAACCCAAGCTATGATTAAGTGAATAGCAAAATTGGTATATCACCATCATCCATGTTATCTAATAGTACAATGGGTCACATTACTTAAATTTTCTTCCCCTTTAAAAAGGGATGGATTAAATAAATATAAATTATGTAGACACCAGTTACATATTTATCCTCAGCCACTTGCATCACCTTATAAATGCCAGGCATAACCATAAATTTATGTAGTTTAAAAGTGAATTCAGTCAAATAATTGAAATAAACTTAAATGAAAAAAGACAAACATTCTTAAAAATTGGTGCAAGTTGATAAAACTTTAAAGCAATATCCAGTGTTCAAACAGGACAAACACAACCTATCAAACTCAAATGGATTTCTACATGTAATAACAATAAATCACATGGGTAGCTGATGGTAACTTTACATAGGTGATAGTCAACAGAGTGAGAACTGAAAACCATAAGTCCATACAAGAAAGAGGCCTTGGTTAATCACAGGAAGGATATATGGACTAAAGATTACCTAATATCAGTTTCCTCTTTCAATGTAGCTATACTAAAGAAACTAGCCATAAGAAAATTTGATAAGAACCTTGGGATGCATCACCCCAAAAGTTAGCTCAAAGGGTGGCAGTGCCCAAGGCCTTATAAACCTCACATTAGTTGCCCATACAACCAATGTGGGACTCCAAGTCCCATACTTTGCAAATGGGTCCTAACATTCTACCATGCTCTTCAGCCCGCCCATGCGGGCTAGCTTTGCGCTAGTCTTTTACTAGCCTTGGGCAAACTCTGCAATGCCAGCGTCACCACCCACGCTGCTCGATTGCAACTGGAAGACATAGTGAAAGGCTCTGATACCATTTGATAAGAACCTTGGGAAACACCACCCCAAAAGCTAGCTCAAAAGGTGGGAGTATCCAAGGCCTTATAAACCCCACATTAGTTACCCATACAACCAATGTGGGACTCCAAGTCCCATACCTTACAAATGGATCCTAACAAAATTCCAATAGTTCCTACACTGGAAATACTTTTGCTAACAATTCATTTTTTTGTACAATTTTCCCTAAAATGAATTAAAATATATAGCTATCATAAAGAAACTAGCCATAAGATAGAGGACCAATATGATGTTGAATATCTTTCTTAGACCAAAAAAGGACATTTAATCTGCATATTTTACACAGATGACATAATGTCTAGCAATGATAAAGAACACAAAATATAGGTATCAGAGCCAATGAATAAAAACTTACCTCGAAGCAGCAGAAGTTTCGCTATCATTGCCACTTTTATTAAGTATGAGATAAACTGCAGCAAAAAGCAATCTCAAAATCCCCTCTTCTGCTAGATTCACATCCACAAGCATTTCCAAAGATCTGTTCATCAATAAAACTGGAAAGTGAATTTCATTAGATAATATTTGCCATAAAAAACCTAAATACTACATGAACACATCAATGTAATCCATCTCATTTACAACTGCACTTCCATAGATCCAGCATAATACACGAGAATTTAATTAGGGCAATTTGAAAACTATTTCAAAATATAAAATTAGGAATAGATAAATTGTGAATTATAAAAGCAAAATATTTCTTGAGAAAGGTCCAAGGGGCATTAACTAAGAACTATTTATTGACAAGAAGTTTTTGTATATTGATCTTGAATAATTTACATGAGTGAGTATTTATACAAGAAAGAATCGCTAAGAATGACTAAGCGATGTCTAAGCGATGACTAATCAATCCTAATCACAATCAATTCTAATCAATCACAATCAATCCTAATCAATCATAATCAATCCTAATTAATAGGAAATAAAAAACGGAAACATGTTTGAATTCTGATTTTCTACACTCCCCCTCAAGTTGGGAGGTAAATATTGATCATTCCCAACTTGCCAATCAAGTCTTCGAATGTTGGACGGTGTAGGCCCTTGGTAAGGATATCTGCCGTTTGCTCTTTGGTTGGAACATATATCAAACACACACTTCCATCATCTAATTTTTCTTTGATGAAGTGACGATCAACTTCCACGTGCTTTGTTCGATCATGATGCACAGGATTTTGAGCAATGCTAACAGCTGCCTTGTTGTCGCAATATAGTTTTATTGGTAGGGAATATGAAATCTTCAACTCTTGAAGAAGTCTTCTCAACCAGATTCCTTCACAAACTCCATGAGCTAAAGCTCGAAATTCTGCTTCAGCACTACTTCTTGCAACCACTGTTTGCTTTTTGCTTCTCCAAGTAACAAGATTTCCCCACACATAGGTGCAATAGCCTGAGGTAGATCTCCTGTCTACTGATGAGCCTGCTCAATCTGCATCAGTGTAGATTTCAATTGTCCTTTTATATCCCTTTTTAAAGAATAATCCTCTTCCTGGAGTATTCTTGAGGTATCTAAGCACCCTATAGACTGCACTAAGATGCTTCTCCTTGGGTGAGTGCATGAATTGACTAATCATACTCACCACAAAGGCAATGTCAGGACGCGTATGAGATAAGTAGATTAGTTTACCAACCAATCGCTGATATTGTTCTTTATCCACCTCATTCCCATCTTCAATACCTAACTTGGTATTAGGTTCCACAGGTGTCTCAGCAGGTTTACACCCTAACATTCCTGTTTCCAACAAAAGATCTAGAACATATTTCTTTTGTGTTAGAGTGATGCCTGTTTTGCTCCTAGCAACTTCCATACCAAGGAAATATTTGAGAGTGCCAAGGTCTTTGAGTTCAAATTGAGCTGCTAGAAATTTCTTCAAGGTGTTCAATTCCTCATTATCATCACCTGTAAGAATTATATCATCTACATATACAATAAGAATAGCAATTTTACCATCCTTAGAGTGTTTGTGGAAGAGAGTATGATCAGTCTGTGCTTGAATGAAGCCTCTTCTTTTGACTGCTTGTGTGAATTTGTCGAACCATTCTCTGGGAGATTGTTTCAATCCATATAGAGACCTTTTTAGTTTACACACTGATCCATTTCCCTTTTCAAAACCAGGTGGAGGATCCATATAGACTTCTTCATGTAAGTCACCATTTAGGAATGCATTCTTCACATCTAACTGTTTGCAGAGGCCAATCTAGATTGGCAGCAAGAGATAAGAGAACTCGGATGGTATTGACTTTAGCAACCGGAGCAAAAGTCTCATGATAATCTATCCCATGAGTCTGAGTGAAACCCTTTGCAACCAATCTTGCCTTGTATCTGTTGATGCTATTATCTGCATTGAATTTTATTGTAAAGACCCATTTGCATCCTACTGCCTGTTTTCCTTTGGGTAGGGTCACTATCTCCCAAGTTCCATTTCTTTCTAAAGCATTCATTTCTTCAAAGACAGCATCCCTCCATTTTTTATCATTGAGAGCCTCATGTATATTTCTCGGTATCTTTGTACTATCCAACATAGTATTGAAAGCACGAAACCCTGGGGACAACTTTCCATATGAAATATGATTAGAAATAGGATGAGTAGTACAAGATCGAGTACCTTTTCCGAGAGCAATGGGCAAGTGTAGATCATTTTCACCATGACACTCAAGTATTGGGGTGCTGGAACTAGAACATGGTTCAGAATCCTGGCAGTGTAAAGGCTCTGGGTTATCACACTTTGAGGAGGTTTTCGCCTGCTATAAACTTGTCCCCATTTTGAGGAGGCTCTTGATGGTGAGGATTCTGTAGCTCCCCCTGTTTCCAAAAGTAGAGGTAATACCGTGGCATCAGTAGGTTCCCATGACTGATCTTCATCTACTCCTATAGACTCCCCCTGAAGAGAAGTCGAGGGGAAGAAATGGTCATTCTCAGAAAAAGTGACATCCATAGAGACAAAGACCTTACGAAGAGAGGGTGAATAACATTTATAGCCACGTTGAGTAGGAGAATAACCAATAAAGACACACTGAAGAGACTTAGGATCAAGCTTAGACCGTTGATGGAAGGGAATATGGACAAATACAACGCAACCAAATAACTTGAGAGGTAAGGAGGAGACACCTCGAAAGGAAGGGAAGATACGAACAAGACTAGAAAGAGGAGACTGAAATTTCAGAATGCGAGATGGCATTCGATTTATCAGATACGAGGCAGTGAGAACTGCCTCTCCCCAAAGATATTTAGGGACTGCCTCTCCCCAAAGATATTTAGGGACACTCGTAGTAAACATAAGAGCCTGAGCAACTTCAAGGAGATGTCGGTTTTTTCTTTCCGCAACTCCGTTTTGTTGGGGTGTGTCAGGACACGAGCTTTGGTGAAGGATGCCATGTTGGGAAAGATATTCTCCAAGAATAGAGTTAAAATACTCTTTGCCATTATCTGTACGAAGAATTTGTATAGCAACTTGGAATTGGGTTTGAACCATGGCATGAAATTTTTTAAACACGGATGCAGCATCGGACTTATCCTTTAGAAGATACACCCAACAGACTCGAGAATGGTCATCAATGAAGGTAATGAACCATCGAGGACTTGAAATATTTTTAACACGGGCTGGACCCCATATGTCACTATGAATTAAGGAAAATGGGGAAGAGTCATGGTGAACTTTAGAAGGATAATGAGCACGAGTATGCTTGGCAAGTTGACAAATATCACAAGAAAACAAACTTGGACTTTTATTAAAAATAAGTTTGGCAACAACTTCTGAAGATAAATAAAATTTGGATGGCCTAGCCTACGATGCCACAGCATAACATCATTACATGAATCAAAAGGAAACGTAGAGTTTTTTTCTACGAAAACAGCTTCATGAGTCACATCCTCCTCAAAGTAGTAAAGTCCACCATCCTCTCTAGCACTGCCAATCATCCTCTCCGAGTCCTGTTCCTGAAAAACACAACCATGTGGAAAGAATTTAGCAAAGCAATGCAACTCAGAGGTGAGCTTGCTAATGGAAATGAGATTGCAAGTCAGAGAAGGAACATAAAGAACTGATGTCAAAGTAATCAGCTCAGAAAGTTTAATGGTTCCGTGTCCCGCAATCTGGGAAAAATTGCCATCGGCGATCTTGACCCGAGAAGGTTCAGAATATGGAGTGTATGAACAAAACAAGCCAAGATTACCTGTCATATGATCAGAGGCTCCAGAATCAAGGATCCAATGATTTTGATTATCAACATGGAAAGTTGTACCTTGCTGGACCACATGACTAGTGGCCTTAGGAAGGGGTGATGAGGAGGCGGAAGATGAGGAGGCGGAAGAGTGTTTTGAGGAAGCCATGAATAGAAAGAGAAGGGTTGACCGTTGATGAAAAATCAAGTTTTGTAAATTTTTGATCTGACCTCTGGAACAGGAAGGGGAGAAGCCGGCGAGAAGGTCTGTGCAAGTCGCGGCGGAAAAAGACGTTGGGAAGGCGGCGCGTGGAGCTCACGTGTGACGGCGCGTGGCGGCGGTTGACGGCGATGGGTCCAGCGGCGGTCGACTCGTCGGATCCTTCTGAGTCGAATGGTCACCTCACTTTCTTGATCGGAGGTCAGTAGACTAGGTTTCTGTGTTGGACAGATTCAAGGAGGTGTTTAGGAGGTGTTTGACGGTGATGGAAGTGTTTGGATGGTTATTTCATATTTGAATTAGGGTAGGAACAAACCCGCTCTTGATACCATATTGACAAGAAGTTTTTGTATATTGATCTTGAATAATTTACATGAGTGAGTATTTATACAAGAAAGAATCGCTAAGAATGACTAAGCGATGACTAATCAATCCTAATCACAATCAATTCTAATCAATCACAATCAATCCTAATCAATCCTAATTAATAGGAAATAAAAAACGGAAACATGTTTGAATTCTGATTTTCTACACTATTACCAGCAAAACTCGGAAAAATTTCTAGCCCTTGCTGCTTTTCACATTTCTGCATGTGTCAACTAGTAGGAATTAGGAAAGCCATGGAGAGAAGTGTCTATATATGTTGTATCAAGTTTAAAGCTTGAGTTTTAGCTTGAGGGAGTCTTAGCATATCTTGAAAATATCTCATATATCATTTTTGTATCTTGGAATATCTTAAAACTAACGTAATGATCTCTTAGGAGTGGTTTCCATATTTCATTACGTTTCCTAATTTGTTTTCATATTTCATTAAGATTAGGAGTCTAGTACTAGCATAAATAGGGGTTAGAGCTTTGTCTTTTGTATCACATCATTATACACAAGAATTTTATTCGATATCTTCATTCTCTCTTTTCCTTCTCCCCTACCCAAATCTCCATAATTTCAACAGAATTTCAGGGTACAAACTTGTGCTATTCAGATTCTATTGAAAATTTATTTGATTGATCAAGTATATCGAATGGATGTATTGCTTAAATCTTGAAGAAAACGTTTATAATTCTTTATTTTCTTTTTTGGATAGAAGAATAAATTTTATTTAAGAGAGGAGAATGGAAATAGTTCAAAGTACAATAAATGGTGAGGACAAGGTATCTTCTAAGGCATGAAAACCAAAAAACAAGGAAGGCAGGGACTATAAATGCAGAATAGCTGCCCAATAGAGCTGCATATTAGATATGGCATCTCCTTGAAACAGCCAAGGGTAGAACAGAACACCAAAGAGAATCGAAAAACACAATCCTATGCCAAATCAAGATAAGCACCCTTAGATATTGTGTGATACGTTCCAACCAAATGCTCTAAAAATTACAAAAACTGCACACAGCAACATAATTCTGGCCTCCTTGTTTTTCCAAAACCTTCAGATCGAACCAATAAAAACTACTTGGAGGTAGAGGGGAACTGAGCACATCCATGACTAATCAAAAACCCCAAAATGTCTACAATGATATTCAAACATTCCGGTGTCCCGTTTCACATGGAGTGGACAATTCCAAGATCAACCTAAAAGCTCAAGCTGAGTTTCCTTTTCAATTGCAAGGGAACTAATCCAGAACAAAAGGCCATCAATTATAATTAAATAGCACTTTTTATTAATTTAATTTAACCTTACCACTGAACATTTTAGTTTTTATTTCATAATCTTAGTTGAATTTAAATTAATTATCATTGTTCAAGGAAATCAAACGGGACAGGCCAGTTGAACTATGAACCAGTTACTTCTCCAGTTCGGTCCATCATATAAACTGCTGAGCAAGAAACCCTTCAAGAACCAAAGAACCAGCATTGAACTGGGCGGCCATTGTTAAAAAGAATTTTGTGAATGGCTTGAGAAAATTGCCTCAGCCCCATTCCTTATATATAGGATTTACAATCACTAATAAAAAAGGAAACAAGGAAACTACAAGTCAAACCAGATTCTAATCAAATCAAGCTAATTAATTACAGATACCAAAACCACTCCCCATTTAACCCCAACTAGCGAGGATGGGTGAGGGTGATCCTTGCACACAATACCCTTGCATATTTGCATAAAGGTTGTTTCCCGAATTCAAACTCATGACCTTTCGGTCACAAAGTAGCAATTTTACCATTCAGAAGATACTATTTCCTAATTAAGTACAGATACACAATCCCTAAAATTCTGGGATCTATAGTATTTCGTAAAACAGAAGATATTATTCGACAGCCATGTATATGACATTGCAGTAAAAGAAAAAGAAAGAGAGGATATCTGGAAAGGAGACTGGAAAAAAATTATAAAAGGTCACATGACGAGACTTTATAAATTAGTTTGGACCATTACATGAAGTTAAGCATATGTTAAAAGTTGGTGTGAGAAAAAAAATCTTATACTGAAGTAAGTTGATCCCTGTATATATATACATTCACACATAAATATATGGTTCAGTGACGGAACTAAACTAACTCCTTTACGAGTTCAACAACCAGTTTCATAGAACTACAACCCTATATATATCTTTGGCCTGCATCAAACCTCCAAACTTATGAGATGGACTCCATTCGTCTCCACCATTCCAGACCAAAGGACTCCCTCATGATTGTTTGCCACTGCAGTAAAGATTACAACAACAAAAATGCCTTTTCCCGCTAGGTGGGAATTAAATTAACACGATCAAATATATGTCCATGTCGATTGCCACTGCAGACAAGATACTAAATTACAGTACTGAAAGATGGTACATGTCCACTCAAAAAAAAAAAAATAAGCTCTCACCTACTCAATAGTACCACTTCACATTGCGAACATTTTCTTCGTAAATTCTACAGTCTGCCACGAGCTTCCTAGGTGGTTTGCTAGAAGAACACCTAACCCTCATTGTGTACACACTTCTATCTGGCAATATCAACCACCCCTCACCCTCCAAAAAAAAAAAATCTTCCCCAAACAACACTATGAACAGTATCCCTGGATATATATATATATATATATATATATATATATATATATATATATAGGTGGAAAAAGATTATAGCCCAAGAATGCAACTTGAAAACACATGAATCAAGACCACAATGACTAAATTTTGGCTTACCTTTCAATTTCATCAAATTTCAAGTAGTCCAATGCTATCTGTAACTGACGAATACGAGCAACTTTGATGTCCCATCCTGACAAAAATAAATAAATAAGTAAGCATGCACTTAAAATTTTATTTTATGAAATTATAAAGCAGTGTGTCAAATCAACTCCATTATACAAACTCATCAAATTTTCCATACCACAAAAAGAAAAATGCAAACAAATAAATAAATAACACCATAAAATTATCATAAACTTTATTCTACGTTGTAATCAGTCTCATTTATTCATCTTTAATAGATAATAAAAAATGATAATAATAAATCTTCAAATGGAAGTAGTTTTGGCAGCAAAAGACAACAAAAGGTAAACCACTAAAAGCAGCAATTCAAGACAAGTAGATTAGAATTGGTCCAGACGAGGATGCTAAAAAAGATTATGCATATAATCACATTCTAATGCACCTAGCTGGCTAGCTCTAAAACTTCCAAACACCAAAATATCAAGGTTGACGCTCCATTCCCAATGACTACCTTCTAGAGAAACACCCATAAAAAACCATGTGAAAAAACACACAAATAAACTAAATGAACTAGCCTATCCCACAATAAGGGGACGACTCGGAGGTGCTATTTAATACGTACATACATATACATGTGTATGTGTCACAGTACACTAACCATTTTTCAAACACAAACGATCTGCCTCCTCAGTGCCTTCATACAGAAGAACTCTGTCCAAAATTTCAACTTTCCAAGGAGAAAACCTTCTGGTTGGTATTTGGATTTCCACATTGTCTTTTAGTAGAACTGAATTCCCCATATCCATACTTGATTGACGATAACCAATGTATTCAACAGGAAGAAAATTTGATAAAATTGAAATGGAGGGAATATACACTGATAGACCACCTTCTCTAACTATATAAATACAACCTTGGAACGTGCAACCAACTGCTTCTCCAATAACAGCTTCTTCTTTTCCATTAAAGTGGTATACATCATATACACTATCTAAGAAAGTGTCATCATGGACATCTAACTTCACTTGCAGATCAAAATGGATAAGTTGACAACCTTTCTGATTCTTCAAATACTTCTTTTTAGAGAAAATAGTAATTCCCAAAGGAGAAAAACAAATAGAATCATCCTCACAGACTCTAAAATTGGGAAGGAATACCTTTCGCATAACAGGTGACTTCATATTAGAACCAAGAAATCTATGGTTAGTTATTTTAGAAGCAGCAGAAAAACTGCTTGAGTAGGAGCCATACAAGTCCCCTTTTCCTTTAAACATGCAGCCATCAATTTTCTGAAGCAATTTACCCTCCACATCTGGGGAAGAAACACTTCCTTTCTTCATGTTTGAATCATTAGATTGACAATAGCCAGAGAAATTAGGGTATACCACCTGGCGGTCTATGTTAGAACCGCCAGCTCCCCAACCAACCAACATCCCCAGCCCTAATTGCTGATGATATGGAAGCAACTTCTCAGACAAATAATTTTTATCAGGAACATATTCACCGAAAGATATCACATAGATCACACCACATTCATCAACCACGGCTAAAAGAGAGGTATGTGAAGCAACAACTAACCTTGTGAATGATCTCCTAAAAGAATCACTGAACTGATCAGACAAGTTATGTTTAATGCCACACTCTTGTTTAACATCTGTATCACCTCTCAAGGGCAAATTTTCTATCCCTTGCAAATAAAAACGAGGGTTAAGTCCACAAGCCTGTGAAACATTTAAACATGTCACAAATTCACCAGACATTGCAGAATACAGAACAATCAAGCCAGAAGAATTAAGGCAGACAAGAAGACTATCAGAAAATTGGAAATCCATCCACTCAACTGCCAGACCTATGTTTATTCTTTCATCAAGCTTCACCATTGAAAGCCATTGAATACCCCAACTGTCTAACTTGGCAACAAGAATTAAATTTTTGTTCCTGCCTCTTTGCTTTGCATCACTAAAATTGACAGACACGTGATGCATTAATGTCAAAAAAAATCCCACCAAGCAATATGAAGCACTCGAGAACACTCTGGGGCATTCATAGAACCCATTGATCTCAATACCAAATACATTGGAAAAACAATCAGACTTAGTATCTGCTCCGCTTGAGTGGTCAGACACATCTTCAACTGAATCAGCTAGTTCCTGCCAATTCTCCTTACGTTGGGCTGATTTTTCTTTGAAGAGATAGTCCAGAGGTAGATTGCCATCAAATATGTTAAAAGAAACCACTTCTGCAGAGCAAGGGAATTCATTATTCTCGGGGAACTTGATCCAGAGATTACCATCAGATACAATAGTTTCAACTTTAGTGAAAAATGACTGTAAGTATCTCTTAGCAGCAGAGCCTCTCAACAATTCAACTCCATCATCTCCACCAGTCCCATTTACATCCCGGCGGCCTCCAGAGACTTCGTGACTAAGGCTGGAAGACTCTCCCACTTCCATATTTTGAGTTGATGTCGCAACAGGCCCCCATTCCACCCACCTGCCTTGCCTAAAGTTACCCTCTAATACAGCTTGAACCATTTCATTTGCTTTAGCCAGTTTGGAAAAGGCGTGGACTGTTACCCCACATCTTCCAGAAACAAATAGAAATTCTCTAAATGAAGCATCACTATGCTGATCATAGCTGTCCCCACAATGTGCCCACGCCAAAGAGTTCACATCACTAATGAATGGGTAACTACTAGATCTTGAACATTTAATTTCAGCAAGATCAGTATCAATATCGATTTCTGATCCTGAAGTGCAAGGTAAATCATTCACCACACCTGATGTACTAGGCCTAGTGAATGCCTGAGGGGAAAGAGTTGATGAACCTGGATTATTATTGTCATAATCATATCCACTTGCCAGACCACTCAGATATGACTCTCCTGCAAGCAACAAAGCAAATGCACAAACCAGAACAGGTTACCAAAACAAATCGGAAACAATTGCATTCACTCAATATAGTGTAAAATAAAATAGGCTATGTAAAGAACCGATTCAATCCAAAAGCTTAAGCCGTTTGGTTGGATTAGTTTTTTACATAGTGTTCAACGAAGCTCTGATACCATGTAAAGAATCACTTCAAACCAAAACCTTAAGACATTAGGTGAAGACCTTTTTAATAACTTATATTATTCTCTAACAGGCTATTCTGCTATTGGACAGAAATAGCCAAACCATAATTACAAGAAATGAAAGCAACAATCACCTTTATTCAGAGGAAGCAAGAGAGCTTCCTTTTGATAGGAATGTAAAAGCAGTATCTCTCTCGTAGGAGAAAGAAAAGCTTTGCGATAGTCCGAAAGCCCAATTTGGGTCTCCGAGGGGTCCCAGTTGTGTAACTGAAGTATAGCAGGATCCTCACTGCCCAAGGGCAAATCCATTCTGCTCCTGATTCAACCAAACGCATGTTCAAAAATAATAATAATAATCAGTTCAAAAATAAATAGTGAAGATATAAAATCTAATAACTACAGTTATTCGAATTCCAAACGATTTTCATCGTTAACTTCAATATCCAAAAGATCAGCGCAATGATCTAACAAGGCTCGCAGAACATGAAACACGGGGTGAGACGATAAGCGTAACTGAGTTATTATCTATAACAAAAAACGGTAGCAATAACTAGCTCTGTCTGTTTTCCATTTCATTTCCTCGATTTCTTTATTTTTATTTTATTTTTCAAAACAAGCGTAAATCGCCGGTTGAATCGAACACTGTTAATTTGAAACACGTCGAACCTCGAAATCAATCAGGATTCAATCAAACGAAATTAATTCAAAAAGAAAAACAATAATCGACGAGTTCAAATAGCAAAAAAAATTGACGAGTACTCGAAAACTATAAATGAATAAATAAAAAACGATGAAAGATGAAGAACCTGAAGGTGGTCGATGATTAAGAGATTAGAATACGAATTTGTTTGGCGCTTTTTCCCATATACGTAGAGCAGCTAGAGAGTGTGTGTAAGGGAGAGGATGGGAGTATGTTTTCCGATTGGAAATACGGAGGTTTTGGGATTGAGATGAGAATGGAGCCAATTTTAGCGCAGAGGAACAAGAAGTTTTTTTCTTTTTTCTTTTTTTTACAGAATCCGGGATTTATTCATTATTATTTTGTCTATCTAGGGAAGAAAGAAAAAAAAACTTTTTAATTATGGGTATTTCTTATGAATTTTACTAATATTATGTAATATGAGAGAACACTCTTACGCAATAGAAATAATTATGTGTGGGACTCATCCGTTGTAGAAAAAGAAAAAGAGAATAAAAAAGTAACACATAAATCTATATATATGTAGGAGAGAAAAATTCTCTCCTCCAAAATAAGAGTATATTTTCTCATTTATTATTCGATTTCAAGTTCAAAAAATGGTGAAATATAGTTAATCTATAATATATATATATATATATGGGAGTGGATCTTCATATGTGAAAAAGTGACCGACACTCCAAAATTTCTGACGTGTCAGAGTGTCGTGTCATGACGTATTCCATGTCCTGTGTCATTGTCGGTGCAACATAGGTCATATATATATCATAAAAATAAATTTTGTAGTTACTGCAGATAAGTTATTTCCATTTACTCCAAAAGCGACGTTATTTTGGGATTGAAATATTAAAAAATTATGATTATAAAGACTAAAATAACCCTAAAATAAATTAATATTACAAAATCCCATGATTTCCGTCCCAAAACGACGTCGTATTGGGTTTACTGCAGATAACTTAAATGCAATAACTGCAGAAAAAAGAGAATCATATATATATATATATATATATATATATATGAAGAGAGATCATTTGACTCCAGAGTAAGACTTATAAGTGTTACTTCTAATCTCAGCATTTGATTTCTGTTCATCCAACGATTATAGTTTAGGAAGTTATATTAATTAATTAATTATTAATTATATTATAAATGACAAGCATTAATTTCCATTCATCAACTACTAAAATAAAAAATAAGAGTTAAAAATCTTACTCTGAAATTAAACGAACCTCTCTATTTTGATTCTAACTGATACTTAAGAATATGCGTTGACAAAACTTTTATGTATTTAATAAATTGAAAGTAACGTTATCAAAATATATCAGAATGTTTTGGATCGTACATACACCAATTTGGCTAACAAAAATAGTCACTTGAGCGTCACATCGACCTAGTCCACTTGTTAAAACTGTCTTTCAAACTTACAAAAAAATAAAAAAGAATTGTCTTTCAATAACTCCTTAGAAATAAAATGAAAGGATTACAATCAATCACAACTATTATTGTCTAATAATCAATTTATAAAATGCAAGATTTGAGCCCACAGAAAGCACCTGTTTGGGGGAAAACATGTTTTAAACATAAAAAGCACACGCGACATCAGATTTGAGCCCAGACAAAGCCCATTCAAACGGGATCTGAACTGAATTGATTCAAATAGAATTTTTAAACAATTTAAAAATGCGAGATTCGAGCCCACAGAAGGCCCATCCAAACGGGATCTGAACTGAGTTGATTCAAGGAATTGTTTTTTGTACATTTTTTTTAAACAATTACAAAATGAAAAAAAAAAGTATGAACATATATTATTATTGATATTTATTTTTCACTTCAACCTTCAAACCAAATCAGAAAAAAAAAATTCGGTACAATTATATAGTTAATGACAATTTTCAAATACTAATATAACATCAACATGTTACTAATTAATGAAAAATGCTAAATGGACTCACAAAAAAAATTATTATACTTTATTAGTTACTCTTTTAATTTTTAATTGTATTGTATTAAAATTATGAGTAATTATTAAATATTCATAACAGCTTAAATATTTTGTACTAAACAGCATTTTCATTTAATAAAAAATAAAAACTGTTTAAAACACGAAACTATTTAAACTAAAAACAATACCAAAGTACATAAATATCTAATTTCGCACACTATAAGAAAAATTAATTTTTTAATGAAAGATAAAATAAAAAACCCTTGTGGTATTGCTTTGAATCACTTACATCCCTGTACTTTTTTTTATCACTTGACCCTTTATGATTTTTTTCATCCACATCCCTTCTTAATACTGTTAGAAAATTAACTAAGTATATCTATCCTATCTTTTTTAGAAAAAGAAAATAATGTGATAAAGAAAAAGAAAAGCAAGACCAAAAATTATGAAAACTTATAACACTTAATAAAAGACTAAAATAAAAAAATAGCAAAATAAATCAAATGCGTTGTGTCTAAATAAAATAAATAAATATGTAAAAAATAGAATAAGAACACAAAAATTGAAGAAAAAATAAGATCAAATATATTAAAAATCACAACAGTGACATAAAAAACTAAAATAAAAATAGTCTAAATGAAAAATATATATCGAAGAAAAAAAAAGAACAAATAAAGATGAAAAATAATTGAACAAAAAGAATTCACATTTAAGAATTTTTAATATTTTTTCTATTTTTGTGTCCTTGGTCTATTTATTCTTTTTATTTTGTTATGTTTGGTCTTTTTTATATTTCTATTTTATTCTCTCTCTCTTTTTAATTTTTTTATGAAAATCTTTAATAGATGGGATGATATAGGGCTTTTTGACCCTTTTGCCCCTCATTAATTAATTAATAACCAATTTGCCCCTGATCAAGAACTATCCACCAACCTGCCCCCTTTTAGTCGACTACCTTGCTGTTTTAGTCGAGCAAATGGTCAAACTTCAGAAAGTGGACTTCCGCAAATTTAGTCGACTAAAAAATCATCTTAATCGACTACATTTTTGGGATATTTAGTCGACTAAGTATCGATATTTAGTCGACTAAATGTCGACTGAAACCCTATATTTTCCATGTTTTCGGTCTCATTTCGATTGTTGTTGTTGTGTAAACCTAAATAGCTCCCTTTGTTCATGTGTAATCCTCTCAATCCGATTGTATTTCATCCCACCATCTCTACAGACCTAATATTGTGAAATCATTGTCATTGCCCAATTCCAAACCCCAAAATCCGAACCCAAACCCCCAATTTCAGAACCCAAGTCCCAATTTCGTGAGGAAGATGAGCACAAGTCCAAACATGTATGTGACAATGATCTACTATGATGGAAAGCATTATGAAGGCCCCAATGGTGTTCAATTTGAAGGAAAAACGAAAATGTTGAAAATCAAACGGGGCACTACATACAATGAGTTAAAGGAGAGAATTCAGCAAAAATTGGGTTTGCAAGGCAGCCAATGCGTTCAACGGATGATTTCCAGGGTAGAGACAACAGTTGGTAAGGATGCTATTTACTACATTGGTAACGATATATGTGATGATGAAGATGTCGAATGTGTCATAGATGCAATTGTTGACCGAAAATTTCAAAATTTTATTGAGATATATGTTGAATTAGATTGTGGTCAATCTTCATCTGCACCCATGCATACAAGAAGTGAACCGTATTTTGGTCATGAAGAAAGAGTAGTCGATTTATCTGCACCTGCACATGTCATAAGTCAGATAACACTGCGGGAAATAGATGAGGATGAACAGGATGCCGATATGGACAGCGATGAGGACGGTGAACCTGAGAGTGTTATTCCACTAGGTGACACGTCAGATACTGACGTAGAGGGTGATTTCGACGCTGACACAAGCTCACCATCCCCGGGTTCGCAGGTTACGAGACCACTTCGTATTGACCCTATTAGCAGTGGTAAGATTTGTTTTTTAAAGATTTAATTTAGCAATTATTTTTTTTGTTATGAATGGTATTGACGGTGGCATTATAATGCATCCGTAGGTTCTGAGGTCGAGCCATTTTGGAATGAAAGCTCACATTATACCTTCATTAATTGGGCCCACCCTAATGATGAGACGGAGATATTGTATGGTGATGATGATGATCACGGTGGCTGGCAATTAGGGGATCCTTTATATTTGTATCAGGAGTTTCGTAGCAAATCTGAAATGCAACATGCAGTCAAATTATATTGTATGAAGGCTCACCGTACTGCCGTTGTGGCAAAAAGTGATGACCATAGATTTGTGATGAAGTGTCGACACCATAATGATGGATGTCCCTGGTATGTGAGGGCATTGTTGCCGAAGAAAGGAAATACTTGGGTGGTTAGTAAATGGGTTAAAGAACACACCTGCCTAAACCAAGGTCTTACCCGGGATCATAGACAGTTGGATTCTGATGTGATATGTGCAACCATTATCAGTATGTATTATTCGATATATCTAACTTCCTAAGGTATGTTAACGTTAATCAGTTTGTATTCTGACTGTTGGCCGGTGTTTTTTTTTTATATAGGTATGTTAAAAGAAGATCCATCATTGAAGCCAGTTCTTATTCAAGAGAGGGTACAACGTTTGTATGGATACAACATATCTTACAGGAAAGCTTGGAAGGCTAAAATGAAAGCCATTGTCAAGTTATTTGGCGACTGGGATAAATCGTATGCATTCTTGCCTGGTTGGCTGACATACATGACGCAGGTTAATGTGGGTTCTGTGTTCAAGATTGATACAGACCAATGTGTTGATGAACGTCGAGTGTATACGGATAAGGCTGTCTTTCACCGAGTATTTTGGACCTTTCACCAGTGCATTGAGGCCTTCAAATATTGTAAACCCATAATCCAAATTGATGGCACGCATTTGTACGGTAAATACAAAGGAACTCTTTTGATTGCAACTTCACAAGATGGAGATGGTTACATTCTCCCTATTGCATTTGCTATTGTTCCTCCTGGTGAGAGATTGGATGATTGGTCGTGGTTTCTTAGCCTCATGCGTTTTCACGTCACGCATAAGCATGGCATTTGTCTAATATCCGATCGTCATCCCAGCATCATCAGGGCTGTAAGAGATCATGCCGGTTGGCAGCCACCATTTGCGTATCATGTGTTTTGTCTACGCCACATCGGAAGCAACTTTAACACTAAGTTCAGAGATGTGGAATTAAAGAAAACCCTGATGAAGCTAGGTACAATCTTCTTTTTAATATGTACAAATTGTATATAATTC